CTTTCACAAGGAAAATGTTTTCTATAAAAAATCTCCGGCTGGCTATGGCACTGGTCTTAACTGGGGACTGTTTGCTGGTGTGTGTTTAAGGTTGGCGGGACGTCCGCACTTTATTGTCGCGGAACGACAGGCTGCGCAAGCCTTTCCTGTTAATAGCGGCGTAAAACCCAACTCACTCACTCATTAGTTATGGAAATATAGAATTTATTGCGTTTAGCGACGTTTTTATATAGATTCCTGCACTGGTACCAAGCTGGAGAATACCAATAAAACAGTTGAGACAAGATTTGTTTTATTCAGAAGGAGTTGGCCTCCAACATGGCATCCCGAATAACTGCATATATGGAGAAATGTTGTTAATGCCTACTGGAGTCTGAAAAAACAACTGTAACTACATATTTGTGTGGTACGAAAGGTCTTGTATATGTGTTTTCATTCATAATAGAACTTTGACCCTGTCACTCAAAACGTATTTCCCAATTGTTTGACACCCATTTAGGCTATAGTGTTGCCTGGTCGGTACTTTCAATATTATAATAAAAGATTATGCTGGTAACGGTAAGTTAGTTAGTATTTTAAAGACTTCTTAATATCTGCACTTCCACTCAACATTGTCTGATATACGAGAATGTGGTTGGTTGGTTTGTTGTTTAACGCCGCACTCAGCAATATTCCAGCTATATGACGGCGGTCTGTAAATAATCGAGTCTGGACCAGACAATCCAGCGATTGACATCATGAGTGGAGTGTTACGTGTTACCGGTCAGACGATAGGAAGTCGTCTGCATTCCCGGCGACCATGCGTTGTACCACCATTAAGAAGTCGACACATTCTAGCCAGACGCCGATGGTGTTTTGAACGTATAACTGGAGGCATCGGCGATGGTCTGTTTTCAGATGAGTCCCGATTCACACTGAAGTTTCTGGATAGGTTGGGACGTGTCTGGAGGCGTCCTGACAAACGTCATTCGAACGTCAACAAAGGGCAAAACGACTGACAGAAAGCCACTGCATATTGTTAATCGATCTCATTAAAATCGGTTCTTAGTTCTCGCTATCGCTAAGCAAAGATCTGAGGACATCTCATTACGGGTCACGTCAGAACGAACTTTCATCCGACCAATCAAAGCGTCGCTTACCAGATCGTGAAAGTGACAATCGGAATGTGTTTTCTAATCATGCAAGCTCGAAAACGTTAACACGGGGTATTCCGAACGACACTACGACTCGTTCCGTCAAACTTATCGTCCATCTCTCGCTTGAGTGGGATATGCATTTGAACGGAGGAGGCGTTGCACAGTACCCGGGAAGCACTGCCATACAATCTCAGCCATATATAAGACATTCCGGAATATTCGTTTGTTCAGTTTTCAAAGTTTTATTCGAGAACTTGTCAACATATTTTTCAAGCGTAGTCTGAAATGGAAGTCGCCAAGTTGAAACGAGTGCCGTAAAGCTCGAGAAAGCTGCTTTCTAATTGGCTGATGGGAACTTCTTGTTAGTCATTTCAGTGGTCGATCAAAGTTCGCGAAAGGTCGTTCTGACGTGACCTGTAATGGGATGTCCTCAGATCTTTCTTAAGCAGCAGAGGGAACTTTATTAGATCTGATTTTAATGAGATTGATTGTTAATGGAAGGGCAACTGAACAGTACTGAGACAACATACTGGCGCCAGTAGTTGTGCCGTTTGCGCGCCATGCTGGTGCACATTTTGTCTTTCAAGATCATAACGCTCGTGTCCACCGTGCACGTGTGGCAACTGACTACCTCCAGCAGCAAAACATTACCAGAATGCAATGGCCAGCCATGTGTGCCGACATTTTCCCCATAGAGCACGTCTTGGACATGATCGGGAGACGTGTACGTCGACGTCAAACGTCACCCGCTACATTAGCCGAGCTGGGCTCAAAAAGAGGTGAAGACAAGACACCTTAAAATTGCCACTGGGAGATTAATTCGGACCATGCCACGCTGAATTTAACAATAAATGTGTGGCCAATCGTAAGGGCATGATTGATTATTTAAGGTCACATCAGCAATATTTCAGCCATATCGTGACTATAAAAGGTTATACATTAAAAATAAATACATTTAGACAATATAAAAACATGTCAACATACTTAGTACTCCAACTTCTAAATGCCTATCAAAGAACTTACCTGTATTATAAACTCAACAACAAAAATTCCCGTGACACCAATATTTTAGTGTAAAGTTTGGTTTTCAATATTGTAGTACATGTATGGAATCAAGTCACAAAAACGCAACTGCTGCAGAAAAGCATGCATTCCATGCAAAAGTTTACTTTTATGCAAGCCCCATGCATTTCACTACCCAAGGATGGGTATAAAAACATGTGCGTTAACGGGATTCCATATGCATTGTTTAGCATCGTGCTACCACTCAGTAAAAACAAATTTACGCAATTTTTCAACTTTACGAAATGCCACGCCTGTCCGAAAATGAGCGTCTGCGAGCCATTGGTATGCTTGAAGCAGGATCGAGTCAAGGTGATGTTGCAAGACAATTTAACGTCCACAGAAACACAATTTGGTGTTTATGGCAACGTTGGCAACAGACGAATTCAGTCAGAGACCATCCTCGGAGTGGCAGGCCACGCGTAACCAATAATCGACAAGACAACTGGATTCGAACAACACACCTACGAAATCGATTCCAGCCAGCAACAGTCTGCAAGAAGCATCCCTGGCCTTCGACGAATATCTTCACAAACCGTACGTCGTCGTCTCAGATGTGCAGGGGTTGTCGCCAGAAGACCCACCAGACGTCCCATTTTGACAGGAAACCACCGTCAAGCACGTCTACAGTGGTGCAGACATCGTCTACGCGGGACGGCCATGCAGTGGGGACAAGTTCTATTCACTGACGAGTCTCGTTTTCACCTCAGCCACAGCGATCGACGGATTCGAGTGTACCGACGTCGAGGTGAAAGTTACGTCAATCATTGTGTCATGGAAGAAGATCGGTTCGGGGCGGCAGCGTTATGGTATGGGGTGGGATTACAGCAAAACAGAGGACCCGTTTGATAGTGGTAGAGAGAAATCTCAATGGATAGCGCTACCGCGCCGAGATCATCGGCCCTGTTGTTCTACCGTTTTTGCGTCGTCATGGCCAAGGCATTACCTTTTAACATGACAACGCCCGGCCTCATATTGCTCGACTTGTTCAGGATTCTCTTCAACAAAACAACGTGAATGTCACCCCTGGCCGGCTCGCTCCCCTGATCTCTCACCAATCGAGCACGTGTGGGATGAGATTGATCGGCCCCTTCGACGTCAACCACGTGTTCCACAGAGACTCCAGGAACTTCGAAACATGCTTCAGCAGATATGGACAGATATCCCACAGGACTTTGTGCGACGCCTGGTCCATTCCATGAGACGAAGATGTGTCGCAATCAGAGGTGGAAACACACCTATTGATTTGTAAATTGACATTTTGGCATGATCATGGTTTTTTTTATGAAATCACGCATTTTCTGAAGTCATATGGCAAATTAAACCATTTGAACACTTACGGGAGTCTTTTATCTGTTGCAAACCGAAATTGTTTCAGATTTGGTCAAAAACTTAACTTTGCATCAAATCTTATTCAATGTCAGAGGAACTTTTGTTGTTCAGTATACTTGTCAACCATATACTCTGTACATCATGCACTTTCTACACCGAAACGTCGCTCCTAAATTGTAATAAAGATCAAAGTTTTTCATGCATAAATCTTCTCCTTATTTAAATACATCTGTTAAGTTGTTCTATGTAAACAACAAAACACTCAAGAAATCTGAACATGACACAGAAAGATTTATAATTTGTCAATTACACACCTTAATTAATGTACGTGTTTCCTCCTCTGTGAGCCATCATAAATATTAGAGAACTTAAACTGCAACCTACATTAAAGGGTATTGAGAGATTAATTATAACTAATTAAGATTTACATTGCATTAATTAGTTGGCCTAATATTATGGTAATGATATAAATTGATATATCTTCATCCCCCGGTGATACCGGATTAGAATTGTCTTCAGCAACAGGTGGTCGGGCTCGCTGACTTGGTTGATTAATGTCATCGTACCTCATGGAGACTCGTAGATGGATGCCAATGATGCCAATCACTTGATTGTCTGGTCTAGACTCGATTATTTACATACCGCCGTCATATAGCTGGAATATTACTGAGTGCGGCGTTAAAGAACAAACAAACAAACAGTGTGTATCTTGTCAGTGTGGGTGGAGAAATGAACACTTATAGATGAATTTACTTGTGCATCGGTATGAAGGTAGCCGTTCATGTTGCAGTAATGATTATTTATTAGTATCGTATTTCGCATAGATGTTGTTTGTTGTTTGCTGTTCAACACCGCACTCGGCAGTATTCGCCTCTTACGACACATTTTTGTATAAATTAATATCGTGCAAACTTTGCTGGTGAGTAGTTTTTAATATACAATAATAACATAAGTGACAATAGTTATGCCAAAATATATAAATGTATTACCCCCAATTTTGGATGAAAGCATGTGTCAAATTGTAAATGCCCGTCATTGAAAGAAGGTCTAGATTTTGATTTTATAAATGTTTTCTTCCAGATCTAGATCTTGAACATTTGTATATTTTTGATATTTAAATTTTTTTTTATTTCTTTCTTCTTTGTTATTTATTCATTTTTTATGTTCATGAGCTTATTTTAGCTCATTTCAAACTAAAATCTTAAAATCTATATATTTTGCCTGTATGGTCTCTGCTTGAACACAGAGATCTCTATCATCAACGAGGGAACTACTTGTTGCTATGGACACCGCGTCGTGATTCACACAAATATGTACACTATGAATTATGTTCCTGAATATGTAGACATGTACTACATACGTATGTTTAAGTAAGGACAATATGCATAATATAAACTAGCATGCATGTTTTTCAAACTAAATCAATTACTACGCCGCCGTTTCTTAGCACTATTTCTTACTGCGGATTGTGTGTAGTCCGTGGCAGCGCATGTAAACAACTTCGCGTGGTCACAGGAGAGCACTGTCAGAAGTCGACGAAAAACTTCGAAACCAGCAAAATGTCAAGACCAGCAGGGACGCTTATCACCACCCACAATGCCAACTACATATCTCCCAGATTTATGCCAGGGTAATGTTTACAATAGATGTTGTGTGTGAAATATCGTGATATTATTAAGTTAGCGTCTGTAGATATGACCATGAGGCCTGGCACAGGATAAAATGTATTCTTTCGAAGACTAATTTTATTCAATTAAATATTATACGTAGGTCTTGTCCAAACTGAGGGTAACGCACAGAGATTTTAATGTGAGAAATGTTTTATTTCAATTCAGAATATGTATGCATTGTGAATATTCACACTTAATGTCCCGTGATTTGAGAAGCACTTCATATGTATAGATTACCTCCCCTTGGTGAACATCGCTTACATTTAACATGACTTTATTTGTGACCGACCACGAGATAAGGCTCCTTATGGTGAAAAAAATCACATTTTACTTCCCATTAGATTTTAAAACTACAGTATCTTAGGAACACAAATTTACAATTCACAGGCTACAGTTCATATTTATTACAGAGATAGATCTACCTGGCATGAAGTATTTGGACTCATTTTGAGACTTTTGTTTGTTTGTTTGATCTTGTTTAACGGTGAACTCAGCAATATTCCAGCTATATGATGGCGGTCTGTAAATAATCAAGTCTGGACCAGACAACCCAGTGATTTACATCATGAGCATCTATCCACGCAATTAGGATCGATGACATGCATCAACCAAGTCAGCAAGCCCAACCACCCAATCCCGTTAGTCACCTCTTACGACAAGCATAGTCGCCTTTTATGGCAAGCATGGGCTGCTGAGACCTATTTTGAGACTTATAACTGTTTATGTATTAATTGCAGATTTTAGACATAATGTCTGCAATAATTGAAAGAAGACATGTATGCTGAAGGGTTTTGAAATAATATTTTTATTACATTCTGAACTAACAAGAGAAAAATTAGTAATGGTAATTGCTTTATATCATAGGATGAAAGAGCACCTTTTGATTTCACACTTAAAATAAAGATTAGGGGAAAGCATGTAGGTTATTCACATATTTTCATGGATGATGCATGCAGATTAAGATCTACAATTCCACGACTAAACAGCTGCTAAATGGGATTAACTTTGTTATGATTGTTGCAAAGATTTTGTTCTCATCCCAAAAGTGTAAAAGTTAATACCGTATTCGACGTAATAAGCACCCAGGGCGCTCTCAAAATTAGAAATTGGGGGCTCTTATTAGAATATTATTTTGGTGAAAAAACGGTAGTTGAAAGATACATTTTATATTATGCTGACAGCCTGAAATGTTTATGTACGACAGATATATTTTTCCAGAATTTAATTGCCCATAATTAAGGTTGCATATAACACACAAGCGCGTATTATACACGAATGAATAAGTCTTGTGTACATTGATCAATCGGAAGGGGTGCTAATTGGGATTTTTCACAAGCCAATATCATAGCAAATATCACCGTGGGCGCTTATTAGAGTGGGGCGCTTATTAGGTCGTATACGGTATGTTACTTTATCACTTCAGAGTTATGCAAGAATTGAAGTTTCCTGCTTCTCGTGCTGAAGATTTGGTAAACAAATATGATAGTTTCAATATGGATATTTGTGTAGACCTATTAGCATTCCTTTTAGAACGATATTGTGCTGAGGTAGCACCCAAGGTGTTTTTGTCAGGTTTTTGTTTTATTTGAGTAGAATTCTAACATAGTCTATTAGATGAATGTATATGCCAGATTAAGGGAATCTTTTGTGTGTGTAAAGAAGTAACTGTTACAAGAGATAAGATGTGGCTCGAAGTAAAATATTCAACAAACCATTGACTTTTGTTTACAGGTATCGAGGTCACTGCCCCACCACCAAGTTCGACTATGGCGAGACGTACGGAAACGCTACATCTAAATATTTCCAGGACTACAGGTACGAGTGTCACACTACTTAATTCGACGTAATAAGTGCCCCGATCTAATAAGCGCCCACGGCGATATTTGCTAATATATTGGCTAGTGAACAATCCCAATTAGCACCCCTTCCGATTGATCAGTGTACACAAGACTTATTTATTCGTTCATAATACGCACTCATGTGTTATATGCACCATCAATTATGGGCATTTAAATTCTTGAAAATATTTCTGTCGTGTATAATTTCCACAGACTTTTCTTTTGTATCATATTAGGCTGTCAGTATAAACCACAATATAAACGATCATCCAACTCTGTTTTATTTTCTTACCAAAACTATATTCTAATAAGAGCCCACTTTTTCTATTTTTGAGAGCGCCCTGGGCGCTTATTACGTCAAATGGTATATGTCAGTCAATCATGTCATTGCTTATACAGTTCATGTAGAGCCATTTTTAACATTCAAAAGACTGTGGTTACTGGTTACCATGGTAACTGACAATATACACTGTATCTGGATTAGGTTCAGCAGTGTATGATTTTGATGGTTGTTCCTATTAACAGTAAATAAACATTTATGAATGTCAATATTTGCAAATTCATACGACAATAATTGGCTCATTTGTTGAATATGACCCCGTTTTTCTTGTAGGTCGGAGGTGTTGAGGAGCTCGTCTGACCCGTACTGCAGGGGAGGGCAGTTCCCCACGTACTACACACACAACCCAGACCTAGTCATTGGGAACCGCAGTCGCACACAAGACAAGTGGACAGCAGCACCAAAATATCAGCTGTCAAACATTGACCACGACAGGCGTGAAGAACTGTGCAAGTTTGATCAGGTTGGTGCTTCTGAAAAATGGTTGTGGAGAACAAAAGATCTATCAGGGACTTTCTAGAAATGAAGAAAATATCTGTCACTTTAACTGTGACATAAATTAAAGTTCTTGTAGGTAGAGTGTCTGCTCGAAGAGTGGAAGGTCAGTGGTTTGATCCCATACTGCATATTAGCAAATGTCCTTGAAAGATGGTACTTGATGTTACCGCACCTGTCGCTCAGCTTCAAGGGGATAAAACAAGGAATTGTTTGGCTTGGAGTTGGTATTCTGTGTCTGAGTGGGGTATTTATGTAAACCGCGGCATGGTCTCTCCGTGGGCTAGCACTTCTAAAATCGGCATTAGTGTGGACTAGTACAAGCCGCCACATACGGACAAGCACCTGTGCATGCATGTCACTATGAAGGGCAGTGATCTTGAATGTGACTTTAAAAGTACTTAAAACCCATTTCACTTCACCCCAGCTCAAGCCCTGCTGGGGCAGTGGGGTATCCTGGTTGAATAGGCAGTAACTCATCATGCTGAGGATCTATCATCTTCCCAAGGCAAGGGAGGTAACTGACTAAAGTCCAGTTTCCATCCTTGCCAAACTAGGCTGGAATTTCCAGGCTCGATAGAAGAGCTGCCAGTGGCTGTCCCTACTATGCCCTCCTATCGACCAAAACGATTCCATCACTCATAGCGCTTGCATTTGCTTCAAACATAATGGCAGCCAGTCAAGACGATCTGATCGATAACCAAACTCTATATTTTAATAAAACAGGTCTCAATCTGTGAGGTGCATCAAATCACTTGAGCACCTTGGTTAAAAAGGTGAAAAGATTTGCAAAATATCTGTCAATGCCAAGTTGGCATGCTTTGCAAATCCCACAGTCGACCGGAATCTGCACATTGAGATCCATGTTGTTTACAAACCGCATGTAAATTTACTTACTCGATTTTTATTGGGTTGTGCATAGACTTGTTAGTCCAGCCAATATGTAACTCCGGAATTCCAGCCTAGGGTGGAAACTGGACTGTTATACATGTAGTCAGTTAATGCCATTGTCCAGAAAGATGAGGATGTATGTTTGAGTCCCCATTTGGTACAACAAGTCAACACCGTTATTGGTGTCCCGCGTGATGACATTGCTGGAATAATGCCTGAAGTAGCATAAAACCCAAGTCACTCACTCCCGTTTGCATAAATAAAACACCCAAAACATATTAAAGTATCTTAATTCTTCTTGTGGACCTAAAAAGCAGGCCTGAGAATTTATGGATGTCAACTTCTTTATTATGAGGAACACACCGTTTCGGAGTACATGCTTACTCCTCCATTCACCTGATGAAGGAGTAAGCACACTCTGAAACATTTGTTCTTCATAACAACGAAGTTGACCTCCACAAATTCTCTTCCTTATGCGGGCGGTCGGGTAGCCTAGTGGTTAAAGCGTTCGCTCGCCACGCTGAAGACCCGGGTTCGATTCCCGACATGGGTACAATGTGTGAAGCCCATTTCTGGTGTCCCCCGCCGTGATATTGCTGGAATATTGCTTAAAGCAGAGTAAAACCATACTCACTCACTCACTCTTCCTTATGTGTATCACTTCCATATGCCTTTCAAAGACCTGATTTGTTTTTTGTTTTTTGTTTGTTTTATCAAAGTTATTGATGATATTGACAGTTGGTTTTATTTAATTAATTATGATCACAGCTGGCCCAGTCCCATCGGGAACACTATACAGACAAGTCAGGGACCAGGAAGAGTGTGGATTACTTCAAACTGCCTGTCAGTGCTGAGGAACAGTTTAAGAAAAATGCTATGTTGTAAGTATGGGTGTACATTATAGCCAGTGCTTGTCGTCTATAGCTGTCACCTGTCATGTGCTTGTCACTCATCTTCCTTGTCTGTCTCCACTCACTCTCAGTACTAACCATTTTAAACACCACAATAATTGGCTCAGTTAATGACATCAACCGAATTTTGAAATTATGTAGTTTCAGTCCAAAAAGTTAAGATTTTGTGACCATTTGTAAAACTTAGAAATATATTCAGGCAATAAATGCAAATATCAAGATGCTGAAAATTGTTTTAATTAAGTTCTCTGTCAAAGAAATTGGTGCGGACATATCTTTTTATGTGAGAAACCCATGTGCTAGAATTTTCATTTCTTGTTTTCGAACAGATATACAATTCTTTCATGTGGAGTGCTTTGATGATATGATGAAATCTCAGGACAACTATTTCTTGTTGTGGATCACATGCAATGATATGTTGAAACAGTACAAAATCAGAATTGCTTGCAATATTAAAACACCAGCAATAAGATATCATGTCGTGCTTGCATCTTTATTTAATCGCAGAATCATGTTTTTCATTTAGTGCTATGTTCTTGTATGCCAACCCCACAGTCTTGCTGCTTTACATTCGCTGATTATCTATGTTGTGGTTTTCAACTTTTCATTATGCTTTGGTGAAATGTTTACACAAATTCAGTGCCCTGTCGTTGCCAGATATTTCATGTATGCCTATTTAGTTGAGGATTACTTGAAACAAATTTGAGAAATGCCATCTTTAATTTGCAAGACAGAACTATCTGGCAAGGACTTTAAATGCTTTGTGATTAGCACCTGGTACTAATCTGGGTTTTAAGTATGGACAAATCTTCTTACCGGTATTCATTTAGTAATTTCTTTTCTTTTCTCACAAATACCAGAATAGAAGCATTTTAGATGTTCTTAACTATGTACAAGTCGACTTTTCTAATATTTATTTTCATAAAAGTTTGTCTACAAAATCAAAATCTCACTTTTTCTTTGCAAGTTTTACCTCTTTATTTTATTATAATGGTTCATTTCTGTGTCAAAATGTTGTAAAAGAAATCCATGTTTGTACCAAAATTCAGAAAAGGATCTATTACATTGGAATATCTAAAGTCTTGTTGTAAAAAATTGTGTCAATTTAGAAAAGGTCACCAGTTTGTAAGAAGAGTTTCCCCACAAGATGTCACAGACTTTGTGTTGTGCTAAACTCACAGCAGAAATTGTATTTGTATAAAGAAATGAACCATATACTGTAACTATTACTGTAATGTCAATTAGACGTAGTCCTCCTGTTCTGACATAGGTATTCTCTCCCTTGTATCATCTCAAATAGTGCATGTCTTGTAGAAATTTGAATCCGTATGTACACCCATACAATATGTAAACAGAAAAATAAAAAATCTTGTGAATCCAAAATTCAGTCCCTAAATGAAAATCTATAACTTAATAGAATAAATGTTAAAAGTTTATAAGATTTCGATAATAACTGATTGAACACTAACCATGTAAAGCGTTGGTTTGCACTTGAGTGACTTGCAGTGTTCACGTTTTGATGATGTCATCAGTTTGTGTGTGTGATGATAAGTTCCCAGTGTGCAGTGCCATGCGGACTGCTTCTCGCTAACGGAACATCTTGAGCACTTCAGGTAAGGTTATGTTCTATTCATGATTTGTTACCCCTTGCTATAGTGGCGAACTTTATAGTATTTATACATCTATTGCCGCGTATTAGCTATGTGTAGCATTTGGAGAATAACCTACAAGATATGAGAAATTACAGATTATCTGTCCGAACTGAATTAATTCTTCAAGTTCCATGCCTTAGCCTAAAAGAATAATAGTCTTGGTTTTCAGGCACCGCCCGCTTCATCATCAATTCCGCTTCACGTTTCGGTTTCTTTTCCTTTTTTATATCAAAAGAAATCTTTAAATATTCCATGTCTCAAACACATGACCCCAGCAGTGAAATGCTACAATTCTTAAGAACAACATAATTTTGCTGATATTATTGTACACAAAATTTGGTTACATACTAGCTTGAACAACCTCTCCCCCACCACCACCCCAAAAAAAACCCGCCCACCCACACTATATTTTCAAAAGCCATTGCCTGAGAATCAATTCTTTTATTTTTAAAGCCTTATTGAATGTTCAACATTATTTCACGAGGGACATAATCCCAAATCCCAAAGCTTGTGAGCTGTTCTCTATGTTTCCCAGTGAAAATGTAGAAAACATGGGTTTCCTGATCTCAGGTTGAGATGTCAGCTTAGGCACTCTAATGTTGGAACTGCATCGCATAAAATCATTTGTGACGTCATGAACAATCGCCAATGTCGTCTTCAATTGTTTGCGACAATGAATTCATTTGACAACACATTACTGTTGGCCAACAGTTTAACAATGACATTAACTAGCCAATCAGCATGAAGCAGATTAATAATGCTCATTGAAAATTACTGAAAAGGATTTTTCGCATGATTTCCTTGCCACTGTTATATGTCATATATTTGCCTTACACATAGAGGCCCAAAGATATAATTATAATGTGATTCATATCCCCTCCACAAATTTGAATTCGGAACATCAATGTTTTGCATTCACTGCACCAAAAATGGGGATGTTCATTGAATCATTAAAGAGATCAAGACAAAAATTCAGTCAACCACTAAAATTAATTTCTTCATTATCATGGATAGTTTTGTTACTGTTCCATTAATCTTGAATTTCTTTGCAAATATACCGTATTTAAAGTAATAAGCCTCACTCTAATAAGTGCCCACAGCGATATTTGCTAATATATTGGCTAGTGAACAATCCCAGTTAGCACCCCTTCCAATTGATCAATGTGCACAAGACGTATTTATTCTCGTATAATACATTTATTATATGCATCCTTAAACATGGGAAATTTAATTCTGGGAAAATATATCTGTCATATATAAACATTTCAGGCTGTCAGCTAGCATAAACCACGAAATTTATGATCTTTCAACCCTGTTGTTTTTCACTAAAATAATATTCTAATAAAAGCCCCCTATTTCTAATTTTGAGAGTGCCCTGGGTGCTTATTATGTCGAATACGGTACATAGTAATCTTTTGAAGAGAACCTTGTCCTGTTTTCCTGGTCCTTCACAAGAGCATTCAAGCTGACCAATGTGTTACAAGAAGCAGCGTTTGAAATTGGCACTAGTCCCATAGTCCTTGCCAAACTGCCCAATAGTTAAGGTATCATAAGGACCAGCAGATTTTTGAAAATTTTAGGGTTTTACTATATGTTATTATAAGGACTACCGTATTCAACGTAATAAGTGCCCAGAGCGCTCTCAAAATTAGAAACTGGGGGCTCTTATTAGAATATTATTTAAAGGATAAATTTCATGGTTTATGCTGACAGCCTGAAATGTTTATATATGGCAGATATATTTTTCCAGAATTTAATTGCCCATAATTAAGGGTGCATATAACACACGAGTGCGTATTATACGAGAATAAATACCATATTTGACGTAATAAGCGCCCACGGCAATAATTGCTAACATATTAGCTAGTGAACAATCCCAATTAGCACCCCTTCCGATTGATCAATGTAGACAAGACTTATTTATTCGCGTATAATAATACGCATTCGTGTGTTATATCCACCCTTAATTATGGGCAATTAAATTCTGGAAAAATATATCTGTCGTACATAAACATTTCAGGCTGTCAGCATAAGCCACGAAATTTATCTTTCAACTCTGTTTTTTTTTTCACCAAAATAATATTCTAATAAGAGCCCCCTATTTCTAATTTTGAAAGCGCCCTGGGTGCTTATTACGTCGAATACGGTAAGTCTCATGCACATTGATCAATCGGAAGGGGTGCTAATTGGGAGTGTTCACTAGCCAATATATTAGCAAATATCGCCGTGGGTGCTTATTACGTCGAATATGGTAGTGGACTAAAACTGTTAGTTTCTATCGCTGAGATAGTAATAAATTACCTTTGGGCTTAGTAGGTAAGTTAGTTCCCTTGTGCACAAGTCCTCTAATAAATGATGTAACTTTATCTAAAATACTTAGGTATATTTTTCAGATTTAAATATTGGTACAAGAAGTGATTTCAAATCACATGGGGTTGTTAAGTAATTGCTATTGACATGTTTGAATGGTTAATTTTGCTGTCATTTAGGAGATAAACCATCTGTGTTTTGAAATTTGAGATAGTCTAACTAGGGTTAGTACTAGCCTCAAAAGACCCTTGAAGATTCCGGGGTAGAAGAGGTCTTCAGCAACCCATACTTGCCGCAAAAGGCGACTATGCTTATCATAAAAGGCAACTAACGGGATCGGGTGGTCAGGCTCACTGACTTGGTTGATACATGTCATCGATCACAATTGCTTGGATCGGTGTTCATGATGTCAATCACTGGATTGTCTGGTCCAGACTCGATTACTTTACAGACCGCTGTCATATAGCTGGAATATTGCTGAGTGCGGCGTTAAACAACAAACAAACAAACAAACAAACAAACTAGCCTCCAAAGCTTTACGGGCCCAGGTAAGGATAAAATGCCCTTGTAATGTTAAAACAATGGGGAAATTGGGAATTTGAACTAGCTCTGGGCCAGCAGGCTGGTGTTAATTAAAGTTCTAACCCTCCTAACTAAAGACAAGATACCTCGTATACATTTGAAACCTCACACTTAAGTGTCATGGTAGAAAAATAAAATAAACCACTATTTCCACACCGCATTAATCCAGGTGGTACAGTGTAGAATAAACTTTCTGAATCTATAGGTTAACTGTCATACCCCTTGAAGATCCCTTAATGGGTATGAAATATGCTTCAACATAATGTATTTTTTTTCAATATTCTTTAACATCTTTATCAGGTTCAAAATAAAATATCAATGTCAGTTGTTGTCCAACGGCCAATTATTATTTACAACAGTACTGTGCCACTAGTTGTTACTACAGCCATATTATATTGCTGTTGGCTTCTACCTTTTGTGGGGGGCACAGGTGGCCCAGTCGTCGCGATTCGCTGTTCAGAGTTGCGTATCTTGTTCACGCCAGAAACCTATGATTGTGGTTTCGAATCCGGGTTCGCCCCGATTATGTTTCTAGGTTTGTCAGCACCATACCAGAGCTCATGTGTTTCACAGAAGTGGTAAACATCTGAGACCTGCATCACTTCGGGCTTTCCTCCCACATTAAGCTGACACGCCGTGATATAACTGGAATACTGTTAAAAGCGGCGTTAAACCCAACTCACTCTATCTTTGTGTAGCCTGTAATTAAACATGACCTAAATCAAGATGGAGACTGGTTGTCATGAATTGGAAAAGGATGGGTGCTTTTAAATTGTACATCGACTTTGAAAAGCATTAAAAAGATTTAGGCATAAATGCTTTGAACTCGTGAAATAGAGGAAACTGCTACACTGATACGATGTTTGCCAGTTTACCTCTTGCAGAGGCAAGAATTCACTTTCCTTGTGGATCACAGGGGCTCATTTGTTGAAGACCTCCATATGGAGGTCCTTGTATTCTCGATATTGCACAAGACTGTATCTACAGCATTGTTATGGCCTTCCATTCACAGACGACAGGTCCTGTAACCATGGTAACACTGTCATGAGAACCTTGATTCTGCAATGTAAGTCTCAGATGGATGTTAAGGAACAAGCTTGTGGGGTTGGTTTCAAGAATGCATTATGTTAGTTTAAGAACACAAGTATATGGTAAAACTACCAAGCTCAGGACCAAATGTGCGAAAACATTTTCTTTCAGTTCAAGCAGTGAAGACGATGAATAAGTGGCCAGTCTGCATTCCTGGTAACTGTCAGTTGTTCATGATAGTTGAAACATGTGTCAGTTGTTCATGATAGTTGAAACATGTGTCAGTTGTTCATGATAGTTGAAACATGTGTCAGTTGTTTATGATAGTTGATACATGTGTCAGTTGTTCATGATAGTTGAAACATGTGTCAGTTGTTCATGATAGTTGAAACATGTGTCAGTTGTTCATGATAGTTGAAGCATGTGTCAGTTGTTCTTGATAGTTGATACATCTGCCAGTTGTTCATGATACATGTAGTTGAAACATGTGTCAGTTGTTCATGATAGTTGAAGCATGTGTCAGTTGTTCATGATAGTTGATACATCTGCCAGTTGTTCATGATACATGTAGTTGAAACATGTGTCAGTTGTTCATGATAGTAAACATGTGTCAGTTGTTCATGATGGTTGATACAACTATCAGTTCATGATAGTTGATACATCTGTCCGTTCATTAACGTTGATACATGTGTCAGTTGTTTATGATAGTTGATACATCTGTTTGTTTACTATAGTTGATGGATCTGTCATTTGTTCATGATAGTTGATGCATCTTTGAGCTCATGATAGTTGATACATCTGTTTGTTTATGATAGTTGATGGATCTGTTATTTGTTTATGATAGTTGATATATCTGTCATTTGTTCATCATAGTTGATATATCTGTTTGTTCATGATAGTTGATGCATCTGTCAGTTTTCCATGATAGTTGATACATCTGTCATCTGTATATGATAACTGATACATTTGTCAGTTGTTTATGATAGTTGATACATCTGTCAGTTGTTCATGATAGCTGATACATTTGTCAGTTGTTCAATATAGTTGATACATCTTTCAGTTGTTCATGGTAGTTGATATATCTGTCAGTTCATGATAATTGATACATCTGTTTATGATAGTTGATACATCTGTCAGTTGTTTATGATAGTTGATACATGTGTCAGTTGTTCATGATAGTTGATACATCTGTCAGTTGTTTATGATAGTTGATACATCTGTCAGTTGTGTATGATAGTTGATACATCTGTTTGTTCATGATAGTTGACACATCTGTCAGTTGTTCATGATAGTTGATACATCTGCCAGTTGTTCATGATAGCTGATACATTTCTTAGAGGCCACCTGACCTCTTTAAGAGTGAAATACCTGATCACATACATGGGGACAATGAGTAATTTCGTCATTCTCCATCCTCATGTACACTCGACCGCCTCCGTGGTCTTGTGGTAGAGCGTCCGCCCGGAGAGCGGAAGGTCCAGGGTTCGATCCCGGGCCGCGTCATACAAAAAGACGTTAAAAGATTGTACTTGTTGTTACCCTGTCTGGCGCTCTGCATTAAGGGGCTAAAACAAGGACTGGTCGGCTCGGAGTCAGTATACTGTGTCTGAGTGGGGTATTCATGTTAAACTGCGGCATGGTATCTCAGTGAGCTAGCACTATAAATCGGCATCAGTCCGGACTAGTACAAGCAGCCACACAAACACACACACGTACATGCACGTCGCTATATAAGTGCAATAATCTTGGACGCGACGTTAAACCCAATTTCACCTCACCTCACCTCATGTACACTCACAGTGTGCTGTACAAACTTGATACAATATGGAAGGAAATCTCCTGAACACTTTATCAGGTGAAGCAACAATGGGAATGTTTGGATATCAAACATTCATAGTTTTGTTTTATAAACATAGGTCACATTCTTTGCAGGAGCAATGCTGTTATACTACTGAATACTTTTAGCCAAAAATTTGTAAATATAATCTGTCTTTATCATAGCAAAGTAAGACAAGAACTGTTTTTGTCAAAAGTTACTTTATTTTATCTATTCTGGATATTGAAGCACAACAACACTGTACAATGAAACTGACTAATACACTACGTATGATAAAGCAAAATGTCAAACAGGATAAGTCTGTAGACAACCTAATATGCAAATGATAAATTCAGCTTGTGAAATCGTGTTGATGCAGAATAGAGATGCCGTGTTTTGTATTGGGTAAAACTGCAGTGAACCCATGAATTGTTTCTTATACTGGAAATGTTTGTATATATTACATGTATATATATGTTATATATATGTTATATAGCACCTTTATGTGAAGAAAGTGTCTTTGTTTATTTCAGCATGGTACTGTCCACTGGTCACTCGGATCAGATCAGCTTGCCTCACTTAAAGCATGTGGCACGCCGAGGACCCCTCATCCGCCGCGTCGCCCTCAACTCCTCACAGCGGGACCGGGAGATGCGCGACGTGTACTTCGAGAGTCGCTAACTGCAGTTACACACAATGTTATGTTCAGTTGGGATTTACGTTATTGTTTTGAATGATCTACTTACTTACTACCAGTCTTCTTTCAGATTTTAAACACAAAACCCGAGTTTCCAGACCAAATAACATAAGGGAGTGGACCATTAGTCTGCATTGTGGTTATTTTTTCTTTTGTCGAAAGTCAGTATTAATGTTTGTGATATGTTGACATATTGTATCAGGTTTTTAAGTTTTGTTATTGATAATTCTCTTGGTTATGTTATTATAAGATTGTATGAACGAACAAGTTGTAGTTCTTGGGATTTTGATTTCGGACCAAGAATGTTTGTTTAGAATTGGATAAGGTTTTTATACAAAGGGACATAGGTTACCGTACGTCTTTCGGAATGTTTAAACTGAGAACTAGTTTTGTGACACTTTTATCTATAATCATTTCATCTCCATTGATTTAGCAATGGTTGTTTGTGTATTGTGATAACTTATATATTGTTGTGTATTTTTATATGAGGTCTACAAGCTCATATGGTTGCCACTGCTGTAGGTGTTTACCACTATGTATAGACAGTGAGGATGTACGGGGGCAAGTCTTGGATACTCTTACTTTTGTTTTCTGCAGAATTACTGCATTACCATGTCAATTTCCAATCAGTTTTCTTTGTTTTTTTGTACCGAGAAAAAATCCTGCTCGAAATATGTTTTTCAATAACTGAAAGTGATATTGTTTAATATGATATTTGTTATGTCTTTCAGCTGTAATTTAATCATGTTGTTCCAGATCATCATATCATTATAACCATGAGTTGTATATGACAGTATTAAACAGCGTTGAAAAGTTTGTGTTCTCCATTATCATTTGCATCTGATGCAGGCATGGTGAAATCGGGCTGAACGATGTGTTTGAGATCATTGCACTAATATAGTGCTGTGTTGGTCCTTTGTAAGAGGCCACTTAATGGACGGGGTGATAGTCCACTTGGTTCATTGCATGTCATTGTATCCCACTGGCATTGATGCTCATGATGTCAATCACTGGATTAAATGGTCAAGACTCGATTATTTACAGACCACAGGGGGCGGTCGGGTAGCCAAGTGGTTAAAGCGTTCGCTCGTCACGCCGAAGACCCAGGTTCGATTCCCGACATTGGTACAATGTGTGAAGCCCATTTGTGGCTGGAATATTGCTGAGTAGCAACTTTGGCTAAGTCCAACAACAGTTTAGCCTGTTGTGCACACAGTTGTTAAACAGTCATATTATTAGCATTAACAAAATTTGACAATCAAATTACAGCTCAATGGATAATTATTTGGTCAGACTGCACAAAGATTGAAATACCCCAGAGGTTTCAATGTGGTGGCCATGTTGGCACATCAGATAATTGGCAAAAGAAAGGGAGCCTACGAGGTTGGAAATGCATGTAATATAAGAATACAATCAATTAATCCCAAGCTGGCTCATTGTATCAGCCAGCCTGCCTTCTAACTACTGAGCTTTGGTGATGAATAATTTATGGTTATCAACCTTATATGTATTCACCCATCAGGAATCACCTGAATTCTGTTGCAGTATTATCACACTGGTGAATGCCATAGAAGGTTTAACACTGCTTATAACAATGTTACAATCTTACCAGTGGGTGACTGCCTCCGTGGTCTAGTGGATAGAGAGTCTGCCCGGAGAGCGGCAGGTCAGTGGTTCAATCCCCCAGCTGCATTGTACCAAAAGATGTTAAAAGATGGTATTTGCTCTTGAGCTCTGCATTAAGGGGCTAAAACAAGGACTGGTCCACTCGGAGTCAGTATATTGTGTCTGAGTGGGGTATCCATTAAGGCTGGGATGGGTGACCCGGGTACCCACAGGACTACCCGGACCCGTGGTTAGTCATGTGATATATTGTTTAATGACAAAATATATCTAGAACTCTATGGTTACACTACAAGTCACTAATGTTCGCATTTCTTTCTGACTATGCACCCATTCCTGCTGACTTTTACTATTGATGAATAAAGATACAACTTAAGTCAACTTCAGTGTTTGCATGACCAGATAGTTTAATACATGTATCTAAATACGTTTTTCCATGGCTATGTAAAAAAAAATCCCAATCGAACATTTTGTATCTCTTTAGACCTACGGTGGGTACCCGGGTAGGGTCGGGTAATAGTGGGGGTGGGTACCCGGGTAGTAAATTTGGACTCGTCCCAGCCCTAGTATCCATTTTAAACTTTGACATGGTGTCTCGGCGGGCTAGCACGAACGAACAAACGAAGAGCAAACCTCACTGACCTCGCATCAGCCTGCTTAAAAAATCCAGATTTTTTTTCAACAACTTTATATCCTAATTCCTGTTTGTCAGCAGCTCTTGAAAAGAAACACAACAAAATGGGTGTAAAAAGAAAATATATTTATTTAAAAGTAGAAAGTTCAGACAGGTTTTACCAGCAACCCCAATAAAATATTGCATAATCAGAGTTGAATTGTGTCTTCCTTCAACCAGCAACATGAGCCAATGTAAATGAATTCCAGCACTGATCATCATCTCACACACTCGCCAACTGCTGAACATAACACAGAGGCAACCTTGGATACAACAAGCTTCAGGATCCCGTTCCACAAAGCCATCTCAGCATTACGACTACCATAAGCCTATGTTAAAGTATGGGAGTTACGATCATCTTTGCGCTAGGATCGTTTTATGGAATGGGGCCCTGATCGAAGCGCTACGATTTACTTTGCCCTATGTTAAAATATGGGAGTTACGATCAACTTAGCGCTAAGATCGATTTGTGGAACACGGCCGTGATCTAAGCAGTATGATTGGCTTAACCCAATGTTAAAGTATGGGAGTTACAATCATCTTAGCGCTAAGATCACTTTCTGGAACGGGCCCAGACCCATTTGTACAAACAATCTTAGCACAAAGACAATTGTACTCCTAAACCTTAACATAGACAGACAATAATCATAGTACTAAGTACTCTCTGTGCAAGTGGGCCCACGGCGCCATCAACACCAAGTTGTAATTCTCATGAACAAAGATGATCACCAGTCTCTGGGCTCGGGTTTGTAATAGTCATATATATGCAAAGTGGTCATACCGGCAGTCTACAACACCTGTGCATGATGGGACTGACATTACAAGAGTTGTCTCACACTTCCCATCTATGTGGAAAGTATCAGTGTAAACATGCATAACTGTGGCCCCCAGTGACTGATCATCCTCTTATTCAGCCCAGCGTACCCAGTATTTCATCCCATTTTTCTGGTCCAATCAACCTTTTGTTCTATGAGAAGAACATATAGCAATAGAGACTCTAGATGTCAATGCATATGAAGATAAAATACATAAAAATGAATACTGTGTTAACAAGGCTAAAATCTGGAATATTCTTCCTAATATACACACATACTTGAGAATACAAGATGATTGTCACACTCTCTACTAATTATTGGTACTTACCGTATTCGACGTAATAAGCGCCAGCTCTAATAAGCGCCCACGGCGATATTTGCTAATATATTGGCTAGTGAACAATTCCAATTAGCACCCCTTCCAATTGATCAATGTACACAGACCTATTTATCAGTGTATAATACCCACTCTTGTGTTATATGCATCCTTAAACATGGGAAATCAAATTCTGGAAAAATATATCTGTTGTATATAAACATTTCAGGCTGTCAGCATAAACCATGAAATTTTCCATCTTTCAACTCTGTTTTTTTTTACCAAAATAATATTCCAATAAGAGGCCGCTATTTCTAATTTAGAGAGTGCCTTGGGCGCTTATTACGTCAAATACGGTATACTAATTTAAGAATTTAACAAAACCTAACAACAAAACTTAAAATATAAAATAAATGTTGGATTAGAGAGAGCAGAAATGGTGCCAAATATTCACTAAATGTTTATAATAGATTGTTTAATTATGCCTGAATTCCTTTTAAATAAATGCATATTTCTAACAATTACTATGCAACCATTATTAAACTGCTTTTTTTATTCAACTTATTGTATTACCAAAAATATTTAATATATTCACAACCATTTCATTTTCAAAATCGATGAAAGTACATTGCCTGATTGCCTATTTACAAATAATACTCTTGTTCTGTAATACACATCAGGTAACCATGGTAACATACACTCAGGGCCAACCTTTCTCGTTACTTGATCACCACAAATCAACAGCTTTATTTGTTAATGGAATAAATAATATTAACATTCTGGCTTAAAAAACAAATAATTTTTTTAATAGGCTAGATATGTCCCTTTCGTATTATTTGTAACCCTTTCAAACAGATAAAAGATTGAACACAAATGAAGACAAGAAGTTGTGTCTGAAGAAAAATACTGTCTGCATTATTTCATATCCAGCCACTAAAACATCAATGAAGTTTCCCAATGCTATATTTCTGCCCATTATATTTTAGTCTATTGTTATGAAGAAAGGCTGGCCTAAAATAACATGCAACTATCACATAAAGTTCAGGGGATATTATCACGAATATCTGTGAATCAAACTCGGATCAAACAATAACTATGGTATATACAGTAACAATGTGTCTGGTCAAACCATTCTGAATTAAAACACATCATAATTTATTCTGTTATCACAACTGGGTACACACAATACAATATATACAATCTTGCGGAGTATGTGTCATCTAAAATGTTGATATTTTCAATCCTCAAAGTTCAGACAGTTGTAAGATTCTGATTCTGATTTCCTAAGAAGCTTTGCTGTGTTGTATTCCTCATATCATTTGCATAAAACAACAACATCATCTGTAATTCTCCACAATTTAAAAAACAGCTAAAAAATGTCATAGTTGCATATAACACAGACAGACATGGATTTCAAATCATTTGATTTTTTAAAGCGATGTTTCGGAACAGAGGATTATACCGTTATCAAGTGAGCAAGCAACACAATTCAGTACAAATGCGTTCTTGCTTTGTAAAGGTATTAGCATGTGTACAAAATGTGGTAATGAAAGAAAAAAGAAGTTTAAATCTATAAGTCAACTCTTGTCATCATCGTTACTAAAGCTTCAAAAATTCCACTTAAGATATTACTTGCATATCGTTTGAAGTGCTCTTTTATAATTCCATATTGTACACAATGGAAAGTGTCATATTTGTACACAGTGAAACAATGTCAACTTGAAGTCATTGGGATCATTGAAAATGTTTTCAGTCATCCACAGTTTGATACAAGACCAGTGTCAATATTGCACCCTAGTCTTGATAATGATTTCATCTGAATTTTATCACAAAATCACATATAAGATCCTAATGAGTTAACAGGACGTGTTTCGCTGTATTTTAATCCATACTTAAAATGTTAAAATATTCAGTCTGTCTACCAGCAGTCTAAGCCAATGACATAACCTTCAGTCTTAGCCAATTACAGAACCTGCAGACTTAGCCATTGACAGAACCTGCAGTCTTAGCCACTGACAGAACCTGCAGACTTAGCCATTGACAGAACCTGCAGTCTTAGCCATAGACAGAACCAGCAGTCTTAGCCACTGACATAACCTGCAGTCTTAGCCATAGACAGAACCAGCAGTCTTAGCCATTGACATAACCTGCAGTCTTAGCCATAGACAGAATCTGCAGACTTAGCCATTGACAGAACCAGCAGTCTTCGCCATTTACAGAACCAGCAGTCTTCGCCATTCACAGAAACATGAGTAATTTCCAAGAAGACATGCTGCTAAAACAGCTGTTTAACAAATGAAACTAACATTACTAACATATACTGTATTTGCCGTAATAAAAGACCCGCTCACTAAGAAAATTGACAAAGAGATAACTTTCAACAAGAACAAAGTAATCAAAATTAATAGGAAACAAGAGTTTTCAGATGGAAATGAGAACAAGTTTGTCACATCGATGACTGGTGATTGTTTTCTTGAGCATTGTACCCCTTAATTTAGTCAACCCAGCATCTGGATGGGACTTTCTTGGAGGAGAGGACAGATCTGTTTCAGGCACTTCACAAACGGATTCTGAAGGAGCTAAAACACAGAATGAGACTGATTGAATGTCCTTGTAATGAAAACGGTGATTAAAGTTAAGAAGTGTATTAAAGGATTTGTTACTAAGAACAAATTTGCAATTGTAGAATATTTTGGGTGTATATTTCACCATGTGGTGTCATGTGGTTTTACAACAGGGCAGGTCTTGAACCGTCCCCTGGATCTGCCCGTCATAAGAATACTCCTGACTGCATGAAGGCTAAAACTTACTTGACAAAGTCTGGAGCTTTGGAAATGACATGTTCAAACTCAGCAAATGACAGAGAGTCATCATCATCAAGATCTGCCTCTTCAAGGATCTGAAACACATACAATCAGATGTGTGAGTGAGTTGGGTTTTTTCACTATGTAGTGAGTGAGTATGGTTTAAGCCGCTTTTAGCAATATTCCAGCAATATCACGGCGGAGGACACAGGAAATGGGCTTCACACATTGTACCCATGTCTGGAATCGAACCTGGGTCTTTGGCGTGACGCGTGAACGCTTTAACCACTAGGCTACCCGACTGCCCCACACTATGTAAGATAGTTACACGCAAAGAACAATGAAGAACGAATCTTGGTTTATTTCACAATAAAACATTGTTCTATCATGATGTCATTTCTGGAGATTCGAACATGCGCTCTCAACTTGATGACGTTGTATATTGGATGACGTAATTTTTTAGAGGGGAGAGCTTAGTGAGTTGATCCACATTGATGAAGCTGGGCAATGCAGATAAATACAGATAATCAACGTGAGGATTGTGAGAATATGTGGAAACTACCCACCTATGCATAAAATGGACTTGTCCAACATTGCCAAGTTCAGATTCTTTTGAGGGAGTCATCAATATTAAAATAAGGGTAAATATTTTTAAAGTTTGTACATTTTAGTATCATCCTTAAAGAGGCTGTACATAATGTTGATATCTCAAAATATATAACTCACATTATCGATTAGCTGTTGCATGTCCTCATCGGACAGCTTCTGTTCGTCGTTCTGGAAACTGGTCAGGTGGTCGACAACATTACGCAGGTCTGTGCTTGATAACATGTCGTCCTCATCAAAGTCTGAAACACACCATCATAGGCCCCCTATTAGATTAACAGACATTCAGGAACATTTCAAGCATAACCAAAAATATAATACCATCAGTATGGAATTATTAGGGCTGGGATGATACACCAACTGTGTGATCCGATACGTATCACGATACCTTGTTCACGATACTTGTCAGTGCTCTTATCTGTAGTGTGTAAGCCATCTTTTTCATAGACAGGATAGTCAAACACCTGGCACACTGATGATTTACAGTTTGCAGTGTCAAGTATGATGCAACTGAGGAAAATATTTACTTTTTCACTATTAATTTTCACTACTAATTAATGTTTGGTGTAACAGCCATTAATGTAAATATTTAAGGTATGAAATGATATTTTGTATTTGGTGTGCGACTAAGATCGATACTTGTATCGGGAAGTAAAATATCATGTTACACCCACAACTAGGAATTATACTACTGAAAAGAAGAAAAAGAAAACCTGATTATTTTATTTTACCATCGTTAATCTGTCATGGCATTCACCATGTTCAAAATAATAATATGAAAGAATTGTGTGTTCTGCAACTTCTTCTGAGTAGTATATCTTGCATCCTACTACTTCTTGTGTAGATGGGGAGCACGGGTGGCCCAGACGTCTAAGGCGCCGCGATTCGCTGTGCAGAGTTGTGTCCCTTGGGCACGCCAGAAACCTATGATTGTGGGTTCAAATCCCAGTTCGCCCCGATTATGTTTCTAGGTTTGTCAGCAGCATACCCATGCTCGTGGGTTTCACCGAAGTGGTAAATGTCTGAGACCTGCATCATGTCCGGGCTTTCCTCCCACATTAAGCTGACACGCCGCGATATTCCTGGAATACTGTTAAAAGCAGCGTTAAACCCAACTCACTCACTCACTCACTCTTGTGTAGACCTAATGATTTTCCGAAGGCATTCAGAAAAAGGCTATCATTAATGGCTAGGTTGACAGACAATAATTTATTTGATGGAGATGGATACTTACGTCCAAGACCACGAACGTTGGTGTCTTTGAGATAGTTGTACAAAGTGCAAACTGTCTAAAATAAACAAGATCTTACCATATATTCTGAAGGCGTATTCCACCTTGACATTTTTGGGTGCATTATCCGAGAAGACAGACATCATATCCAGGAAGTCTTCAAACGTCATGTTGCCCTGGCCGTCCGATGAAAACACCTGGCAGATGCGCTTCCCAAATGGGTTCACCTGTAGACATAGATATGGCTTAGATACATGTCATGAAAACAAGCATGCAAAAATCAGGGCCATGTCACCATGATCATGGGTCTTCATGTACAAAGTGTTTGATGGTAGTCAGGCTGCAGCACACAGACACTGTCCCCATCATGTTTACTCCTAACAAACCGGCTGAGCCGATTACCAAAAAGAACTGTTATAAGATTTGGGTTTCAAATAGTGTCTCAAGTTGCCGATTTCCATTATGTCTGTCAACATCCCTGTATTGTTCTTGTAGTAGGCATAGTCACATGACAGACACCACTGAGTGAGTGAGTGAGGGAGTGAGTTTGATTTTACGCCTCTTTTAGCAATATTCCAGCAATATCACAGCGGGGGACTCCAGAAATGGGCTTCGTGAATCGAACCCAGGGTCTTCGGTGTGATGAGCGAACGCTCTAACCCATGGCTACCCGATCGCCCTGACACCTCTTAGTACAAAATATACAGATATAGTTTTGGAAGAATGCTGCATTGCAAAGTATACAGTTCTGTAACCACTCATACTGCTTGTCAATAAGACCAATTAGCATGTATAGTGTTCTGTCAGCCTCATTTAGCATCTTGTATAGTTTCTAGACGCCCAGTTATCATTTCAGCATGTTCAGTGTGGTGCTCCATGTTGAGTGTGCTGCCCCCTTTGACAGGCATCCAACTCACCTTCAGCTCTGGGAGCTCCAGTACCTTGTCCTGCGAGAGTTTGCAGTTCTTGTCATTGTCCACAGCTGTGCTGTCTAAACGATAGAATCTCTTGTAGACACTGCAATATTGAGAATATTTCTGTCTTACCATGGATATAACAAAGCAGTTATGTGTAGTATGGACACTCAATGGCAACATCTAAATACAAATAGATTATCACCATGATCACAGCCTTGTCCTGGCTTGTCAGCTTAATATGGGAGTAAATCCCAAGTGAAACAGTTCTTCAACGTTTTTATAACATTGTTGAAACTCATTAGTACTGGGATTCATACTCATGCGGATCAACAGATCCTTGCAAAGCTAAGGGACATAATTCTGCATAGCAAATTAAGAAGCCTTAGAACCTGGGGCACTTGTGAGGTGAGATGAAATTGATTTTAATATTGTGTCCAAGATTACTGCACTTATATAGCCACGTGCATGCACGTGGCTGCTTGTTCAAGTCCAGACTGATGCTGATTAATAGTGCTAGCTCACTGAGATACAATGCCGTAGGTTAACATGAATACCCCACTCAGACACAGTATACTGACTCCGAGCCGACCAGCCCTTGTTTTAGTCCCTCAATGCCGAGCGCCAGACAGGGTAACAACAAGTACCATCTCTTAACGTCTTTTGGTATGACGCTGACTGGGATCGAACCCAAGACCTTCCGCTCTCCAGGCAGGGGCACTTGTGACATGATTAAATAACTGGGCAACCCAACTAGCCCTTAATTTGTTAAATATCAAACAAAGAAATGGATCGAAGCCTTATCAACAAATTTGGGTGTCGTCAGCATGGTCAGTCTAAATTAGCTCAAAGTTTCCACTTTATTGGTCCAACAATTTCACAGGTGACATTTATAATGAATGAATGCCTAACAAGAAATAACATGCTATGACATGGCCCATTTGAGTAAGAAATAACATTTTCGTCGATGCAAAAATGCCTGATTTATGAGTGAGTGAGTTGACCTTAACGCCAGTTTAAACAGTATTTCAGTTACATCACGGCTTGTCAGCTTAATGTGGGAGGAAAGCAAGAAGTCACCACTTTGGTGAAACCTACGAGCACAAGTATGGTGCTGACAGACCAAGAATAAATAATCCTGTTGGGGTACGATGACACTCGATCAACCAAGTCACCGAGTCTGACCACCAACTCTATAGGTTGCTGGGGACCTGTTTGAACCTGGAATCCCTATAGGGTGAATACAGTGAGCAGGACACTTACTGTAGAATCTCCTTCTTGGTCAGATAGGTCAAAGTCTGAAAAAACAAACGATTAATTGTCATTAAATTACTTTGTATTGGTTTCTCGTGTTGGATAACACTTGGCACTAATAATAATTATCAAAAACTCATAAGTAAATGAGTCAATTTCACAAAAAGTGTAAATGAATGTTCATTTGCAAGTTTGGTGAGGTGAAATGCGTTTAACTTGGCGTCCAAGATTGTAGCACTTATAAAGTACCGTATTCGACGTAATAAGCGTCCCGCTCTAATAAGCGCCCATGGTGATAATTGCTAACATATTAGCAATCCCAATAAGCACCCCTTCCGATTGATCAATGTACACAAGACTTATTTATTTGCGTATAATACGCAATCGTGTGTTATATGCACCCTTAATTATGGGCAATTAAATTCTGGAAAAATATATCTGTCGTACATAAACATTTCAGGCTGTCAGCATAAACCACGAAATTTATCTTTCAACTCTGTTTTTCCACTAAAATAATATTCTAATAAGAGCCCCCTATTTCTAATTTTGAGAGCGCCCTAGGCGCTTATTACGTCGAATACGGTAATGTGCATGCACATGTGTGTGTGACTGCTGCTTGTACTAGTCCGGAAAAATGACGATCTTTTAGTGCTAGCCCATGCCGCAGTTTAACTGACTCCGAGCTGACCAGTCTTTGTTTTAGCCCCTTAATACCGAGCGCCAGGCAGGGTAACAACAAGTACCATCTTTTAACAGCTTTTGGTATGACGCAGCCTGGGATCGAACCGCCTACCTTCTGCTCTCTGGGCAGATGCTCTATCAAGTTTTGTTTAGTAACCCTTACATATGTTTTAATTGATACAAACGATAAAGACTCATTAAGACAACATAATGAAAGCGCTATATGAAAGTTATTTCACTATAAATATATATAATTTTGTATTTTCCTGTTTTTGTTTTTGGTTGTGTCTTTGAAAGTATCTTTTTTTTTTTTAGAAATGAGTAATCTGAAATAAAATACCATAATTTTTCAATTTTTTAACCAAATTTAGAATGTAAATTTTTATCAATTTTTTTTTAGTAAGAAGCTCAAATAGTTTCAAGTAAAGTCCATACTGTTACTTTCTCTTAACGTCTACTGGCAGATATTTCATGATGGTTTCCTGTTCATCAGTTAACTGTACATCATGTATACTTGGACCCCATGGTACCGCGGCATTCATCGTATCACTGCATTTGTGATTTCCGGTGGTTCACGCGGGACACGCCTCTTAGCAGCTGTCTATTAATGCTAATCAGTAACCAGGAAGTGCTCACTTTGTAAACAATTTCAATTTCCTCGGAATGTTCCGTCTGCTGTAAGTAAGGAGTTATTAATGCGTTAATACATATTTCTGGCATCTTTTGTAATATTGCCTTACCCCCATCTATCAATGGCCAACGATACAACCCGCAGTTCCCCAAGTAAACTTTCTCTATCGACCTGAACTAGATCATCTGCATATTCATGGCGACTAATAAGGTAACGGAAGGGAGATCATAAGGGCCATAATGCCAAACTTAGAAATACGTTCTTCACTAGTAGCCAAAAGATAAATACATACTTTGGGCATACTAGGAGCGTTTTTTTATATATTTATTGTTAACGTTTAACATTTTTCCATTATGTGACAAATTATTGCCATCCAATTTTTTTTTATAAACGATCTTAGAATATCATTTCTGATTTTTGTTTTTTGATTATTAAAATACTTTTCTCTTACTTTTCTGTAAACATGCATTGAATACCTATTACAGATAACACATTTCGAATTTTACTTGAGCTGTCTTTGCACTTGTCACTGATATCTGGCATGATCATACCAAGTGGTTGGTAGAATTATGTCCTCTTTTTGTCCAATTCGGACCTCCATACACAATTTTTCTCTGTACCGCGATACGATGGAGTTCTCTCACTTGTCATACAGAGCGCGAGGCCCGGCTTTTACTCGGAGCTACTAATGTAAATAATGAACTTTTATCAGTAAAATATGCATTGTTAGATCAAATAAATGCCATCTGATATAGAGAACACGAATAATCCTAACGGTTAGTGAGTGCATTTTGTTCCGTTCAGCGTACATGTCAAGTACCGCGATACCCCGAGGTTGCAGGCTACATATTCAGCATTTTATTGAGAAACATGAAAGTTATTCTTTCATTCATTCAGTAATATATTCATGAAAACATAGGCCAGTGCATGAATATATCCATAGTCCCTAAAACAGCAACAATTACATGAGCGTTTGTCGAACAACTTTTTCTACCCTTCATGACAATGTCTAAAATTATGGTGGCGAGTTGGTATGGGCAAATGAATAACTGTCATGACATTTAAGGCGAATTGTTTTCGGATTTAGGGGGCCTATATCTATTTTGCATTTAATCGGCACGATTTTGCAGCAAACGGAATATTGTCAATATAAATTATTTGTGTGTAAATACTCAGTGGCTCAAAACATTGTTTTGAGGTTTTGACATTTCTATACATAAGCGAGAATGGTCAACAGAGGAAGTTGGGGTGACAACGAAGAAACAACAGGTGCCCGTTAAATTGTCAAACAATGTCTTCACAGTTATTGGTTTAGAAGTCGTTTAGCTTATATGAAACGGTGACGTAGATATCTTACTTGATAATCATCCAGTTCTTGTTCCGTAAAAGCACTCTGCGCACTACCCATCTTGAAATCTCTGTCTTCAGGTATATTTCGGTACGATCACTTCTTGACAATTTGGGACAGTGTATACGTCATGTAATTTGTGTACACACGTTTCGATGACGTTTTGTGGCAATACAATTCTTTGAACATAACACGAAACGAAATAATATGATATTACGTGGTCAGTCGTGTTTTTATGCAAGAAAATACTTTTATGTTTGTTACAGGTACAAAAAAATATTTGTGTCAATGCTTTAAAATAAATGCAATGATCTGGGGTTATTTTTAAATAACTCCAATGAATCTTGTTTCGATAAATTCAATTAAGTGTCATTTTACAAGGTTCTTACCCGGAAATAGTAAAAATAGGTTGATCGTGACAGTGACTCAAGACAAAACACTGTCAAACATATACAAAGAATAGTAAATACGTGGACAACAACTAATGTCGATGTTTGCTCAAGTTCAGTCAAGTTCAGGTGCGTTCAATTTATTTCTATGCTTTAATTAGTGTCAGTAAGAATGGCAGGTTTGGTCAGAAATTGGTAAAGAGCGTCTTTCATCAAATATCATTAACTGTTGACTATTCAAAGCTTTCGTCTGTTATGCTTGATCGAAACAATAACAATTGAAACAGTATAGATTGCCTTAACTGTATTTGATATGAATAGATGGTATGGTGTATTTTTTTGTTTTCATAGAGTTGACCATGTCATTAAGTCTTCAATGACTTCATGGAAGTCCGACATTGATCATGTTGATTGTGAAGTAAAAGAGGCTAAAAGTAATGGATATTCACTTCTGCATTAACCTATTTAGCTGAAGTTCAGGGAGTGCTGCACTATATCGGACACACATTTTTTGATTTCAGTTAGTGCCATGTATAGGATTGAACTCGCCTTGCAAGTTGAAGTTAAACTAGATTAATGGGTTAATTTAATGAACCAACATTATATCAGGGATCATTGGCACTATCACATTTAGACCTAACTAGAGCTTGTTTATGATACAAGCCTTGCGTAAGATAGTGCCTACCGTACTAGTAATATGTGTGAAGGTGAGAAAGCATCTGTATGATGTATGCAGGTTTACGTTATGTTGTTGTGATCAGCTGTTGAACAAGTTAGCTAACCTTGTACCCCAAGATAGAAATATATGTTTAACATGTTTAGGAGCACCTTTAGAATACAGTACCACAACTTCTCGTGAGGACGTTCTCTGCCGTAAGTCACATGTCACAAGACAAGCAACTAGTTTTAGTGAGAGTCCGTTGGACGCGAACCCGCGACCTTCGGATTGTTAGCCTGACAGCTAACAGACTGAGCTACATCCACACTGTTGAATTTAGTGCAAATTTACCTAGTCATGCCTATGACGTTGCGGAACTGAACGAAAAGGGTCGAATAGGTGACGGACACTTACGAAGGTTATGGGTAGGCATGGTGTCTCGTGACTTTAGTCTACGGACACTTACGAATGATCACGATGCCATTTGGCACACTCGTCCCATTCCGTAATCTACAAGATACCGGGTGGTGAGGAATGAGCCGATATGCCGCGAACTGAAAACGTCTCCAGGCGTCAGACGTCAAACTCGCGAGTGCGCATGAATGATATGGTATTTAATAATTCGTCGGGTGATTTTTGTGACAGAAAACTGTGGTAGGGAACACTGTAAGGATGATGTGGATAATAGTAAGGAACGATGGAGGAATAACCATGACTAGTGACGACACAACGGTGAGTTCGCTTTTGAATCAGTACTGAAAAATGTAGCCGGTGAAAGTGGCTTGTGTGAATGTTCCAGGACAGTCTCCAGTAGCCAAAATATTCGACACAAAACCATTTCATCCTTTTTACTCGAAGTATTTGTGGGAAGAATATAAGGAGCCGCTATATAATCTATAATAGCCACTAAACGAGTACCTAGCTCTTAACCCTAATGATCGTAAAGGGGTGATTGATCGTAAAGGGGATCCAAGGGTTAAGGATAGACTTAGGGTAATCTAATACCAACTAAACGGGTTCCTAACCCTAATGATCGTAAAGGGGTGATTTATCGTAAAGGGCTAAGGATAGAGTTCGGGGTAACCTACCCTTACACTGGCGACATTTGGATGTGTTCAGCACCACTAAATATCCCTAACAAACTACATTCTTGTGCATAATAATGAAAATTAATGCACCGAAAAAATAATATATGTATATTAGTTCTCATTTATAAACCTTTTAGCCACTTGAATTACGAGAAAAACGAAATAAAAAATATATAAAAAATAAAAGTGCTTTCGTAAACAAGCGCTTGCAATAAAATGCGCCGCTGCAGGCTATATTCAGTAAACAAATATTCAAAACTCTCCACAGCGCTTGGCGTATTCAATGACATTTCGTGTAGAGATGATAGATCACTGGGAGGAGCTTATGCACACTCGATGACGCCTGACGTCACAGGGCATTGTTTCGCCGGTGTGACTGGCAACAAAATACTACAAATTACGTCATGGGGTATGATCATGTGTTTGAAAAGTTTGTGGTACTGTATTCTAAAGGTAGGCCCATGTTTAAAAGAACATTAAAATATGTTGAAATAAAATATATATTCAATTAACATGATCAGTGGGGAAACTACAGAATATGTTATTGTAATGGTCACAATAAGTATATATGTATATGTTATAAAGTATGATGTAGATGGGAACATCTGTTTATGACCAGAAGAACATTACTCCTTACCCATCATTTGATAAGGTAGATGTTTGTTATTCCAGACTTTATCAGTACAATACAGATAAAAGAGGTTAATTCACTGTATATTCTGAATGTAATATATTTGTCTTGCATTGTATTTTTGCAGGGCAAGCTAACAATGTGGGATTGTATGAGGTAATTATTGTTATTATTATTATTATTGTTATTGTTATTCTGATATCCTGGTCTTTCAAAGTTTATTTGGGGGTACTCTATGTAGAGATGGACCGCTGTGGTCTAGTGGTTGAGCGTCCGCCCGGAGAGCAGAAGGTCGGGGTATTGTGATGGTATTTGTTGTTACCCTGTCTGGCACTCGACATAAAGGGGCTAAAACATTCGACGTAATAAGCGCCCAGGGCGCTCTCGAAATTAGAAATAGGTGGCTCTTATCATGCTTATTAGAATATTATTTTGGTAAAAAGGGAGGGTTGAAAGATAAATTTTGTGGTTTATGCTGACAACCTGATGTGTTTGTGTACAACAGATATATTTTTCCAGAATTTAATTGCCCATAATTAAGGGTGCATATAACACACGAGTGCGTATTATACACGAAGTCTTGTGTACATTGATCAATCGGAAGGGGTGCTAATTGGGATTGTTCACTAGCCAATATATTAGCAAATGTCTCCGTGGGCACTTATTAGAGCGGGGCGCTTATTACGTCAAATACGGTACTGGTTGGCTCGGACTGTGTCTAAATGGAGTATTCATGACTGCGGCATGGTATCTCAGTGGGCTAGCACTATAAAATCAGCATCAGTCCGGACTAGTACAAGAAACCACAAACACACATATATGCACATCGCTATATAAATGCAATAATCTTGAACGCGACGTTAAACCCAATTTCATCTCTTCTTGTCGGTGTAGAGTTACTCCCCTTGGGCAAGTCAGGTGTGCCAGAAACATAGGATAATCATGATCATTGTTCAAACTTCGATTCTCCCGGATAATGTTTCTCGGCTTGTCAGCACCATACCCATGCTGATGGCACTGGGGTGCAAAAACAGCGAATGTCCTAAGACCTGCATTACAACAGTCTTTCCTCCCACCTCAAGCTGTTGCGATGATATAACGAAAGTACTGTTCAAAGCAGCGTTAAACGAAACTCCCTAAAGTTCCAATTAGGCCAAGCAAATACATGACTGTTATTGCCCAAGAGATGAAAATCACATCAGGTTTGGTGAAAAAGCTGATGGCTGACATGCCTGATGACTTCATGACAGTAAGTTACACATTAACACTGTTGAGAAAAAAAGAGTGCAACCAAAAACGGCACCTTGGCAAAATGGCGCCGATTCCTCAGGCGAAAGGGGCACCTCATTTGGCGAAAACAGGTAGTAACTGTCGGGCGAAAATGTTTCCTCTATTTTCAATAATGATAAGAATGATTTATGTAGTAGTATATATATGCTATATTTAAATGCTTTATTATGTTATGTTGTATGTATGTTTTCCTTGGGGGGGACACACACGGTCTGTTATCTGCAGAAACATTCTTGTGATGTCAGCTGCCGACAGAAAGGGGAGATATATATGACATATCTATCAAATTACTATTGATTTCCTACTTACTCAAATATATGTCAAGTATATAGTATACCTGTAGTCCCAATTTCTTGACATTTCCACCAGACTCAGTTTCAGCTTGACATTAAGTTAATTTGGGTAAACATGTTAAAGGTAATCAAAGCATGTGATGTTTTCACAATACGTTTAGTTGGAATAGAGGCTAATTTCTAATGTAAACTTGTTTTAAGGCGATTAACATTTCACAATTTTGTGTTTGCAAGTGACCATGTGAGTTTAATTTCGCTTTAGGCAAGGTGAAATTATCGCCAATCGGTGCCATTTTCGCTCAGTGACATTTTACTGAGGTACATTTTAGCTATAACCCGAAAGAAAGATGTAAATATATTTATGTGTGAGGCTAAGAGGATTTTATTCTAACTTAAACAAATCAATTATTCCAATAATAATCAGAAACGTTGTATGTTATTGTTATAAGTACAATCCATCATATTACCGTCGTTACCAGGTAATGTTTCCTATTTTGAACTTAAGGTGGTTAATTAGATTGATCAGTATGTCTTGTTGACAGGTTTTGCAAACACTTTCAGTGTCGAAACCAGTAAATGTTTTGCACCCATCACATTGGCTGGTGTGCACAGGTGGCCCAGTCGTCTAAGGTGCTGCGATTTGCTGTGCAGAGTTGCATCCCTTGGGCACACCAGAAACCTATGATTGTGGGTTCGAATCCCAGTTTGCCCTGATTATGTTTCTAGGTTTTTCAGCACCATACCCATGCTCGTGGGTTTCAACTTTCACTGAAGTGGTAAACGTCTGAGACCTGCATCACTTCGGGCTTTCCTCCCACATTAAGCTGACACGCCGTGATATACCTGGAATACTGTTAAAAGCGGTGATAAACACAACTCACTCACTCACATTGGCTGTCAAATGATGTCTACACATAGTCTCATCAACATTATTAAGAGATGTCACCTAAAACACACTGTGTATTTTCAGGAGGTCAAGCTGTACAGAACAGCAAGGGAGAGAGAAAAGTAAGTCTGGAGAGTTAGTGAGGGAATGTCCAGTTAGTGTTGCACATCAGCAAACTTTTAGCTGATTGGGAAATAGTTTCAAATCTTTCAATTATGTCCAATGTTACTGTAGCGGCCATAAAATTTCCGAGTCCCGTGTGGGTTTCGAACCACTGAGCTTCTGATCAGAAGTCGGACGCCTTGTCCACATAACCAAAGAGGTTAACCCCGTTGGCAAGCTGACAAGGTAAGGATGTCATCTGTGGGATGACTCCACGCCCTGCTACATACTTCCCCATCAACAGAAGGCACGTCCCGGGCCACATAGTACGGCACTGAGGCTTATATTGACCTAATTTAATATGAACGTGCTCAGCCCCACGTTGGGCGCCAATGTAGTGGCCATAAAATGTCTGATTCCTGTGATGGGATTCGAACCACAGACCATCTGATAAAAAGTCGGACGCCTTGTCCATATGACCAAAGAGGTTAACCCCGTCAGTAACCTGACAAGGTAAGGATGTCATCTGTGGGATGACTCCACGCCCTGCTACGTTACCATGGTCACTATGTGTGTGAATATGAGTTTTGTGGCCTCTTATACCAACTTAATCTGTCCATGACCAGCATTTGTCATATTCCAATGACTTCATTATTTTAAAATTTAAAAACATAGAATCTAAAGAATTTTCTCTTTTTTGGGGGTGAGCTTATGTATATTTGAAATTAATGAAAATTATTCACATTTAATTTGACTGTGTTAATAAAATTTCCATAAGAATTATATACAGATATAAGTTTGATGTTCACATACATTCAGTACAGGGCCCACTTGCACAAAGCAATCTTAGCGCTAAGACTATCGTAAGCCTGTGTTAAAGTATGTGAGTTATTATCATCTTAGCGGTAAGATTGCTTTGTGCAAGTGGACCCAGGTGTACAGATTGTCAAATTCTTCACACTGTATTCTTGTCCTGAATAGCCTGCATGTTTGTTCCCCAGGTATGACAACATGGCTGACCTGTATGCTGTGATCAACACCCTTCAGAGTCTGGAGAAGGCCTACATCAGGGATGCTATCCTGCCCAAGGAGTACGTTCCATACACTCATCTTCCCATAGTCTGGATCTGTAAATAACTGTCTTCAGCAGCCCATGCTTGTCGTCAGAAGCAACTAACGGGACAGGTGGTCAGGTTCGCTGACGAGGTTGATGCATGTCATCGTATCTCAGTTGCCTAAATCGAGACTGCCATCATGTCGCTGCAGTGTTGCAAGAAATAAACAGTAAATAACTGTAGAAGACGAGACTTAACAGGCTACCAAATTGCTGATGTTTGAAACTAATTATATCCTTGTCTCTGTTGAAACCATTTGTGCCGCTAGGCTCCTTAATATTCATTGAATATCCTTTGTATTATCATGATTATATTTTTATTCTATTGTGATAAATGTCCTGGATGTATACACTACCATAGGTTCGTCTTGACTCTTATTTGTATGAGGGGGCACAGGTGGCCCAGTCGTCTAAGGCGCCGCAATTCGCTGTGCAGAGTTGCGTCCCCTGGGCACGCCAGAAACCTATGATTGTGGGTTCAAATCCCGGTTCGCCCCGATTATGTTTCTAGGTTTGTCAGCACCATACCCACGCTCGTGGGTTTCACCGAAGTGGTAAACAACTGAGACCTGCATCTCTTTGGGCTTTCCAAACACATTAAGCTGACACGCCGCGATATAACTGGAATACTGTTAAAAGCGGCGTTAAACACAACTCACTCACTTATTTGAATGAAACTATGCTAAAAATAGCAACAAGGCGAAAATGGTGAATGGGCCCAGGATATTTATTATTAAAGAATGGTGATAAAATACAATGGATAATCAAGGATGCACAATCACCTTCTTTCCTTGTGGACAAAGGCAGACAACTCTTTACACAGAGTTGTGTCCCTTAGCTGCCAGAATGTGTTGCTGTTAGGTTCAAATCCCAGCTTCACACACAATTCCTGGTTTGTCAGCACCAAGGGTAGATCCAGCATTTTTAAGAGGGAGGGTCCAAAATATCAATCATTGGTTTTCCAAGGGAGATGGGTCCGGACCCCCAGGACATCTATTAGCACTATGTCCCTTTTGCTGAAGTTGTGAACATATATGACGTGTGTCACATTTGTCTTTCTTCCAAAGCTGGCTGTCTGGGATTTGACACCTAATCAGCAATACTGGTGTTAGACCTAATGTACTTGCTCACCTAGTATCAGGGGCGGTCGGGTAGCCTAGTGGTTAAAGCGTTCGCTCGTCACCCCGAAGACCCGGGTTCGATTCCCGACATGTGTGAAGCCCATTTCTGGTGTCCCCCGCCGTGATATTGCTGGAATATTGCTAAAAGCGGCGTAAAACCGTACTCACTCACTCACTCACTCACTCACTCACTCACTCACACCCTTACTTACCCACTCACTCACTTACCCACCCATCCACTCACTCACTCACTCACTCACTCACTCACCTAGTATCAGTTCGTAATCAGTGCTGAGCAATAATTGTCCTTCTGCTATTTGCATGTTTGTTCCAAGATTGTTTTGTTGTGTGTGTGTGCAAGTGAAACCCAGTTTAACACGGTGTGTTTGTGTGACAGGTACACTGCAGCCTGTTCCCGGCTACTGGTTCAGTTCAAGGCTGCCTTTCGCCAGATACAGAGTGAATTCCCAACTATTGAAGACTTCCTCAAGAAATACAGAGTAAGAGGGGCACCTGCTGTACACCTGTTGAATAAGGTGTTCATTGTGGATGTTAATGTTTCAGTTATTGATACGAATCTCCAAGTTGTGTATCAATAAACAAAATGTGAATATTGATACAAATATGATTATTTACCCTTTGAGGTTGTTGCTACACTTTCTTAGACATGTTTTATATTTGTCCCCATGGTCATAATGATAGTGATGGAAAATCTATGTAAAGACGAATTAAATGAGAGAGTGATATGTAAGGAAGAGCCTCTATGAGAAGTCTCTTCTTGCCAGAATTATCCATCTTCCCGAGGCAAGCGTGTCCACTAGCCTATATCAAAGCCTAGTTTCTACCCTTGCCACATCAAGGCCACTTTTCTTGGCTCGACCCTGGCGCCACCTCGCGTAGATCACAAGTTGTGCCCCTTGTAATGAGAACTCGATATCCAATCAGATCGCCTATAGTTTCACAAAGATGGCAACTACCAAAGGCGACGACCTAGTCGATCAGATAACAAAAACATTTGAGATTTCATCCCTGACCCAAAGACATAGGCAATTGTTGGGGGGTTTAAAAGATGAAAAAGACAATCGTGTCAACAAAGACAGGCAGCGGTAAATCACTTTCATACAAATGTGTACCAGTCGTGGATGTTGATTTTGTGAAACGTTCTCTAATTGGAGTATCGATATGTGTGATAGTCCAGTCATATTTAGCACAGGAAAGTGGGCTTGATGTGGCAAGGGCGGAAACAAGACTTAAATACAAGGCTGGTGGATGCTCTTGCCTCAGGAAGATGAGAATTATCAGTCTCACTAAGTTCACCTTAAAGGTTTAACATGTTCAGCAAATTGAATGTTTAAGGTTTGTGAGTTCTGTTTACGCAACTGTCACTATCAGTTCCGATCATCCCTGGGCAGTGAAGGTGAAGATGATTTTAGAGATGAACAAAAATAGTGGACCACCATTGAGATAAATTATCAAAGTAAAATGTTAGATTCCAACTTTCTTCATCACAATGTCTGTAGTCTTCAGGGTTCATGCAAATTTCATGCATGCCATCATTTTCCTTGTCTGAAGTTTTACAAAGACGAAGGTATTTTCTCAGTGACAACTATATGATGCTGCTACTTTGTGCGTTTCCAGTTAGATTGTCCTGCAGCCCTGGAGAGAATCAAGGAGGATCGACCAATCACAATTAAGGATGACAAAGGAAACACAAGCAAATGTATTGCAGACATTGTGTCGGTGAGTACAGCATTATTTACTCTTCTCAGCAGATACCAGTGTTTATTATTCTCCACCACGAAGTGGAAGGGGGATATAGGAATGGGTGCTGTCTATCCGCCCTTCATATTTCGTTTCAGCAACCAGACTCAATAACCAAAAGCGATATCTTAAGCAAACTTGGCATATTGATAAGTCTAGTAGTGAAATGGTGCATTTTAATATTTTGGGATTTTTTAGTTTCCATAGCAGCGACTTGCTCCTTTCCAGAGCAGATCTTGAAAACCGTACAATATTTCTTGCCTTGCACACAACCGGACATGTCATATTGGCAGGGATATCAGTATTTCATGATTGTTTGTTGTGTCATGCATCATTTTGCTGTTTAGCCTGATACATTATGGTCTATCATTCACATAAGAGATTCGTGTAATAAGTACTTAGATTATTGTGAAGGTATAATAATAGATACTACCTCTTTCAGCTCTTCATCACAGTTATGGACAAACTTCGGCTGGAAATCAGAGCTATGGATGAGGTATTGTTTGCGTTGCAAAAACCCTGCAAATTTGTTAACAATTTGTTAATTTGTGACCCGTGAAGATCTGGTGTAGAATAGGTCTTCAGCAACCCATGCTTGCTTTGAAAGGCGACTATGCTTGTTGTAATAGGCTACTAAGGGGATCGGATGGTCAGGCTTTCTGACTTGGTTGATGCATGTCATCAATCCCAATTGCGTGGATCGATGCTCATGATGTCAGTCGCTGGATTGTCTGGTCCAGACTCGAATATTTACAGACTGCCGTCATATAGCTGGAATATTGCCGTCATATAGCTGGAATATTGCTGAGTGTGGCGTTAAACAACAAACAAACAAATGTTAATATGTATTTAAACTCCACTGACAAATGTAATCCAGTAATGTTTTCTCCAATACTTCATTCTTGTAAGAGATAACAACCCCGAGCCAGACAGTCCTCCTTTCATCCCCTTACTGCCAGGCAGGGTAACAACAAGTATCAACTTTTGTCTTTTGGTATAACACAGCTGGAAATCAAACCATCGGCCTTCTGCTCTGCAGCAGGCTCTATATCTACTGGACTACTGTGGTGGTCTTTCTCATTGAATCATTGAGTTGAGTGTTTGTGTTTGCGTGTTCACAGATCCAGCCTGACCTGCGTGAGTTGATGGAAACCATGACACGCCTCAGTATTCTGCCAGGGGACTTCGAGGGGAAGAAGAAAGTTGAAACTTGGTATGATTAAGATGCGATTTGAAATTTCATCTGTTCAACATGCTCAACTAATAATTTGATTTCAGTGTTATTGATATTAAAGTCAATGTACTGAAACGGTTATTATGCATTCATAGAAAAATATTTTAGCATTTAAAGAACAAAATAAATCCCTTTTTTTTAATATTTACCAAGGAATATATACTCACTGCCAAAAGAAACACGAACCATAGAAACATAGGAGTATGTACATTAAGAGATGTTTCCAATGTGTAGCACTTAATGACAAAACTAACAATCAGTCAAGTGTTACCAGTGTCTTTATCTTTATCATGATATGCTGCACGTGATTTCCTAACTTATCACGCTAATCCTGCACTTGACATGGTGCATCCCGTGTCATGGATCTGTGACATCACGTGATGAGTTCATGAGCATAGGTTCACACAACATAATCGTATGTTCGTTTGTGGATCAAACCAATCTAATATCTCTTGAATACAGTAGAACAGGGATATAACGAACACGGATATAGCGAACAAACGGATACAACAAACTGTTAAAAAATCCCTGATTTATCTCCTATATAATATCATATAAAATTTACGTATATAACAAACTCTCTACAGCAAACTGGCGGGTACAGCGAACTGATATCTGATCACTGACAAGCCCATCCATCACTAATTAGTGACGTGTATAGCGAACTGAGAAATCTCACTCAGTGTCAAGTGTCACAGACAATTGGCTGTACGCGATCAGCGGCGAATCAACACAATGACGGCGAATCAATACAATCGGCGGTGACGGACCAACCTTGTCAAATTTGCATTGTGTTAATCTTACCTGTACATGTAATCTTGTCTGTGAAACAGACATTAAACATATACATTTTATGAGATTGTGTCCAAGTGTCAGTTCACTTGCATATGCTATCATGGCGGGCAATAGTAAGAGGACTATCAGTTTAGACACGAAAATGAGAATTATTAATGCTGTTGATGCCGGCTTAAAAAACAAGAAAGTCAAAAGCTGACGAACTTGCAGTGAAATTAGGCCATGAAGATTTCATGTGTAACACTGCAATTACGTGTATTGTGTTTTGTCTTATCCAAGATGGCGGACGTTTCCGAGCGAAAACGTGTATAACGAACAACGGATATAACGAACTGATTTTTCTGGTCCCTAGTAGTTTTGATATCCGTGTTCTACTGTATGAGTAATTCTTAATTATTGTAAATATATTAACCAACATGGTATTTGTGCTACTATTGTCTGTGAGTGTATTAAACTCTACTGAAGTCCGCCTAGTAAATGATGTAAGAAGGTCAGTCAGAGAAACAAACAAAATGTTTTATGTGTTTAATCTAAACTTTAAAAATAAAATTATTTAGGGTTTGGCAAATTTAGGTGGACTGCGTGTAGGGCTGGGATGGGTAACTCGGGTACCTGGGTCGGGTGTGTACTGAGTAGCACCCAGGTACCCACAAGACTACCCGACCTGTGGTTTGTCATGTGATATATAATGATAAAAATTATCTTGAACTCTATGGTTACACTACAAGTCACTAATGTTCGCCTTTCTTTCTGACTATGCACCCATTCCTTCATTTATTATGGTTGAATAAAGATACTAGTATGACTTAAGTCAACTTCAGTGTATGCATGACCGGATTGTTTAATACATGTATCTAAATACGTTTTTCCAGGGCTATGTTATAAAAATTCCCAAACAGACATTTTGAGACATCTCTTGAGACCTACAGTGGGTACCCGGGTAGGGTTGGGTAATAGCAGGTGGGTACCCAGGTAGTAAATTCAGACTTGTCCCAGCCCTAGCTGCTTGTTTCCAGTGTATAACAGAATGTCACATTGTGTTTCAGGCTCGACACACTGAGTGCTATGCAGGCGTCCGAGGAACTGAACGATGGACAAGTACGACAGATGTTGTTTGACTTAGAATCAGCTTATAATGCATTCAACCGAGTCCTGCACGATCATTAAGACCCTGGACGGCTTGTTGGATTGTCTGTTTTACCAAATTCTGTGATTGTGTATTTCATCGTGGGAGTCACTGTCAGCAGCGTGTTGAATGGCATGGATGAGCCGAGCATGTTGATCTCCATGGGACGAAGTAACAGGAACGATAAGGCTAGCATGTGGTTTATTCATGGTTCAAAGTCATACGTTAAAAACATAATGACACATTATTTCAGAAAAATAAGATTGATTCCTAAGATTCAAATAAGAAGGAAATAAGACTTTGAAATTAATTTAGAAGTGATACAAGTAAGAAAGAGAATTAATGGATGTCAGCTTCTTTATCATGAGGAACACAACGTTTCGGAGTATAAACTTACTCCTTCATGTTGAAATAGTCTGTCAGCCCACTTCAGATTTTTGAAACTTGTAGCTGGGTTTTCAGATTATTCTAGTACACATGTAAAAAGGTTTTCTTATAAGGAAAAACCATGCAGGCATGTAACCAAAATTATTTATGGTAATGATTTGTCTTAATCTGTTTTAAGGATTAATAGACCTACCATGTCTTTGCTTCAGTGAGACCATACAACTGTGGTTTTAATAGGGAGATGCAAACGAAGCTTGAATGTCTTCAAGAAAAGTTTCAGTGCATGATTGCATGATTTGGCCATGGGCTCAAGTCGTGGATGTCCTGTTGTAGTCGGTAGCCATGGTATTCCCTGTGACAAGTTCACCCATGTAGGTTTGTTCCTGCTCTTATCATAGATCTGACCAACAATAATCTGATAATCAATGCAGAGGTCCAGATAAGCTTTTGGTGTTGTGGGTATTTTACCCATGCATTTTAAAATCATTGGGTATCAGTAATTCTATCTGGGTATTCAAATTTCTGTTACCCACTAGTTTTTACACATGTGGGTATTTAAGTTAAATATTTAAAAACACTGTTCATCTAGTCCCTGCAAACTGGTGTCGTGTGGGTTCGAGAGCTTTAGAGGACTCAAAAATACCACGATACTTCCACAAGAAAGTGTGATGGCAAATGATCATGATCTAACTGTCATCGTGGAGTTTGGCAAGGTTGACGGAATGCCCGTTTATAATTTCAAAATAAGTTACTCATTTGCTAATCGAATCTGCAGGGTTTCTTCACAATATTGTGATGATACGTACAAGTTTTATTTTTGTAGCATATCTGTAATGTTCGTTGCGTATTTGATACGCTTGGATTTTATTTTACTGCGTATTTCTGCATTTCTGATGCGTATTTTACGCAGATACGCAGCTTATCTGGAGCTCTGTCAATAGGCCCGTTTCTTGAGTTGGTCATTGCTGACATGACAGGCTACAGATATGCACTGTCCACTATGTCAGCTGTACTTGATAAACAGTTATGTCTGTATCCTAGAGGAAACAATGAAACATGAGAAACTTCAATTATCGACTCTCAGATTGGAATGTGAAAAAATATATGAACAGAAGTGGTCTGCCAGCCATGAATAAGTGAAACCTATGTTCTGTCAATATAATACTATTATTTAAACCTGTTGAAAATGTATCTTAAACTCACACCTTGACTTTTTTCATCTACTTTCCTAACAGTTTAAGGAAATAAAATATATTTGAAATTGGATATTTATGTTCATGTTTTTGACATTCTAGCCTGAATATTTTAGCCAAAAATCCCTAAAAAAATAAACAAAAAAAGGATATGTATAACCTATGAGATTCAACAGGATAGGATGCCTCTTGAATATCAGGGATGGACAACTTGCCATTGACAAAATGGTTTACAGCACAATCTGATAGGGTAATATTTTCTGTGTGTATATATTCTCTGTAACCTGTGTGAGGGGGCACGGGTGGCCCAGTCGTCTAAGGCGCCGCTATTTGCTGTGCAGAGTTGCGTCCCTTGGGCACGCCAGAAACCTATGATTGTGGGTTCGAATCCCTGTTCACCCTGATTATGTTTCTAGGTTTGTCAGCACCATACCCGTGCTCGTGGGTTTCACCGAAGTGGTAAACGTCTGAGACCTGCATCACTTCGGGCTTTCCTCCCACATTAAGCAGACACGCTGCGATATAACTGGAATACTGTTCAAAGCGGCGTTAAACCCAACTCACTCTCACTGTAACCTGTGTGTCAATTTGTAAATAGGATGTACAGTCACAGGCTCATTTGTCAACCTCATCAGTGGCCATTTGATGTTTTTCACCAGCTAGCCCTCTCACAAGTACAATGAAAGTGAAGAAAATATTTGTCATATTTAGTTTTAAGTTGCTCTCTGATGTTAAAATGGGAAGCCAGTGACAGACATCAAATCCTCATTTTTGAACAGCTTTAGTCTCGAGACAAGTGTTATGGGTACATTGTATTGATGCTGGATCAAGTGTGACATGATTTATGTGTTTTCCTCTACATCATGCCACTAAAATGTTTTTCCTAGTCCAATCTCATTAAAATCAGATCTTAGTTCTCGCTACCGCTAAACAAAGATCTGAAGACATCCCATTACGGGTCACGTCAAAACGACCTTTCATCAGACCACAAGATCATGAAAGTGACAGTCGGAATGTGATTTCTAATCATGCATCCTCGAAAACTTTAACACATGTTATTCCGAACGATAGTTATCTGCTTAACGACTGAATCCATACAATCTAGACCACCTATTAGCCATTCCAGAATTTGTTCAGGTTTCAAATTTTTAATCGAGAATTTGTCAAAATATGTTTCGAATTGTAGTCGCCATTTTGAAATTAGTGCTGTAAAGCTGCCTTCTGATTGGCTAATGTCGACTTCTTGTCAGTCATTCTATTGGTCAGTCAAAGTTTGTGCAAGGTCAGTCTGACGTGACCAGTAATGGGATGTTCTCAGATCTTTATTTAGCGGTAGGGAGTTCTAAAAACTGATTTTAATGAGATTGTTCGTAGTCATGCCGTTTTGTTCATGTCTGTGTCTGTGCCTCAACCAGTGGGAATTCTGGGATGCAGTGAATTCAGTTTGTTGCTAATTCAGGTGCAACATTTCTCCTCATTCCTGGTTATTGTTTTTATATATTTTTCTCATTATGGACTCAAACAACATGGTAAGACATATTCATATATTTCCCAGAAATAATTTATCATGATAAATAGTTTAGGCTAAAAAAATATTAGTCTTCGTTTTTGCGCAGTGTCCACATCATCATAAAGTCTGCCGCATGTTCCGTTTTTATTTCCATTTTCAAAAAAGAAATCCTAATGCGATCCAATATAGCACAGTTACTTCCCTTTACATGCGAACTGCTTTACTGTGCATGGCATGGAGTTTGTATGCTTGTTTATGGCGAGAGGCCCTGTCAAGTGTTGATGGTACGCAACTGTTTATTTGGATACAAGTTTGAACAAGACAAAAAAAACACACTGTACTCGCGTAGTCGCGTACTATATTTTCAAAAGTCATTGCCTGAGAACCAATGCTTTTATTTTTGAAGCCTTATACAATAATTAATTTCAGTTTTAACTTTCATAACATGTTAATAGTTACAGGATAATTCTCAAATTGTGCAGATGACAAGGTTGTATCTATTGATGTTAATAGCACAGAAAAATATGTTGACAGTTTGTAAGATATGATTAATTGAAATAAACATTTCATATTTGTGACCATTAAAGTTCCATTCTTTCTCACATCAGAGGGCACAGGTTGCCCAGTCATCAAAGGCGCCCCAATAGGCTGTGTAGAGTTGCATCCCTTGGGCACGCAAAAACCAATGATTGTCATCTTCCCGAGGCAAGGGAGTTAACTGACTATAAAAGTCCAGTTTCCACCCTTGCCATCTGGGCTCGATCGTAGCGCCACCAGTGGCTATTACCAGTTATGTCCCTTCTAAGCCTCTCCCCAATGGACCAATCAGATTCCACCTCTCGTATCACTTGCGTTTGCTTCACACAAAATGGTGGCTCCTGGTCAGGACTATCTGATCGATAATCAAGATCTATATTGTGATAAAACAGGTCTAACATAGAGAAATGTGAGTGTGAGCACCTTGATTTAAAACATGAAAACATTTGGAAAATATCTGTTGACAATGAGTTGGCGGTGCACATGCTTTGCAAATCCTGCAATCGACCGAAATCTGCACGACAGTTTACGAACTGGATTTAGATTTCGGTGCGTGCTTTTGATTGGACTATGCATAGACTCGTTAGTCCAGCCACAATGCAACTCCATAGTACCAGCCTTGTTCGGCAAGGGTGGAAACAGGACTTTTATAGTCGGATAACTCTCTTGCCTCGGGAAAATGATGATTGTGGGTTCGAATCCAAGTTTGCCCCGCAAAGGCACCCCAGTTGGCTTTGTAGAGTTGTGTCCCTTGGGCACGCCAAAACCAATGATTGTGGGTTCGAATCCAAGTTCGCCCCAGTTCTTTCTAGGTTTGTCATCACCATACGAGGTGAGGTGAAATGGGGTTTAACGTCGCGTCTAAGATTATTGCACTTATACAGCGACGTGTGTGTGTGTGTGTGTGTGTCTGTTTGTACTAGTCCAGACTGATGCCAATTTAATAGTGCTAGCCCACTGAGATATCATGCCCCAGGTTAACATGAATACCCTACTCAGACACACTATACCAACTCCGAGCCGACCAGTCCTTGTTTTTAGGCCGAGCGCCAGACAGGGTAAGAACAAGTAACATCTTTTAACATCTTTTGGTATGATGCGGCCAGGGACCTTCTGCTCTCCAGGCGGACGCTCTACCACTTGACCACAGAGGCGTTTTAATCACCATGAGAGGGCTTGTGGGTTTCGCCAAGGTGGAAAATGTCTGAGACCTATCACTTTGGGCTTTCCTCCCACATCAAGCTGACACGCTGTGATATAACTGGAACAGCATTAAAAACTCACTCGCTCATGTCAACTAGAAGGGCAATGTGTTCAGACATGCGACTCAGTATATTCAGAATCAGTTTTAAAGATGTGGGTCTGGGCAACTGTTTCTCAATCAAGTCCGTGTTCCGTGGTTTGTTTGTTTTACGCCAGTCGGCAAAATACTAGCTATGTCACAGTGACCCGAAAATAATCCAGTCCAGGTCAGGAAAACCAGTGATTCATACTGTGATCAATGGCCCATACCGTCAGGAGTGAAGACACAGAATCAACCAAGTCCGCCTGACAACCTGATCCTCTTCTCTGTACAGAATGAACATGATGGACGTCCTCTACCATCCTTCCTAACCCAGGGTATTACATCTCCATAATGTTATGATCAATACCCAGGACCCATCACCACTGGGTACGCAGCAAGAGGTATCTGTGATGGGTTCGAGTGATGCAGGTTTTGTTTGTTTGTTGTTTGACGCTGCTCTCAGGAATATTCCAGCTATATGACAGCGATCTGTAAATAATCGAGTCTGGACCAGACAATCCAGTGATTGATATCATGAGCATCGATCCACGCAATTGGGATACAATGACATGCATCAACCAAGTCACCGAGCCTGACCACCCGATCCCGTTAGTCCCCTCTTACAAGCATAGCCGCCTTTTATGGCAAGCATGGGTTGCTGAAGACCAAATCTAACCCGGATCTTCACGGGTCAAGTGATGCAGGCGGTGATGGAGCATGGGTCCAGGGAAGATAGAATCCATTGGAGATACAATACACTGGATAATGAAGGCTGGCAGAAAAGAAAGAAAAGCAAATGTAGAGATATTCTTTTAATTTGAAGACAGGTCGACTTCACACTTCAGATTACACCAAGCGTATGCATAGAATCTGGTTATTTACACCAAAGGACAATGTCATGATCAATTGTAACCTGCAAATAACCGAAAGCAGGACTCGGTCAACAAAGTAAACACATGCATCAGGCTGGTACACATGAGAACTGGCTGGCTGGCAGAGCTGTTTGAAAAGTGAGAACAGGCAGATATTACAGAAACAACATGCTTTCATGGGGTGACTTTCCTGATGCCCTTGTGCCTAATAAACAGTCCGAGTTTCTTCACCTTGGAGATCAAGTTGTCTGCACAAGATCTCAAATCACCTAATTTCCTCTATCAAGGCCAGACCGTGTTATTCTTATGAGCATATTCTTATGTTTATGATGCCTTTTAAAAATGCCCATTAGTCTAAGGTATAATGAAGAAAGGTTTGTTTGTCTACAAGACTAACCAAGCAAATAATGCCTCATTCAAATAATAACTTGACCCTGTTTCTGACAAAAAGAATTGTAGAAGTGCAACACGTGCATTTCAATAATGGAACAAAAAATAAACAGCATCAATGTCTTGCTTTGATTGTCTTTGAGAAGTGTTCTTGAAATGAATACATCAATAACGACCTGAGGATGGTTATACAGTGAAACCCAGCTAATCTGGTCGTACCATTTCCAGTAAAATAATCCTGATAAACACATGCTGGGATAAGAGAGACACAAGTAAGTACATGGAGTAATGGCTTGTTCAGAAGGCAGGATTGTCACAAGGGGATCCACACTAATATTTCCCTGAATAAGATCAATGCCTATGATGAACCTGAAGATTGTTGCTAAGAAACAGACAATTACCTACCAGCCCAGTTCTGAAATGCCTGGATGGAGAAAGACGAAGCAATATATTTTTAAGGCTGATATAATACGTCATTTCCTTATATGATTTTGCAAACAGAACATATCACCTGGTCTGGCCTACTAAGGTAGTATTGCTATATCACCTGGTCTGGCCTACTAAGGTAGTATTGCTATATCACCTGGTCTGGCCTACTAAGGTAGTATTGCTATATCACCTGGTCTGGCCTACGAAGGTAGGATTACTACATGAAATACCCTGTACTTTAATGCACCAATGTTGGATGAGATTACAAACTAAAGCAGTAATGAAACAAGAACATAACCATGGTTACCAGACAGTCTTGAATGAATGTGATCATATATCTAAATGTACTGTCAGGAAGATTGATGTCATTGGATGATAATGTTCACATTAACGTTCAAACACCATATTTCATAAGTGAAGACAAGCACCATCAATCAAAAGTCAGACTGGATTACATGAAATTTCAAAAGTAAAAAGTAAAAAAAAATTCTATTAAAAGCAAAAGGCATCATTCTCCAATCAAATTTTAATGGGTTTTGATTTTCAGGAATGAAATGATTATAGACCACTATAACCTAAACATTATGGCAATAAGGTATTATAATATTCTGACATGAAGACATGATGTATTATGTGGACAAATGCCTAGAAATATTATTGCTCATAAGGCGGTATTATTGGTGATATTCAGAGCTCATGCAAATATAGTGTCAGTCAGCTCCGGATGTTAGCCCTCTGGTTCAAAGAACAATGAATCTTGCATGCATGTATTTATACTTCATAATAAAGACGACTAGAATGGCATTGCTGTAACCATGGTAACAGCTTAATCCTGGCATCAATAATGCATGATTCTTTATAAAGATCTCTTAAATATGGCTGCATGCACAGTAAGTGATATTTGTTTGTTTGTTGTTTAACGCTGCACTTTAATATTCCGGCTATATGACGGCGGTGTGTAAATAATCGAGTCTGGACCAGACAATCCAGTGATGAGCATCCATCCACGCAATTGGGATACGATGACATGCATCAACCGAGTCAGCGACCCTGATCCTGTTAGTCGCCCCTTACAGCAAGCATAGGTTGCTGAAGACCTATTCTAACCCAGATTGTCAGGTGTTGTAAGTGTTATTTAGTGTCAGACTAAGATGCCTTACAGCACATTACATGAGGACATGCAAAGCGTTTATTCCCTTTTACACTGACCAATCCAACATGAGCACACTTATCTAATATAATAAAAAAACATTCTTCTATTTAGCATCAGCACAAATGCTTCTCTTGAAAATATGAATGAATGAAGCTGATTTGGGAATTCCCTCCGCTTGGTGGCAGATTAATCAAAATATTCCCCTTCGTAAATGAAATATTTGTTCTGTTGTTAATTAACGCCACTCTCAGCAATATTCCAGCTGTATCATGGGGGTCTGGACCAGTCAATCCAGTGATTGACATCATGAGCATCGATCCAGGCAATTAGGTTACGATGACATACATCAACCAAGTCAGCGAGCATGACCATCCGATCCCGTTAGTCGCCTTTTACGACAAGCATAGTTGATTTTTATGGCAAGCATGGGTTGCTGAAGATCTATTCTAACCCCGATCTCATAAATGAAATAATGCGCAAAAAAATATAATCTCTTATCACAGTGATTGAATCGTATGATTACGAGAGTAGAATGTTGACAGGAATGAGACAGCGATAGGGAGATATGGGGACTATGTACATGGAGGAAGGGGAGTTATCTCCCCTTTTGAAGACGAAAGCACAGCTAGCAGGGGAATGGGTAAAAAAGTGAAGGATCATAAAAATATACTTCCGTGACATGTGTCATTCATGATGATGATCATAAACATTGATATACATATAAATTCACAGATATACATGGAAAAGCCTAAGCTTTTAGATGTAATTTAATGCCTATTTAGTTAATAGTCAATCGAACATCCTTCACCAGCGGCAGTATCAGCAGTCATGATAGTCATCAATACTCCACGGGTTTGTATACACTGTGTTCCTCCGTCCCCACTGAATGCATATGGCCACAATGCAGCGTAATTCCTGTTTTTAACTACCAAATCAAGCTGTGACCTAGTTCTGGTGACAGGAAAGACAATGAGTGCTCAGTTAACCCTCTTCCCTGACAAGAGAGTTATCTGACTATAAAAGTCCAGCTTCCACCCATGCGGAACTAAGCTCAAGCTCAAATCAAGGTGCTCAAGTAATGTGATGCACTTTGCGAGGTAAGTGTGAGTGAGTTTGATTTTACGCCGCTTTTAGCAATATTCCAGCAATATCACGGCGGGGGACACCAGAAATGGGCTTCACACATTGTACCCATGTCGGGAATCGAACCCGGGTCTTCTGCGTGACGAGCGAACACTTTAACCACTAGGCTACCCGACCGCCCCTGCGAGGTAGGACCTATTTTATAACAATATATATCTTGATAATAACAATATAATTCTTGATTTTCAGTCAGATCATCTTAACTGGGCACCACCAATTTGTGTGAAGGAAATGCAAGTAAAAAATAGGTGGAATCTGATTGGTCAGTAGGAAGGACATAGAAGGGACACTGGAAATAGCCACTGGTGGCGCTACGATCAAGCAACATAGTTCCAGCCTAGTTCGGCAAGGGTGGAAACTGGACTTATTAACTCCATTAACTCCCTTGTCTCAGGAAGATGTCACACAAATGCACTGTTTCTTGCGTGGTGTGAACAACAGTGCCCCAGCCTTCAGTGTGGCTGCCTGCACTATACACTGCTGGTTTCACGTAGGCTGGGACGATACACCAACTGGGAGATCCGATACGTATCACGATACCTAACTCACTATCCGATATGTACCACGATACTTGTGCTCTTACCTGTGGTGCGTAAGCCATCGCTTTCATAGAAAGAATGCCCAAATACCTGGCAGACTGATGATTTAAAGTTGGCAGTGTCAAGTATGGTACAACAAATGAAAATATTTATCTAAGTTTTCACTATTAACTTGCACTACTGATTAGTGTTTAGTGGAACAGTTATTAAGCAAACATTTAAGGTCAGAATGGATATTTTTTACTTAGTGTGCGACTGTGATCGATACTTGTATCAAGAAGTAAAAAATCACGATCCACCGATACATTGGAGTATCGTCCCACTACTAGTTTCACGTAAGTTCATGCACAGGGGGTATCAGTTTCGTGTAAGTTCATGCACGAGGAGTATCATTTGACAAAGGCCTCATTTCATTACCAATAATAGACATGCATCATAACTACACAACTTAGCAGCTGTATTTATTCATGGCGATGAAGGAACGTATAGCATACAAACTCTTGAAGTACTGACTGAGTCATGAGAAGCTAACATAACATGATTTAATATCTAAACATTCAGACGAAATAAGTACTTTGTGCTGTTACATACAAAAGCTGTGTGTCAAGTACATTAGCAATCGATCAAAAGCTCACCATACAGAATATATATGGTTAAATATATCCTTGAATATTTCACTGATTGACAGACGAGGTAATGTTATGATTATTGTGCACGATTACTAATTTTTTTATTTTGACATGGCTCTATATACTTTCTTTGTTTCTGTCAATTTTGATACGATATGTTTACAGGGTTTTAATCAGAACCACTTGAAGAAAATCTAAATACTTCTCTGCTGGTGGTGCCCGGGATAGGTTGGTCAGAGAGACTGAGGTTTTACGCAAAGTTCAGCAATATTCCAGCAATATCACGGCAGGGAACAAAACATCTTCCCGAAGCAAGAGAATTAACTGACTTTAAAAGTCCAGTTTCCACCCTTGCCGAACTAGGCTGGAATTACTGGGCTCGATCGTAGCGCCACCAGTGGCTTTTATCAGTTATGTCCCCTCTAAGCCTCTCCTATGGACCAATCAGACTCCACCTCTCGTATCACTTGCGTTTGCTTCACCCAAAATGGTGGCGCCCAGTCAGGGCGATCTGATTGATAATCAACATCTATATTGTGATAAAACGGGTCTTTCATTGCGAAATGCATCAAATCACGTGAGCACCTTGATTAAAAACATGAAAAGATTTGGAAAATATCTGCTGACATCGAGTTAGCGGTGCACATGCTTTGCAAATCCTGCAATCGACCGAAATCTGCACGACAGTTTACGAACCGGATTTCGATGCGCAATTTTGATTGGACTATGCATACTCGTTAGTCCAGCCAAAATGTAACTCCATAATACCAGCCTAGTTCGTCAAGGGTGGAAACTGGACTTTTATAGTCAGATAACTCTCTTGCCTCAGGAAGATGGGAACACCAGAAATGGGTTACACACAATGTACCCATTTGGGGAATCGAACCCGGGTCTTTGGCGCGACGAGGGACCACTTTAACCACAAGGCTTCCCCATTATCCCACCATGGTCAGAAGAGATCCTTATCACCCCTGCTGTGATGACGTAACATACACCGACAGTGCGGAGTTACTGATACCCCTGGCACATTCCTTTGTTAACCTTTCTACACCATACTTTTAGTTCGTTGTTCAATACCACCTCACAATATTCCAGCTACTGTATGGAGGACTAAATAACTAAGAGTGGACCACACCACTCAGTGGTGAATATTACGGACAACCAATCACACTGTCAGGGTACAGTGACACAACCAACAAGCCACCACGTCTGACCACCAGATCCATGACGACCAGCACAGGTTGCTGGGACCTATTCTAAACCAGAATCCCCAATGGGGCTAATTTGCGAGTAATCCCCTAACAGTCTGAAAAGGCAGTAAAAAGTTCACTGCATGAAAATCGAAAAGGTAACTGCTAGGAAGATGAGGGGAAGAAACTTACCTTCCCTGGATATCCTAATATCTATAGTATCATTCAGAGGGCAGGGATTGTTGGATCTCTAATCTACCCCTACTCAAAACATCGGTCATGACATTTTTCAGTAATCAATTCACTTGGCAAGAATTTCATTAATACTGATAAAATCCTAACAGTTGTATCCATCCGATAGTTCAAATAATTTGACAAAAATAATCGTTACATAAACCGGACTTTAAAAACCCTACCAAAATGGCAGTTAACATGACGTTTACAAAACATTTACTAAATGACAACTAAAATACTACAACTGGTCCTAACCAAAACAAAAATTCTAAAAATACATCTGAACATATGTGGAATGTGTTCTCCCAAATTGCTTAGAATGTTTTTCATGAATTATGTACACAGAATATTCTCCAAAACAGATATGTATTTTGTATGCATTCACAGTAAATCATGCATATATGCATTAAAAACATGTCGCATTTGACCAGCAAACCTAGAAGCAAGCAAAGCGTTATGACATTACTATGCTTGAGTATTGATAATAGAACAGTACTGCACATGCCCTGTTAGACTTGTCTTGTCAATATGACTTCCTGACCTTTGGTTGCTAGTTCAATATAACGCTTCTTACTGTAACAAAATTGATTTAAGTTGCCTAACTTTAACATAGCACAGTTACATCCTCGACTATCCAGAGTATAATATCTCCATTCTATAATTATGAATACCTGGGACCAAAAGCCACCATAGCTTCATTTTGAGTCTTTTTTGATTGCCACAAGTGGATATATTGCTATAGGACTTAACTCATGTCTTATCATACAGACTTTCCTCACCTGACTTAATGCCCAGGAAAACCTCTTTTTCAGGTTAAGCTTAAACTGTTAAATAAGCTCAACTCTAAACTCATCATGTTCTCGATCACAAAAGTCATCTTGATTTGTTGTTTGTTTAAACCACATGAGAGAAAAGTACGATGATATGTTCTTGAATACGGAGATACTGATGTCATTTCTAAAATACATCTATGGTGGAAAAAGGGTGAGATGAGGTAAAATGGGGTTTAACATCACGTCCACGATTATTGCACTTTATAGCGATGTGCATGCTTGTACTAGTCCGGACTGATGCCGAATTTATAGTGCTAGCACACTGAGATACCATGCCGCAGTTTAACATGACTCCCAGCAGACAAGTTCTTGTTTTAGCCCCTTAATATTGAGCGCAAGGCAGGGTAAAAACAAGTACCATCTTTTAACGTCTTTTGGTATGACATGGTCGGGGATCGAACCCTGGACCGTCCGCTCTCCGGGGATGCTCTACCACTAGACCACTGAGGCAGTCCTGGTGGCAAAAGGCCTTGGGTATTTATCATAATAGAATGGAGACAGAATGCACTGGATATCGAATGATGGCAGATAACGAAGACAAGCCTTTAGTTAAGATCAAAATACCTACACATATTACCGTTAAAATGGAAAGAGCAGTTTCTGTAATTGTATGTACTCATTCCATCAAATTTGCATTAACGTTTCCCTGAAATATTAATTTTGAGATCATTTTTCAAATATCAAAATAAATACCAGATTTAAATCTGATATATATATATCAAAAGTCAAACAAGATACATCAAAATGACAAAATTGAACCAATAAATTAATCGAGAGGCAAACTCTATCCATAGATGTTGTCCGATCTCTAGCACTAGGTCCATCACATGATGACTAGATATTCGTCCCCATCCCGCCACGTCACAGTCGGAGTCCTCGCAGCTTCATCAGGGGCTTCACCAGGAGGGGCGGCTTTATCTTCGGCTTCGGAGGTATAACCTCAGCCTCACTCTCGCTAGTCGGGAAGCGGCGATAGTACAGACTGGGGTATGTTTTGGAGAACTAAAGAGAAACATCCATTTAATAAATAAGTGATCAAATACCCTAGATTATGTACATAATCGATCAAACATGCAGGATACACTAGAATAGTTCATGTGTCATGTACTGCCTTGATATAGGAATACAAAAGGGTTTATTTCAATATGATCATCATTGATTCATTGAGGGATAATGCTTTTGAAACTGCCAGTTCTAGTGGACTGGCAGCTCTAATAATTACCAGTACCAAGCCTAATTTTACCGGTAAAAAACTGGTAATTACCAATTAACGGGAACACTGTAATGTTGGCATGAGTGATCGCGGTGATCAGCTGATAATGTTTTTTGAGATGGGGGAAAATATTGTGTCATTGGAAAACTTGAGTTTACTAAAAATGTTAGTAAATTTTGGGAGCCATGCTTTACCGGGCTATAACCGAAGTGCTCAATAACGAGGGAACACTGTTTGTAACAACTTGTAATGTGTGTGAAAAGTCGTACGAAAATACGCTATTTGAAGGGGGCGTGGCCTAAATGCAAATTTTCCGGATCCCTGAGCTCAACTGTATATTTAGTCAGTTTAAAAGGTCAACAATTACAGCCACTTTACAAAAGCTGCTGTCAGCATACAGTATTGAGCACTAGAAACTAACACTTACATCTACAGATTTAAACAAAACATAACGTCATCACAAGGTGAAACATGCATGCCAAAGTTCATCTCCTTCAGGTGGTTGTTACAAGAGGGAATACAAAAGCATGACCAACTTTAAAATGTTGCAAAATCAACAAAAAACAATGAGGAATCCCACAGTAACTTTGTTTGTTTGTTGTTTAATGTCGCACTCAGCAATATATCAGCTATAAGACAGCTGTCTGTAAATAGTCGAGTCAGGACCAGACAGTCCAGTGATTGACATCATGAGCATCGATCCAAAAATTGGGATACGATAACATGCATCAACCAAGTCAGCGAGCCTGACCATCTGATCCCGTTTGTCGCATCTTACAACAAGTATAATCGCCGTTTATAGCAAGCGTGGGCTACTGAAGACCTATTCTAATGCGGATCTTCACGGGTACCACAGTTAACTAAACAAACACCAAATTTCACAACATAATGACCAAAATGGCTGTGCAAGAGCCATGAATTAAACCAAATATAACTGCTCAATATCCCTTTATTGAAAACAGGATTGCAAACTCTTGAAAGGATTCAGGTGACCACATTGGTGAGAACAATCATGTTAAGTTTCAGCTTCACTGGTCCAGTGATTTTTTGAGAAGATGAGCATGACGCACAACGTACGACACACAACTGACACTGGACAAACAGGCCATGACATAAGCTCACTCGAAGTTCAGTCAGGTGAGCTAGAAAAGCTGAGAGTTGAGTAGAAAACTGAACAACTTACAGTCCACATCTGCAAGAGAAATACACAGCACAACACAAACTAGTCTACATCAATATTGTGCTTGTCAAAAAAATGTTCCCTCCTACCAATACTTTTCCAGAAGCAGTATCCCTAGTAGGGCTGGGACGGTTAACTCGGGAAACCGGGTCAGGTGGGTCCTGAGTAGGACCCGGGTACCCAAAAGACTACCCGGACCCGTGGCTAGTCACGTGATAGATTGTTTAATATTGTGGGTGATGTGTGATATACTGTGACTCAAATCACCTTCAACTTCAGGGTTCGAACATCATAATGTCACAAGGAAAAATAATGATAATAAAACTGGAACCATAGACGAGACAAACAACAAATCATTTCACTGTTCTTAATAACAATCTCATTTTTGTCAAAATTTTAAACTTCAAACATTGAGGCAATGTTGATTCTTTCATTTCAAAAATAACATATGGAGAGGTTTCAGATTGATTCTGATCAATATTAACTTGAATTTGTATTGACCAGTATTTGTCAAGTGAGTGAGTGAGTGAGTTGAGTTTAATGTCGCTTTTAACAGTATTCCAGTTACCGTATTCAACGTAATAAGCGCCCCGCTCTAATAAGCGCCCACGGCGATATTTGCTGATATATTGGCCGCTGAACAATCCCAATTAGCATCCCTTCCGATTGATCAATGTACACAAGACTTATTTATTCGCGTATAAAACGCACTCATGTGTTATATGCACCCTTAGTTATGGGCAATTAAATTATGGAAAAATATATCTGTCGTATATAAATATTTAAGGCTGTCAGCATAAACCACGAAATTTATCTTTCAACTCAGTTTTTTTCACTAAAATAATATTCCAATAAGAGCCCCCGATTTCTAATTTTGAGAGCGCCCTGGGCGCTTATTACGTCGAATACGGTATATCACGGCGTGTCAGCTTAATGTGGGAGGAAAGCCCGAAGTGATGCAGGGCTCAGACGTTTACCACTTCGGTGAAACCAACGAGCACGTATATGGTGCTGACAAACCTAGAAACAATTGGGGCGAACCGGGATTCAAACCCACAATCATAGGTTTCTGGTGTGCCCAAGGGACGCAACTCTGCACAGCGAATTGCGGTGCCTTAGACGACTGGGCAACCCGTGCCCCGAGTAGTGGACCAGCAGGTTGAAGATGTAAGGTGTTTGAAATTAAGAAGGTTCCTGGGGGTCTTTGAGATCTTCTCAAGTCTTAGGGACACTGTAAATCTGTTAGCTAACATTAGGGTGACAAGCTTTCCTGCCTCATTTAAAACACTGCTGTTTGTCAGACATTGAACATGTACACATATGGAGACAGCCTTTGTTGATTTGACAAGCACAATAATGGTGAGATAAAGCCTGAGGTCTCCACAATCTCATTAAAATCAGACCTCAGTTCTCGCTACCGCTGAACAAAGATCTGAGGACATCCCATTAGGGGTCACGTCAGAACGACCTTTCATCCGACCAATCAGACCATCGCTTACCAGATTATGAAAGTGACAGCCGGAATGCAATTCCTAATCATGCAACCTTGAAAACTTTATTCCAAACGATAGTTACGAGTTTAACGACTGAATCCATACAATCTAGACCATTTATTTGCTATTCCAGAATGTTCTTTTGTGCAAGTTTCAAATTTGTAATCGAGAATTTGTCAAAATATGTTTCGAAGCGTAGTCGCCAGTTTGAAATTAGAGCCGTAAAGCACGAGAAAGCTGCCTTCTGATTGGTCATTCCATTGGTCGAACAAAATTCGCGCAAGGTCGGTCTGACGTGACCCGTAATGGGATGTCCTCAGATCCTTGTTTAACGGTAGCAAAAACTAAGACCTGATTTTAATGAGATTGAGAACTCAGACTTGATCAAGCAAGACTACGCTACATAGATAACAGTTCCATAGTAGACCATCTCAAATACTATCTCAGTGTATTCTTCTACAATATCTCAGATCATGTTCACACGTCTACTGTTTCAGTGTTCATAGCAGTGGCCTGCCAAACCTAAAGAAAGGACTGGTCATGTCGAAAACCCTTTTCCCCACTGATCAGACCTTCAGTCTATCTTTTAATCATTTAACAGAAAAGTCATTTGACCTTTTTAGGCCATGCACCCACTGTACCAAATGGTTGTGAAATCAGTTCTCATACACAATTACTCAAGTATTGATAGGGATGTCTGCTGTTCCATACCACGAAACTAATTAATGCTAAGCATAAATACATATGTATGAGTGAGTGAATATGGTTTATCGCCGCTTTTAGCAATATTCCAGCAATATCACAGTGGGAGACACCAGAAATGGGTTTCACACATTGTACCACGTGGGGAATTAAACCCAGGCCATCAGCGTGATGAGCAAACGCTTAAACCACTAGGCTACCTCACCGCCCCAGTACATGGTAATGTATGAAATAACATAGTATCCCTTTCAAAAGTTGAGCAGTTTGTATATTGTTTTATTAGCCTTACAAAAAAAAAAGAATTGGTTCTCAGGCAATGGTTTTTGAAAATATAGTGCGGGCGGGCGGGCGGGCGGTGTCTTTTTTTGTTTTTTGTTGTTAAAACTAGTATGTAACCAATAAACAATTGTGTACAATCAACCTGGGAAAGGGCCTCCCTACATAAATATATTCCTTGATGAGTTAAATACTGGAATACAGTATTTGACTACCGTTGGACTTGGAATATTTAAGGATTTTTTAATTTTTTTTAATAAAATGGAAATAAAAACGACACATGCGGAGAACTTTATGATGATACGGGCGGTGCCTGAGAACCAAGACTATTATTTTTTTAGCCTTAAATCAATTCTCTTAAATCCCCTACCAGAGTTGAGTCTTTAATCAGTATTTTGAAAAAAGATGAGGACATGAATCGATTATGGATAACAACTCGTTTATAACTTGTATCAATATTTCAGGGCCACTGCTTGCCCCTCACAGAAATTGTTATTCATGAAAGTTCCATGTCTACAAAATTTGATACCATGTCCTTAAATCATGTTTAGACAGCTGCCACTTAATAGATACAAAACTTTTGCCAAACATCTGAGTTGCGATACAACTACAAACAGGTTGTACTTGAGAATGATAACAAAATGAACTGTCACCTCTGTGGAACTGTCTAAAGCCTTGCTCACTTGTTTCAACCGTTTCTTCTTGTCCTTGATTGACATGGACTGATCTGCAATGATTTCCTCCAGGAGATCGGCCAGGGCCTTCTGGGAGCTACTCAGCTTCAGGGTCTCATACTGCTCCACCGAGACCTGCGTGCAGTAACGGGAAAGAGCGGGGTCTCCGGGTGAGTACACGATCTGGAAGGCAGACACACCACTCGTCAGCGAGCCAATTGGCGCAGAGTGATGTGTATGCACTGCCTAGATCGATATGTTCCTGTCCTACTTGGGAAAACGTGAGTGAAGATTTCTATCTATTCCCTTGTCAGTACGGTCGAGTTAGGGGCCTTATCAAAACCTTGAATAAACAGTATTACCGGTTATGTGGAAAATAGTTTCCGTTGAGTAGTTTATTATTTTCTATGTTCTACTAGTGTTCATTTATCATGTTACCACAACAAAAACAGTGATATTAGAGGCTTGGTGGCTAACTGTATCAGAGCTCCAGATAAGCTTTTGGTGTTGTGGGTAATTTACCCATGCATTTTAAAACCATTGGGTATCAGTAATTCTATCTGGGTATTCAAATTTCTGTTACCCACTAGTTTTTACACATGTGGGTATTTAAGTTAAATATTTAAAAACACTATTCATCTAGTCCCTGCAAACTGGTGTCGTGTGTGTTCGAGAGATTTATAGGACTCAAAAATACCATGATACTTCCACAAGAATGTCTGATGGCAAATGATCATGATGTAACTGTCATTGTGGAGTTTGGCAAGGTTGATGGAATGCCCGTTTATAATTTCCAAATAAGTTGCTGATTTGCTTATCGAATACGCAGGGTTACTTCACAATATTTTGATGATACGCACAAGTTTTATTTTTGTATCGTATCTGTAATGTTCGTTGCGTATTTGATACGCTTGGATTTTATTTGACTGCGTATTTCTGCATTTCTGATGCATATTTTACGCAGATACGCAGCTTATCTGGAGCTCTGTGTATGTAGGTTTCTGTGACATAATTAAATAATCAACATGATTGTTCTCATAATCATTTGTAACAGACCACACTGACATCAATAACTTTGAAAATACTGTAATACCCGGGAATTAACAATTTAAGTCCTTGGAAAACCTCATCAATTAACTGGACACTTCTCGTTGATTATTTTAATCTTGAATTAATGGGGGTAAAAAACAAGCACTTGAAATTTGTGTATGGCCAAGACTTTTGAACATGACGTCCCAAAACATGAACCCAAAGCATTGCTAAAAAGCAGTATTCAAGAGCTCAAAAAAATCTTTTAGCTAAAATGGTACAGAGTGCATACACATCAAATAAACAGAAATAAAATTCAAATTAACAACTACAGATAATTATTCTAAATCAAAAACTAAAATAAATTTCTTTAAAATTAATCAGGTAAAACTTTGACTTATTTAATTACTGTATTATTTACAAAAGAAATTGATTTGTTTCTACAGTGCATTTGAAATTATGGAAAGGTGGTTAGAATCGATCCATATATATGGGTAATATGGCAGAAAGATTACATATGACCAACAGAATGCAAAGCAGAGTATATGATGCTTGCAGTACCCAACATTCATGTGAGAAGCCAGAATATGCCAGGAAGAGACGTTAGAGAGGATATAGTTGTCAGCTCATCTTCATGAGTCAAGGGTGAGAAACAGATTGAGAAATAGAAGTATCTTTAGAGGCTGTGCAACCTCATTTAAATCAGAACGTTGTGCTGGCTAAAGCGAACCAAAACTTGTGTAGAGATATCGAGCACTAGAAAATCTGACATTTTAATGTTTTCGAATTGTACACAAATGAAATTTTTTTTATCTTGACATTGATCAATATGATCTTAAAATATCTGATTTTAGTCATGGCTAGATTTTGATATCTTATTGAGCACAAATGCCCAAGTTATATGACTGATTGACTGACAGTACTCAAGACGAAAGAAGATATAGCTGCCAGATCTGGGTATTATATCAAAGCCCAATAATATTGATGATACATTCATATACATGGTGAGTGAGTGAGTTGGGTTTAATGCTGTTTTGACCAGTATAACAGATAAATTATCATACCATCAAAGCCTAATATTATTGTGATATATTCATATACATGGTGAGTGAGTGAGTTGGGTATGATGCTGATTTAAACGGTATTAGAGATGCATATATGTGAATGTGTCAACTAGATGTGGGAGAACACCCAAAATGATGCAGGTCTTAGAGTGAGTATGGTTTTACGCTGCTTTTAGCAATATTCCAGCAATATCACAGTGGGGGGGGGGGGGCACCAGAAATGGGCTTCACACACTGTAACAACGTGGGGAATGGAACCCGGGCGTTTGTTTGGCATGACAAGAGAACGCTTTAACCACTAGGCTACCTCCACCCCCCTGATATGTCCTACTACTTTGGGAATTCGGATTTCCCACAAGCATAGCCTTAGACAACCTCTCTCCCCCTCTGAGTCGTATGTAAACAGGTGTATGACAGTGTAGCCGATATGTATAGGTGTATGACAGTGTAGCCGATGTGTATAGATGTATGACAGTGTAGCCGATATGTATAGATGTATGACAGTGTAGCCGATATGTATAGATGTATGACAGGGTAGCCGGTGTGTATAGATGTATGACAGTGTAGCCGATATGTATAGATGTATGACAGTGTAGCCGATATGTATAGATGTATGACAGTGTAGCCGGTGTGTATAGATGTATGACAGTGTAGCCGATATGTATAGATGTATAACAGTGTAGCCGGTGTGTATAGATGTATGACAGTGTAGCCGATATGTATAGATGTATGACAGTGTAGCCGGTGTGTATAGATGTATGACAGTGTAGCCGATATGTATAGATGTATAACAGTGTAGCCGGTGTGTATAGATGTATGACAGTGTAGCCGATGTGTATAGATGTATAACAGTGTAGCTGATGTGTATAGATGTATGACAGTGTAGCTGATGTGTATAGATGTATGACAGTGTAGCCGGTGTGTATAGATGTATGACAGTGTAGCCGGTGTGTATAGATGTATGACAGTGTAGCCGGTGTGTATCGATGTATGACAGTGTAGCCGGTGTGTATCGATGTATGACAGTGTAGCCGGTGTGTATAGATGTATGACAGTGTAGCCGATGTGTATAGATGTATGACAGTGTAGCTGATATGTATAGATGTATGACAGTGTAGCCGATGTGTATAGATGTATGACAGTGTAGCCGGTGTGTATAGATGTATGACAGTGTAGCCGGTGTGTATAGATGTATGACAGTGTAGCCGGTGTGTATAGATGTATGACAGTGTAGCCAGTGTGTCCGATGTGTTTAGATGTATGACAGATGTATGACAGTGTAGCCAGTGTGTATAGATGTATGACAGTGTAGCCGATGTGTATAGATGTATGGATATCAGTGTGATTGTAGCAAGAGATTATATACATGTATAGCATATATTAATATTAGCATGGGATATTAAAGGCTATGGATACATGCTAGGATATAGTTATTAGCCGAGTTAAAAGCTAATTGCATTCATTCCATAAAAATTCAACATATTAAAATATTGTGCATTTACACTTCAACATTTCTCACATTTTATTTTACTGATAATTGAAAGAAATTGGCTGTTAAACCTTGGCATTAATGAGAATTTCAGCTTCCAAAGTTATGAATACTTTTGGATTTCAAGAACATTCAACAAAATGCAGACTATTCTGGTTGAGCAAGCGCGAACTTCTACTTCAAGCGTCATGCGTTACCTGTGGCTTCTGCATGTCCTTCAGCCTCTCTTCCACGGCGACCTTGAGGTCAAGGGGCGCGGTCATGATCTCGGCGTAGTTGTCGATGAGGAAAGAGACGATTTGCCGGACGAGGAGTTCATCCATGTCGGCTTCTTCGTGGGAGCTGAGGATGGTGCGAGTGAAGGTGTCCAGTAACTGCAGACAAATGATCATGGTCAACTCAAACTGCAGATGCTATAGTGAGTGAGTGAGTGAGTGAGTGAGTGAGTGAGTGAGTGAGTGAGTGAGTGAGTGAGTGAGTGAGTGAGTGAGTGAGTGAGTGAGTGAGTGAGTGAGTGAGTGAGTGAGTGAGTGAGTGAGTGAGTGAGTGAGTGAGTGAGTGAGTGAGTGAGTGAGTGAGTGAGTGAGTGAGTGAGTGAGTGAGTGAGTGAGTGAGTGAGTGAGTGAGTGAGTGAGTGAGTGAGTGAGTGAGTGAGTGAGTGAGTGAGTGAGTGAGTGAGTGAGTGAGTGAGTGAGTGAGTGAGTGAGTGAGTGAGTGAGTGAGTGAGTGAGTGAGTGAGTGAGTGAGTGAGTGAGTGAGTGAGTGAGTGAGTGAGTGAGTGAGTGAGTGAGTGAGTGAGTGAGTGAGTGAGTGAGTGAGTGAGTGAGTGAGTGAGTGAGTGAGTGAGTGAGTGAGTGAGTGAGTGAGTGAGTGAGTGAGTATGGTTTTACGCCGCTTTTAGCAATATTCCAGCAATATCACGGCGGGGGACACCAGAAATGGGCTTCACACATTGTACCCATGTCGGGAATCGAACCCGGGTCTTCGGCGTGACGAGCGAACGCTTTAACCACTAGGCTACCCGACCGTCCCACAGATGCTATAGATCACTACTACGTGATATAGTGGTGGGACGATACACCGATGCATCAGTGGATCACGATTTTTTACGTGTATGTATCAAATCATGAACAAGGTATCGTGATACATATCAAATCATGAACAAGGAATCGTGATACGTATCAAATCAGGAACAAGGAGTCGTGATACGTATCGGATCGCACAGTTGGCGTATAGTCCCAACCCTAGTGAGTAAGTATCGTTTTACGCCGCTTTTAGCAATATTCCAGCAATATTCCAGCAATATCACGGCGGGGACACCAGAAATGGGCTTCACACATTGTACCAATGTCGGGAATCGAACCCGGGTTTTCGGCATGACGAGCGAATGCTTTAACCACTAGGCTACCGGACTGCCCCCGTCCCAGCCCTAACGTGATATGCATCTCCTTTATGCCAAGGTGTTTTAGTTGATCACTTCTGCACTGGTCAGGTCCTGGTCATTGCTTGTGTCTCAATGTGGGTGTTGGCAGTTCTAGTTAGTTTGAACAAGACGGTTCATGTAGCAGTAGACAAAATTAAGCAGGTACTGGTTCCTACGGTTAAAATAGGGACACGCAAATTTTAATAGTGCTATCACAAGAAGCTTTTGACTTTCATGCTTCAACTTGATGACTTTACTAGATAATAATAAAATAAAAAAATAAAAAAATAAAAAAGTAAAAAAATATAAAAAAATATAAAAATATAAAAAAATATAAAAAACAACTCCCTCCCCACAAAACTGTCCGGCTAGCATGCTAGAGCTACTTTCTATCCCTGAGAGCAAATGGTTGTTTGTCCCTGCCGCTAACCATCAACCAGTGTGCCCCTCCCTCGTCCAGTGTCCCCCCAACCCATGTGCCCTCCCTCGCTCCCAATGTGCCCCTTCCTCCCACCAAGTGTGCCCTTCCCCCATCCAGTGTCCCCCCTCCCATCCAGTGTGCCCCCTCCCACCCAGTGTGCCCCTCTCCCCACCAATGTGCCCCTCTCCCCCCCAGTGTGCCCCTCTCCCCACCTCCCCCCCAGAGTGCCCCTCTCCCCCCCGAATGTGCCCCTCCCTCCCCACCCCCAGTGTGCCCCTCTCCCCCCGAGTGTGCCCCTCCCTCACCCCTTGCACCCCTCTCCCCCACCTGCCCCCCAAGTGTGCCCCTCTTCCCCCAAGTGTGCCCCTCCCTCTCCTCCAGTGTGCCCCTCTCCCCACCTCCCTCCCAGTGTGCCCCTCCCCACCCCCAGTGTGCCCCTCCCTCACACCCCTCCCACCCCCCAGTGTGCCCCTCTCCCCACCTCCCTCCCAGTGTGCCCCTCCCGCCCAATGTGCCCCTCCCTCCCAGGCTGAATCCTCACCAGCTGCCTGGTTGTCTGTGTCCTGTCCAGACACAGGTCCTGGTTGTTACACATCTTGTACATCAGCTTCAGCAGCAGCTGCAGACGGCGGCGGTTGGCCGGGGGTAGCAGCAGACACACGAGGCGCAGCGCGCGGCGAGTTCGCTCCTCTGTGTCCTCCGACCCCACTGGAACACATTGTTTTCACAAATGCATTCATTTTGTGTATGATATCCAAGCATATACTACTCAAAAAAAAGTTAAGGAACATCCAAATCTTTCATAGTACTGGTTAATCTGGCATGACAAATTAACTATAGTAATATGAAAGTGTTGGTGGTCCTTAAGTTATTTGAGTAGTATAGATAAATCCCTATGCCGTTTACAAATGAAAAATTTACATATGAATAATGGCGTTATAAATGTGTTTACATGAGGAAATATGATTTAGTTAGTGATGTAACTGTTAATTAATATAATATATTGCAATGTAACTGATAATTTATATAATATATTGCCATGAGCAGTTAATCTGGGAATATAAAGCATTAAATACGCAGAGCTCGCAGTTTGCCGTACTACCACATTTCTGACTCACAGTTAAGGAAAGCCGATCTCCGCCATCTGAACGATGATGAACCAGAAGTATTCTTCTCAGGAGAGTTCAGATCAGCCATGCTAATACTTGGGCCATGAAGTTCAAAAGTATTCTTATCAGGAATTCTTGACATGGTTCTAGGAGCAGAGTTAGCCAGGCCGGGAAGATCTGGGGACGAAGCGCTGAACATCCGATTGTTCCTCTGCAGCTTGGCTCCATCCAGAACAGGTTTATGATTCGAGGAGACAGAAGAGGAATTCCTGGCCGAGGTTCGGGAGATATACCCTCTGGCTGATCGAGTAGATCGGGCGGAATTGTTGCCACTATTATGACTTTTGACAGAGTGGAAGCTGTCTCTCTGAGAAGGGGGTGTTTCATAGAAGCCGCTTGAATTTGCAGAATAGTTGTAACAGTAGTCGGTCCCCCTGTCAGAGGTAGTACGGAGGGGCTCCATGTTCAGCCGCTCCAGGGACTGAGCCCTTTCAAAGTTAACTTGACTGCTGTTGCTTGCTGATGATGAACTTGTTTCTGGCTCCATGTCAAAATGAGTTTCAAGTGGCATACAGCTCTCTTCCAAACCGTAGCCACAATGTCCATAATCCGTTGCGACTCCGTTCGTGTAGAAAACCCTTGTGACAGTCTTGTTCTCGGGACCAAATGCTGTCTCATAACGGGTGACCTTCAACTCCGGACTTGACCCGTACTTCTTCTCTATGTGTATGTTAGTGCTCTCTGCAGCAGGGTTAAAGGTCGAAAGGTTAAGGGTTGAGGAGCTGTGCAGGCCAAGCCGATGCTGGTGTGGCGAGGTGTCTATGCCAGTGCTTCTGACGATATCTATGAGCAGGTTTTCAAGTGATGCGTACGACCAGGTGGCTGACTTGGGAGTGGACCGGTTACTGGCGTTACTCGGGGATGAATGACGAGGCAGGCGGTTCTCGGATTGCACTACACATGCCGAAATCAGCATGCAGCATGCAAAGGAACAAAACACAAACATCACATCAATCGACAACTTTCAGAGTAATGGAAATTGACCCCTTGTAAAGCTGAACAAACAAGGTAATAATACTGCCAATTAAAAGCTAAAACTAATACAGAAAGACCAAATGAAGGGCCCACGTTGATCTAACACGATTCTTTTTGCAAGTAAAGTTTATAGAAGGAGCTTCAGGGGTAGATTTAACAAATTTGTATGAAACCAGCAGGACTTGCGCCTCTTAAAAGTTACTGGCCCTTTTCCAAACAAACTGGCCTACAACGAAATGGTGGAGGCAGCGAAATGGCTGAACCTGAGGTGGCGTAGCCACTTAGCGGGGCTCTGAACAGTTAAGAACTCCTCACCCCAAAACGTTTTTTCCTGCATTCTGAGATGAAATCTTTGCTTCCATTTGCCTCATTTCAAGTCGATTTATAAGCAAATAAAGTTGTTGTCCACAACATTACAAAATGGCAGCCAGTTGTCATTCTAACAAGATGATCCAATAAAAAAAAAAATACACAGAGAAGGGGTGAAGCTTTAGCTAGCCAGATGGGCAGTCTACTTTAAATTTCAACAAGCCCCTTGTAATTTTGACTGGCCACAGGTCATTGGGCCAGCAGTTAAACTGACCCAAGCTTGCATCGTTACAATATTTCAGACACATAGTGACCATATTTCACAGAGATCAGAAGTTTATGTTTACGTCATGCCACTAGAGAGAGTATCAGTACACTGCATGCTTAGATTAGATGCATGTTAAAAACGGAAACAAGAAACTACGACTGGCCTCAGAGCTTACAAGCTGGGAGTAGTCTCTTGTCTAACAAGATCCATGCAAATATACTACTCAATAGAAGTTAAAGAACACCCAATTCTTTCATATTACTATATTTAATCTGTCATGACAGATTAACAAGAGTAATATGAAGAAATGGGTTTTCTTTAACTTCTTTTGACTATGATGCTATAACTACAATACAATACTTCTCAAGCATTTGTCATTAAAATGCATTGGATATTAGTGAGTGAGTATGGTATTACGCTGCTTTAGCAATATTCCAGCAATATCATGGCGGGGGACACCAGAAATGGGCTTCACACATTGTACCCATATGGGAATCGAACCCGGGTCTTCTGTGTCGATATTAGTGCATGAGCAGCAAGGTATGTAAAATAGTTGCAAGAAATACAGGATCGCACTGAAGCAGGTCAACATGGTAACCACGGTAACAGAATTTGATTGGATTACAAAGACACAGAATTAGTAGGACAGCTGAGTAAACATCAATGTGATCTCCTTCACTAACGATAGCAATAGATACTCTCCACTTTTGATGGGCATATTTTATCTTCCCGTAATACACAAAACTGATTCAAATATGTCAAGTATCTTTAAATAGAATTGACACGTGGTTATCCCTATCAAAAGTTGAGAAGCATAGGATCACAGATGAATGCGATTTGACACACAGCAAACATGCAATGTTTAGTATTAGATACTATCAATGAACTAGATCCTGTATCCAAGATTCCAAGGTATTCAATGGAAGTATTGATGACAATTTGCGCATGATAATAATTTTGAGATGCAAAGCTGTGTAAAGCCTAAATCAGGGTTTTTTACTGGACATACAAAATTGATGATGACATAGACATTTTTTCTGTCTGATTTAGCGACATGATCGGGAAAGCAACTTTTAGGCTTAAAAAAATAACAGTCTTGGTTCTCAGGCAAGTCTGCTGCATATTACGTTTTTATTTCCATTTTTCTCAAAAAACAAAGGTTGATGGTACACAACTATTTATTTACTTACATACTAGTTTGAACAAGCATAAAAAAAGAAGAAACACCGCCCGCCTGCACTATATTTTCAAAAGTCATTACATGAGAACCAATTCTTGTAATTTTGTAAGCCTTATAGACAGCTTTAGATCATGAATTGCAAATTATAGTATTTCTGAACACAATTCAGTTGTGTCAAATACATTTCAGAGGCTCTACATAATCCAATCACTGATAACAGTAAAAGTATGGATTAAGTTGATGTGCGAGTTACATAATGAAAAACAGCATCAATGATGAAGCTGTACTGATTGATGACTGAGTGCTAATGACAACTTTGCATCTCTGACGTTTGAGTCCATTTCTTATACTCTTATATTTATACCTGGATAGAACAGTGACCATAGTTAGCCATTCTATATTCTACAATCCTGTACATCATAATAATCAATATTACATATCAAAACAGAAACTGCTATCAAGTTACAAATAGCATAATTACTTATATGAGTATGTTACGCAGATGAAGACAAGTTTCACTTATAGATTTAACTTCTTGACTATTTTTATGTCATGTCGGAGAGCAAAAGTACTCACCAAATACATTCGTAATGACCTCATACATCTCAAAGGTCATCAACGGTTCTGCCAGACCGCAGAAATAGTCCTTCACAACCCCAAACACGTCCTTCTCAAAACCAGGGTAGCTCGGAAGGTTGTCATCCACTTTCTCAGGCCCTAGGGACACATGTAGGAATGTGAGTTACATCTAAATCAGGCTTATCATGTGAGTGAGTATTGTTTTACGCCACTTTAAGCAATATTCCAGCAATATCACGGCGGGAGACACCAGAAATGGGCTTCACACATAGTACCCATGTGGGGTATCAAACCCGGGTCTTCGGCGTGACGAGCGAAAGCTTTAACCACTAGGCTACCCTACGACCCCTTATTAAGTTAGAAAAATAGTCTAGATTATCAGTCACATGGTAAAATACGCACACATGCATGAAAACTTATTTTTCTGTCTCAGGCATATTATGACACTAAAGACACCAATCATAATTAAAGTGTTTGTTATTGTGTGTTACATTGTATGGCCATCTTCCCCAATAACTCGGAACTCTCGGAACTCGAACATTCCCATCATTCCATGTCACACCAAACTTTATTTTTGTTTGTTTGTTTGTTGTTCAAAGCCCCACTCAGCTATATTCCTTTTATATGACGGCGATCTGTAAATAATCGCATCTGGAACATACAATACAGTGATTGACATCATGAGCATCAATTACGCAAATGGGATACGATGACATGCATGAACCAAGTCAGCGAGCCTGACTAACTGATCCCGCCTTTTACGACAAGCCTAGTCGCCTTTTGTAGGAAGCACAGGTTGCTGAAGACCTATTCTTACCCAGATCCTCATTGGCCTACACCAAACTGAAAGTTTACAAAACTGGGAATGGAATAAAATCTCATTATCCCTATCTAAAAGTGAACAGTATAAGTGAGTGAGTATGGCTTTAGGCCGCTTTTAGCAATATTCCAGCAATATCACGGGTGACACCAGAAATGGGCTTCACACATTGTACCCACGCCGGGAATCGAACGTGGGTCTTCAGCGTGACGAGCGAACGCTTTAACCACTAGGCTACCCGACCGTCCCTTGAACGGCATAAAATATGGACTACTTCAAATACTCACAGCGAGCAAGGCACTTCATTGCAGACATGGCCCAGTGAGGCAGTTGGTCTGAAAACAATATCAACAATCTTGAAACCACATGTAATTCAATGATACAATCTTTAAATGTAAACATTACAGCCCAAAATATACCATCCTGCCACAATACACATAGCGCCTAGTCACCATGGCCACAAGAAATAGGAAGTGTACCTTTAGCCTCGATGTTGGTGACGATGCCGCTCTTGTTGACGTAGAGGCAGTTGTGGTGGATGTTGCGCCCATTGACGTAGCTGCTGTCGAGGATCTCACCTAGGTCTATTGTCCCCAGCGTCTGCTGTAACCTGAAGCACATACCAAGGTAACCAGTGAGGTCGGAGGTCAAATAGCGTGTCAACGTACAGGGTACGATTTCATTCTGTTTTACCACCTGCACCAGGTGCAACCAAGTAAATTTATCAGGTTGCACAACCAAAATATTGGCTGCACCAGTTTGTCATCAATTGAAACACTGTATTTTCAAGTCTTTGAAAGGCATTTAGAAGTGCTACACATAAGGAAGAGAATTAATGGATGTCAACTTCTTTATTATGACAAAACAACGTTTCGGAGTATATGCTTACTCCTTCATCAGGTGAACGTTGTGTTTCGTCATAATAAATTCTCTACCTTACTGTATTTTCAGTTATTTGTAACAAACCATACCACAGCAGCCTGAAAACACCAGTGTTGACCACTCAAAATACATCAGAGATAGCAACAATACAGACAACCTCGGCATGATGATACACATTCGGCCATTCAAACATCATAATCATTGTTCAACATTCCAGTCGGCTCCTACACATCTTCCCGAGGCAAGGAAGTTAACTGACTGTAAAAGTCCAGTTTCCGCCCTTGCCGAATTAAGATCAATTATGGAGTTATATTTAAGCTGGACTAACGAGTTTATGCATAGTCAAATCAAAATTGAGTAACGAAATTGACATTCGGTTCATAAACAACATGAAATGTTGAGCACATTTCAGTCGATTGCAGGATTTGAATAGCATGTGTGCCGTCAATTGAGCTTTGTTGAGCGCCGACAGATATTTCCAAATTATTTTCAAGTTTTTAACAAAGGTGCTCCAGTGATTTGATGCACGTCATGTGGTAAGGCCAGTTTTATTACAATAAAGGTCTTGATTATCAATTTGTTTGAATCAAATGCAAGTCATATATGGGAAATGTAATCTGATTGGTCAATAGGAGGGGCATAGAAGGGACTTAACTCATAATTGCCACTGGTGGCCCAATGATCGAGCCTGGAAATTCCAGCCTAGTTTGACAAGGGTGGAAACTGGACTTATAAATTCAGCTTACTCCCTTGCCTCTGGAGTGAGTGAGTGAGTGAGTGAGTGAGTGAGTATGGTTTTACGCCGTTTTTAGCAAAATTCCAGCAATATCACGGCGGTGGACACCAGAAATGGGCTTCACACATTGTACCCATGTCGGGATTCGAACCCGGGTCTTCGGCGTGACAAGCGAACGCTATAACCACTGGGCTACCCGACCGCCCCCCTTGCCTCTGGAAATTGGCTCTTACAAGAACAAGCACAGGAGTACTATTCTCCTTCCACGGAGAAATTTGTATCAAAATAAAATCGGATATAAAACAAGATCTTTGATACTTACTCATATTTTACAGGGTCTGTTTGCAATAAAAAATATATATCTCCTTGTGTAACAGTGCTTTACCTGTGCAGTGTGAGACTCTTCCAGACATCCTCTATCTCCTCAGCCGCCAGTACACGGCCCACCAGGTGGCACTCCTGTAGGATGGGCTCGGGGAGGTTTGCTGCCAGGTCATCCTTTGACCCGACCTTTGACTCCCCATTCACATAGTTAGCACGAGGGACGAGAACAGGGCGCGGTGCACGAGGTGGCGACTTGTGAATAAACCTAAAGACAAAAACATATGTGAGCTCTTCAAGATACAGAGTTTACTAACATAATTTGAAAACAATAAAAAGCAAACAAGCTAATAATACTAATATATGGACTTGTCCCAACAGTGAGATCAAGATACAGATTACAAACAATGTCAACCCGGGATCAGGTGGTCAGGCTCACTGACTTGGTTGAGTGAGTGTGAGAGTGAGTTGAGTTTAACGTCGCGTTTAACAGCATTCCAGTTATATCACGGCGTGTTAGCTTTATGTGGGAGGAAAGCCCCAAGTGATTCAGGTCTCAGACGTTTACCACTTCGGTGAAACCCACGAGCTCGGGTATGGTGCTGATAAACCTAGAAACATAATCAGGGCGAACCGGGATTCGAACCCACAATCATAGGTTTCTGGCGTGCCCAAGGGACGCAACTCTGCACAGCGAATCGCAGTGCCTTAGACGACTGGGCCACCTGTGCCCCCCCCCTCACTTGGTTGATGCATGTCATCATATCCCAATTGTGTGGACCCTCCTCATGATGTCAATCACTGGATTGTCTAGTCCAGACTCGATAATTTACAGACCACCGTTATAAAGGTGGAATATTGCATGTGGCGTTAAAAAACAAACTATATCACATGCCAGTATTTTACCAAACTGAAAATATAACCATGTGAAAATATAGTGCATATAATAAATCTCAATCTTTTTCCCAACAAATAACTAATCTATGATATACTATGTACAATAGTGAGTGGCCTAACAGCATGGCATTGAACTATTGAGTTCCACCATACACCGCTGATATCCAAACCTTGCATAACTGTACCTACTTGAATGAATGTCAAGTGAAATAGGTAGCTGTCATTTTCTCATCAGCATTGAAAGGACGGAGATTCCAAAGTAAGTGCCTTCGGCAGGTAAATTAGGATAGATCGTTAAAATTGGGATTTCTTAAAAGGTTCTTACACTAAGACGTTTTAACAATATATAACAGGGATTTATCCAGCACTCCAAAGTAAGTGCCTTTGCCAGGTAAATTGGAATAAATTGTCAAACTAGGGTTATCTTAAAAGGCTCTTACATTCCGAAATAAAGAGGTTTTTAACAATATATAACTAGGATTTATCCAGGACTCCAAACATGCCAAAGTAAGTGCCCTTGCAAGGCAATTTGGGGAAAAACCTTTTTTTTGGTCAGTGAAATAGACGTCATGTCTACAAAGCAATAACATTACTATTTTACTGTAACATGAGTTGGGAATTTGTAGTTCCATGTCAGGAATATTTACTGACATTTGCTGCTGGCTTGGGGCCGAAAATAGCCCTCTGAGCAGGTCCTGACAAATCCTTGATTAACATTCCATGTCATTCAATAACAGAAAAAAAGCAGCCTAATCTTTATTGGTCTTGTTACTACTGGAAAACAAGTCACCTCGACCAAACCATCACATAAGTCATAACTATACATTATATGTGTAACATGAAGTTTGAACTTTGTTAAGAATTGTTTGGGAATTTGTCCTGATTCGCCACAGTATTGTGGCCAATTATCGGCCTTGGATCAGGTCCAGATAAATCACATTATCATATAATGGGTAGGTTTCTCGGCAGGATAAAGCCAACGGATAAAAACGATACCCGTTGGGGGCCATATGCGGATAGAGATGCAAATATCAAAGGTCAAGCAGCACTACTTTGACTGTTTATAAACAAACATGGCGTCGCCCTCGTCATTCGGCGATCGAGTCAGAATTAACCATCGGGAATCTGGAGAAACTACAGAGATAATTGCTTTCATTATCAAAAGAACAGTCTAATATACTGAAAATCAGTGTCTAACTGTGACGTAGCTAAGGCATTTTATAAGTTTGGGCAACTTTGAAGATATAAATTTCGACACAATTTTGCGAGGCTCGCTCAATACAATGTTTATTGCTAATGCAGGATATTTACCATCCCCAAACACATTCGTGTGATAACCTCTATGTACATATCACTACATAATGAAGTGTATCATCATAATGCATTGTCTAGATTAGATTAGTACCCGTATCATGAAAACACAACGAATCAATCAGCCTTAGCTCTATACAACATTGTACAACACGGTTACTAAATGTGAAAGAATTGCTGATCTACCAATCCAAGATGGCTGCCATGCTTTGGGGGTCTGTAGTTAACTCACCTTTTTATCGTTGCTGACATTCGAGACAAAGACATTATATAAAATTGGTTAGGCCCACTATGGAAAGTATGTATAGTAATGCATCAATAACTGTGCCGTATCATGTAAAATGCTTTGGACAATTCTACAATTAGTTTTACATACGGACACAAAATGAGACTAACATTTCCTGCAAATGACTGCACTCAACCATGCAAACCTATCTTTCCACTAAGGCAAAAGTCACTGAACCACGACAGCACGGTAATAATGGAAAAGAAAAAAATCAATAGAGTATTTGCTTCATAAGAAATTTGAACCAGAGCACTGCCATAAGCAAGACAGACTTGTTCATGAATAATTGATCCGTTTCTTAAAATTACTCTTACGAAACAACTAATAAACATGTTGAAAGAGCCTCACAATTTCTCATGCCCATCACAATATTGGAAAACAAACTTTCCAGAAGCAATCAATGTTCCGAGACGTACTGTCGCTGATTACATACCATTAGAGGTACAAAATTGCTGTGTAGCAGAAGTTATTGACAAATCTATTGATCTCACTGTGCACTTCAGACACTGGCAGTCATGGCGAGAGTCATTGGGTTGATGTACCAATATTCCTATTCCTGAATATACAACATTAGCCAAGAAATGATGAGTGATTTGTACCAAATGATGTTATTCTGAGTGTTTGTCATTAAAGAAACAGCTTTTTTATTAAATACCAAATATGAAGATTCTGTCACTGATATAAAAAGCAAAAAGAGGGACTACTTGACCGAAAGGATATTTTGTTGAATATTTGAGCATGTGTAGTCTTTTATAGGATCTGGCAAGTACAAGTTTTACCAATTTAGATATCTCAACCATGTAGATTGATGCTCATGATGTCAATCACTGGACTGTCTGGTCAAGACTTGATTATTTACAGACTGCTGCCATGCAGCTGGAATAGTGCGGAGTGCAGCATTATACATGTTATACAACAAACAAACAAATTTGGAATAAATTTGTTTAATCTATCTCCCCACTGATTTTTAAAAAAAATATTTTCAGTAAACCAAGCGGGGTAATATACAAGTACATTACATGGCATGTGTTGATTATCTGCTGTGGTCACCTGAACATCTAGGCTCTGAGTATAAACATGTCAATTGGCTCAGTGAGTGAGTAGGTTTTAACCCATTTTCAACAGTATTCCAGTTATATCACTGCGTGTCAGCTTAATGTGGGAGGAAAGCGTGAAGTGATACAGGTCTCAGACATTTACCACTTCGGTGAAACCCATGATCACAGGTATGGTGCTGACAAACCTAGAAACAGTCAGGGCGAACTGGGATTAGAACCCACAATCATAGGTTTCTGGTGTGCCCAAGGGACACAACTCTGCACAGCGAATCGCGGAGCCTTAGATGACTGGGCCATATGTTCCCCCCAATTGACTCAGAGTATGGTATGTTAGGCAGCACTTAATATGGCATCCAATACATGCAAAAGGCAACAAATACTGTCATTCATCAACACTCCCACAACCAATTTCCTGAGTGGTCATATCATTTCCTGTGTTCTAACCAGAATAAAGCAATGTTCATTATTGTGTTTCAATGTGATTGTTTCTAGGGTTGGGAAGAGTCAAGGTTGGGTCCTGAGTAGGACCCAAGTACACACAGGACTAACCGGACCTGTGGTTAGCATCTTCCCAAGGCAAGGGAGTTAACTGACTATAAAAGTCCAGTTTCCACCCTTGCCGAACTAGGCTGCAATTCTGGAGTTATATGTGTAGTCCATTCAAAATCGCGTAACGAAATCGACATCCAGTTTGCAAACAACATGGATTTCAACGTGTAGATTTCTGTCTACTGCAGGATTTGCAAAGGATGTGCACCATCAACTGGGCATCGACAGATATTTAGCAAGTATTTTCATGTTTTCAATCAAGGTGCTCACGTGATTTGATGCACTTCGCGAGGTAAGACCCTTTTTTAACAATATAGATCTTGATCATAGATCAGATCATCTTGACTGGGCGCCGCCATTTTGTTTGAAGCAAATGCAAGAGATATGAGAGGTGGAATCTGATTGGTCAGTTGGAGGGGCATAGAAGGGACATAACTTGTAATAGTACTGGTGGCGCTACGATCGAGCCCAGAAATTCCAGCCTAGTTCAGAAAGGGTGGAAACTGGAGTTTTATAGTCAGTGAACTCCCTTGCCTCGGGAAGATGGTGGTTAGTTACGAGGTACATTGTTTAATGACAATAACAACAAATCTCCATGGTTACACTTCAAGTTACTAATGTTTTCATTTCTTTCTGACTATGCACACATTCCCTATGACTTGTATATGTAATGATAAAGCTTCAGTCAACTTCAGTGTATGCATGATCAGATCATTTAATATGTGTATCGAAATTTTTATTTGCCAGGGCTTAGGTAAAACAATTCCTAATAAGACATTTTGTACCCAACTCTCTAGACCTACAGTGTGTACCTGGGTAGGGGGTCGTGTACCCGGGAACTGGGGTAGTAAGTTTGGACTCATCCCAGCCCTACTTCCTGGTATGTACATGTAAAGGAGATATGACAGGAAGTGACTAGATGTACTTTACCAACAGATCAAAGAATAAGTATATTGGAGCCTGCATACACCATGAAATAGCAACTTACCTGTAGAGTCTGCCATTGTCTATAAAGTCTGATCGTCCATGTTTGGACGTCCTGACGTCCTCAAAAACTCCTGACTTGAAGAGTTTCTTCAAGAGCTGCACTGTCTGACACCTACAATATACAACATGGATTTCAGTGCTGATCAATACCTTGTTAACTTGATTTCTTCCTAAGTTAAGTACTGAAATCTGTCTATTTTCAGAACTAAATATTAACTTTTAGGAACAGTGACCACCTCCGTGGTCTAGTGAGTACAGCTTCTGCACAGAGAAATTAAGGTCTGTGGTTCAATCCTCTGACTAGGTCTTGCCAAAAGACGTTAAAAGATGGTACTTGTTGTTACCCTGCCTGGCGCTCCTATTAAGGGGACAGAGAAAGGACTGGTCAGCTCGGAATAAGAATATGTATTTCATATACCGGGTATACCATGTAGGTTATCCATGTTAAACTGTAGCATGGAATCTCAGTGGTCCAACACAATAAAACTAGCATTAGTCTGGGCAATTTACAGCTGGGACGATACACCAACTGTGAGATCCGATACGTATCACGATACCTTACTCACGTTCAGACATGTATCATGATACTTGCATGTGCTGTTATCTGTGGTGCATAAATGGCCAAATACCTGGCACACTGATGATTTACAGTTGGCAGTGTCAAGTATGGAACAACAAATAAAAACATTTGTTTCACCATGTTCACTATTAACTTGCACTACTGATTAGTGTTTAGTGGAACAGTTATTAAAGCAAACATTTAACGTCAGAATAGATATTTTTTACATAGTGTGCGACTGTGATTGATACTTGTATGAAAATAAAAATCGCGATCAACCGATGCAACGGTATATCGTCCCACAAGTACTGGGCATGCATGCACACAAACAAACATGCATGTCGCTACATATGTGATATAATCTTGAATGTGACATTACCCAGACATCTTATATTCATAAACATTATTTCTACACAGAGCAGTTGACAATCATGTATAATGTATCTGTGAATTAGGAAATATTTTCTTTCACATTGATGAGACATGTGATATTTTAACAATAATTAACATGATGAGTAGTTTATTGTTTTGAAATGACCACTGCAATTTGTAGGTATGGGTGACAGTTGGAATAATTAAAATAATAATTATTAGCAATCCTACAAAGATTTATGCCCTTCTTTAATTACTTTCTCCTTCATATATGCTTTTTCTATTTTAGTGCTTAAAAAAACAACTCTACTAGCCTCAGGCAAACATGAATTTTAAACCAAATTTTGTTATTGTTGAAAATGTTGAACATGTTGAACATGTTGAAAGAATAAGCCAACAATAAAATAAAAAGAGGCACAAACATTTTCATATTCCAGGTAGGATTGTCAAGATTATTAGTTACTTTTCAAGAACATCTGGTAAATTAATCCAAAAATATGCTCGAAAGTATTTTGTTTACTCTACAAATTTCCCTTTATCATGTTTAATAGATCATGTTCTTAAAGCTATTTACATTCTGGTTCCACCACTCAGACCATGTAAAAACATCACAGATAAAACTATCAGCAATGTAAACAACCATGTTCCTAGAGATAAGATAATCCTATTAGTTTCAAATACCACAGGCACATGCTGTATAAAAACAAAACAACATTACACAATACACTTTGAGCAATACTAATTCTCCCTATCTATCCATGCTTCACTGATCACGTCATGGTCCACTGAATAGCACCCTGGGGTTAACATCCTGGGGTCAGCATCCTCCCTTCCCAACCTGCCTCCCTAACCCAGGGTTAATTAGCCTCAATACATGTCATGCTCTGTGGGATATCACACTGTTGTCTGGCAGGGTAAATTGAACCTAAAACAATCACTTTCAAAGCCTGCACCTGAGTTACATAATATCACCTTTCAAACTGGTTCACAGCTGAAGGGCATATACTGAGTGGAATGACACTGTACTCGAATCAATGTTGTTTTACTTGCACTGTGTCTATTACAGATGCCTTGAATACCTTTCGACTAAGCTTTGACAAATATCCTGGGAGTGTGGATAATTATATGTTTTTGACACTCAGTGAAATGTATGAGGATAAATTGCAATTAGAATGAGCGCAGGTGGAGATTTATCATTCATATACAATGGTAGGTGTAGTGTTTATAACACTGTTCAGAAGACATGGATGAATTTACCTATGTTCACCATGTATGTCTTCATTCAGTTGTCAATATTATTGCATCAATTCAGTGAATTTTATCTCAAACACACATTTATGAATCTATCAAACAAAAATATATTCTCATAACAATCTTCCAGTTACAATCAAGATATGTCTCACCTGGTGACTTCTGGACCAAAATTGGGATTACATCTAAGGTGTTTTAAAAGCCAGTCAACGGCACCTGATGCAACAAAGCAGTTGTCGTATGTTCTCATGTATCGACGATGCCGGCCACATGGCATGTTCTTCCGGAATGTATGAATGATTTCATTCCACTGTTTAAAGAAACAAGAACAAAATGGATTCAAACTGTCATCAATAGCTAATGCATGATGCCTCAAATATGACATCAAATTAGGGTTTCAGATCGGTTTTTTTTCTAGGATTGACCCAACTTTATTCAAAATGTCCTTAAGCTATTTTCAAAATATGGTAATGATATAGAAGAATGTCCTATCGAAAGTTGATAAAATCATAAAAATATCCTATTGTCATTTACAAGTGTCAAGCAAAATGACTGTCACTGTTGAGACAAATTTGCTGTAGAAAAAGAAAAAGATAGTGTTGTTTTAATGCAGTTACAAAACAAAATCAAAGATATATACAGTAAATATGATCCGAGATTATATCAGTAAATTCAAAATCGCAGTTCACATAATCACAAGTTTTCTGTCTACAATGATCCACACTGCAGGCCCAAATGCATGTCGCCAACATAGTTAAAAATGTATAGGCTCGACCTATTACAGAGTTATAATATATATGTCCGATTAGACTGTAACCTCCACCATAACATCATGATTAAGTAGCAACTGTCATGTTCCAAATCTATAGATCAAGATTTATATTCAAAATGCAATACAGTCCTAAACGTAAGCCTGATCCATGACGGTCTGCTAGCGACGGATAAACAAATCGATTTGCTCACAGAATATTTCACATATTTATCGTAATGATTTACAGATCTGACATACCAACTTTGTAGCCCTGTATGGGCCAATGTAGACATCTGTCTCCTGCTTCGACGAAAAATCCATGGTCAAATGTGTCCGAAATCCTGGACTAATTCATGCCACCTTGTCGGGCACCTGCTAGCCATTCCATCCTCCACGCTGACCAAGCACGTTCAAATCACCCTCTGTTATGCGATTGGTTAACTCTTCCGGAAGCCTATTCTGATTGGTGCTTCGATTGTCAGTGTAAACTTCCGTCAATATCGTCAAAATGGCGACGATGGAAGGTCCACTAAGCAAGTGGACAAATGTAATGAAAGGATGGCAGTACAGATGGTTTGTCTTAGACGAGAATTCTGGCCTGCTGTCATACTACACTGTACGTTGACAACATACGTCGTTATTGACACTGATTTTACCTGTAGCGAAAGTTAATCTCTGTAATTGTCTCGTGATAGCAAGAGGTGTCAACTTTGACATGCTTGTCGTTGAAAAACATTGGTTCGTTTGCCACGCCTCCTTGACGCTTTCATTAATATGCTATTGATTGTTATTACGTAATTCCATGACAACAGCACTGGCAAAATATATTCTGTCATCCCCAAATGGGTATTTTTGATAAAGAGGAATAAGGTTAGAAGTTATTATGAATTAATGTATAAACAGGCCTATATATATATCGCTTTGCTCCGCTAGCAATATTACAGCCATATTCGCGGCGATATTATTAATGTATATGAACGAAGTATCACCTCTCTGAATTAACTAAACAAGCAATAGCTTGTATATATGTCATTGTTACTTTTTCAAATAATTTCTTAATCTTAATGAATAATAATACTTAATGATGTCAGTACAATACACCAACGGTACTCAATTTGGTTTTTGAGAGAGTTTTTTTAGTTAATGCATGCAGCCATATATAGTTGATGTTGTCTTTTGGTAAGACTTGTAGCATTTTGTGTCAATTTCCATGTTAGAAGGTGAAAGCCAATGTGATTTCATGTTATTTGGACAGGAATAAACTTGAAATACTTTTAACCCTTTTTTTTCAGTCCAAAGAGAAAATGATGAGGGGATCACGTAGAGGATGTGTTAGATTAAAAGTATGTACATTCAATGTTTCATCCCAAGAATGTTACCAGTAACATTTGTAATCATCAGTTAAATGGATATTTTTGATAAGTATAATCATTAAAGTTGCTAAAAGAGAAACAGAAATCACACAATTTCAGAGATCCTTTAATTAGTATTCCACTGAGTAAACACTTATAAGGTGTATATAAGATCCATGTATCATGTACTCCATGTGGAACCGGTGGATATTGGCAGGATGCTGTTTTCATCATGGTATTGTGGTGCATTGTTTCAGGGAGCTATTATTGGAATAGATGATGAAGATGATAGTACGTTTACAATAACAGTTGACCAGAAAACCTTCCATTTTCAAGGTATGAAAAAAGAGGCGTCAGTATGTTATCAGATATAGTCAGATACAGTATACATCCAAAACAGAATAACTATGTCCACTTCTTTTAACATATATATTGAATATTGGTAATTCTTTTATTGAATTATGGTACATTTAAATATTTCAAAATATAAATGATGGGATGATATTAAATAGGATTTATTTATTTATTTATTTGTTTGTTTGTTTGTTTGTTTGTTTGTTTGTTTGTTTGTTTATTATTATGAAGACCATCATTAGTTGAAATCATCACCTCCTTGAGAATGTAACATTGACATGTACATGGAATAAGATGTTATGGATGTTTGTAGCTCGTGATGCTGATGAGAGGGAACAGTGGATAGCCAGCCTGGAGAACACAGTGTACCGACATTCTCAAGCTGGCAAGGTACGGCACTTGATTGCATCTAATCTATCCTTGTTTCCATAGGAATACTTTGGTTGTTGAGAAGAGAGAGTTTTGATGATATAATGAAGTCAAGGGGACAAATTTGTGATATCTAATCATTGGCTATAATGAAGCCAGGTCAATTCTTTCTGAGGGCAGTCAGGGGTCAGGTAGCCTATGATTTGACTTGTCACACTGAAGGCCAAGGTTCTATTCCCAATATGATACAATGTGTGAAGCCATTCCTAGGCATTTACCATGTTCACAGCACGAATATGACTGCAGAAGAGCAGTGTAAAATCTTTCTAACATGGTAGCTACCATCTTGTAGTTATGCAAATTCAGAATTCAGAGTTACAGATAAGCTGCGTATTTGCGTAAAATACCCCCCAAAATTATTCAAAACCCAATTACTTTCAATTAACTTTCATACACAAACGCATGCATTAAATGAAAACTTTTGTTGTTTGAAAACAGCATACGTAAATACCCAATGAAGCTTTTTCAGCATGCGTACAACGGAGCTAATTTCCAAAACACAATTACAAGCTAATTTACTTTCTGAGTCAAGCCTATATTTAGAACCGTTATATACATCTAAAACATTAACAAATTTTAAGTGTCAAAATGCTTACTCATTTTGGGAAAAACCCAATAGAGTGATGAATAGAGGAGTGAAAAAATATTTGTTACCCAATGAAAATGTGATAACCCAACTAAAATAGAAACCTTCGAGTAAAAACTCAGTTGTTCAAAAACCTATCTTGAGCTCTTAGAATAAGGAATCATAACATTTGTATAATATTTAACATTTGGGTTCAATACTTTTATGTGACTATAGGCCTTAAAAGATGTTATGACAGTATATTGACACAAACATAAAATACGGGCAAGGAAAGAGTTGAATGACCATGTTGAAAAGACATTCATCACATTAGAATACTTAGCAAAATGTTTATGCAGCAGATTTATCATAGATCCATTGAATAGGGTGTTCCAAACAGTGCTCCAGACACAGAGTGGGACAGCATAGATAAAGTGGACTAACCTGGACTGTTTACGTTAGTGATTGTGAGTGAGCAGTGATTAGTACAACAGTGACTACAACAAAGGCTGTGACTATAAACAGGAGTGTTTGTTGGAGAATGTTTACTAATCTTACAGGATTACTCATTGCTGCTAATCCCATCTCATTAAAATCATAGATTAATTGGATTAAGGTGAGGATTTTAAACCCGACTGAGGACATCTTTAGATAGAAATCCACTGATGCTTGAGAGGAGGGGGTGTCGCATTCATATTGAGTCACATTTGAGCTGTGAGCTGAATAGTATGAGTTGTAGCAGGATCACGAGGGGTACATGTAGTTTCGTGCATCCCGCGTTAGGTCTTGTACCTTCATCCAGAGGCGAGTGGTATAAAACCTAACGAGGGATGAGGTTAATTTGTGCTGTATCACATGACTTCCATTGACTCGGAAAAAGCGTGTTGCTTTTTGCTTTGACGCGGGGTATCATTCGTGACCAGCTCGTGTTATTCCGGGACAAGCCGAATAGCGACTCGTGCCCCTCTCATGGCCATTTTTGCGACCGGGTTCCGTCTTAGCGCAAACAGGCATGCCTAAAACAATTGTCAATTCGTTGCGTAATGGTTCACATGTATTATATATATATTTCAGATGCAATTTAACATGTTTAACGCACATTGGGACGTGCGGAATTATACAGTATGATTGAACACATTTAACTGTGTCTTGGGTATATTTTTAGATGCAAGACATATGTAAAATCGGAAAGTATTTCTGAGGGATTCTTTGACGAAGAACTTAAAATTACATGCGCATTCTGATTGGTTTGTCGTATTTTCGCACATAACATTCATCGATAGGGGGACGAGTCTTCTTGCAGGTTATGGAAAGGGGCGAGTGGTGACGAATGGCGGGGTACAAGGGATTTATTCTACCTCTCATAAATCCACGTGCAGCCTGACTTGCTCATGGAGAGGTGTAAGACATTTGAGAAATTTATACCCCTCAAAGGCGTGTTACATATTAGTTTATTAAGATCACATGGACCAATCAGATTTCATCATTCTGACATGAAGGTATGATAAGCTCATTTAGAGCTGTTATGTTTGGTATCAAAGTAGGGGGCACGGGTGGCCCAGTCGTCTAAGGCCCGCGATTCGCTGTGCAGAGTGGCGTCCCTTGGGCACGCCAGAAACCTATGATTGTGGGTTCGAATCCCAGTTCGCCCTGATTACGTTTCTAAGTTTGTCAGCACCATACCCGTGCTCGTGGGTTTCACCGAAGTGGTAAACATCTGAGACCTGAATCACTTCGGGCTTTCCTCCCACATTAAGCTGTCACGCTGTGATATAACTGGAATACTGTTAAAAGCGGCGTTAAACCAAACTCACTCATTCACTCACTGGTATCAAAGTATCTTAAAGACACGCTTGAACCAATTTGGGCACAACATGCATGTTTACTTCGTGAAATTTAAAACTCACTTTGTGATGTACATCAATCCATTATCAAATGATTACCCTAATTACGAGGAGATCAGGTACACAGATGGCACTGATTGCCACATCCGAACCTAGCGCCAGACCACATAGCATCTCATTACATGTAGAAGCTCTGTTGTACATATGTGGCATGATCAGACATCATGTTTTTTGATAAAATGAATTAAAAAATCATTACAGCGATGCATACATTGAACAGGGGTGAGAATCTTCCGCAGATCTGTGAATTTTAGTGACCACAAATTTGTTAAAATCGGATAAAATCCCCCTTTAACACCCCCAAATTAAGGACCATGCTCCATTGCAAAGAGGGGCAGGCGGGTAGCCTAGTGGTTAAAGTGTTCGCTCGTCACGCCGAAGACCCGGGTTCGATTCCCGACATGGGTACAATGTGTGAAGCCCATTTCTGGCGTCCCCCGCCGTGATATTGCTGGAATATTGCTAAAAGCGGTGTAAAACCGTACTCACTCACTCACTCACCATTGCAAAGAAGTTTCAACTGAAAAGGAAAATTTCCATTTTCATCTCTGATTGACATACTCAGTGAAAGTGTATTTATCAAGATTGTTTCAAAATACGAATTAGATCAGGCTTTGCGTTGGCTAAGAAATTTCATTAAGCTGGAAGAGTCAAGATCTACATTTATGGGTGACTTAAGTTGTGCATCCTCGTCGGCATGATGATCAAACTTATTGTAAAGATAAAGTTCAAATGCAGACTAAGTAATACACAGTGCATAAATGTTTGTTATTTCTTCAGAACATGCATAGGCACTTCTCATGATGGTTTTGAGATATATATTATATCATTGGGTTTCGTTGTATGAGCAGAAACTGGAAGTGCGCCATGCCCCGAGTCTAGAGGACTTCGACCACAAGCTGATGGAGACCGATACCTACCTCCAGATGCTTATAGACCAAGTCCAGGTGAGTGGCCAGTAGTTGTTTGTTTGTTGTTTACACCACACTCAGCACGATTCCAGCAGTATGATGACAATTTGGACCAAACAAGCCACTGGTTGCCGTCATGAGCATCAATCCACCAATTGAGATACATTGAGCTGACCAAGTTGTAGTAGTAGTAGTAGTAGTAGTAGTAGTAGTAGTAGTAGTAGTAGTAGCAGTAATAGTAGTAGTAGTAGTAGTAATAGTTGTAATAGTAGTAGCAGTAGTAGCAGTAGCAGTAACAGTAGTAGTAGTAATAGTAGTAGCAGCAGTAGTAGTAGTAGTAGTAGCAGTAATAGTAGTAGCAGTAGCAGTAACAGTAGTAGTAGTAATAGTAGTAGCAGCAGTAGTAGTAGTAGTAGTAGCAGTAATAGTAGTAGTAGCAGTAATAGTAGTAGCAGTAGCAGTAACAGTAGTAGTGGTAGTAGCAGTAATAGTAGTAGTAGCAGTAATAGTAGTAGCAGTAGCAGTAGTAATAGTAGTAGTGGTAGTAGTAGTAGTAGTAGTAGTAGTAGTAGTAGTTTAGTAGTAGTAGTAGTAGTAGTAGTAGTCCAGCTTACTTGGTTAAGTTGGAGAGTTTCTCAGATCATGGCATGGAGAGGTATTGAATTGCAGGAAAAGATCTCATTTCAGTGACAATGATCATATATCAAATACATGAGCAGCACCATGACCACATCAATGAGTTATGGAGGTCATGACCTTTTATATGACATAGATAATACATCGTCATCTTGCTTAATATCTGTCACAAGACTCCAGTTTTGATTGCAATTGAAATGTTGTGTCATTTATATGAAGGATTCATGTTTACAATTGAGTCCTTGTTAACTGTCAAATGTGGTAATAATTACAAACATGGTTCGTGAAAATAAAAAGATTATAGATTATTTAAGGCTTAAAAAAGATAAAAGAATTCTTTCTCAGGCAATGGCTTTGGTGCATTTTGTTATTGTTGTTGTTGTTCAAACTAGTATGGTATGTAACCAAATAAACAGTTGTGTAACCAAATAAACAGTTGTGTACAATCAACCTGGGAAAGGGCCTCCCTACATAAATGTACATAAAATAGTCCTTGATTAATAAATACTGGAATACAGTATTTGACTACAGTTGGACTTGGAATATTTAAGGATTTTTTGGTTGTTTTGTTTAAAATGGAAATAAAAATGAAACATGCAGCGGACTTTATGATGATGCGGGCGGTGCCTGAGAACCAACTGCGGCATTGTATCTCAGTGAGCTAGCACTATAAATCAGCATTAGTCCTTACAAGTACAAGCACACACACACGCACGCACTCACATACACACGTGCATGCACATCACTATATAAGTGCAGTAATCTTGGACGTGACGTTAAAGTTTAACAGTGATTGACCGATTGGACTATCATGTAGGTACGATGTATTTACAGCAATCAAAACAAACAAAGCTTGTCAGTGTAGATAATCTTCATTGTGTTACAACTGCAGACAGAAACTGCTCAGTCCTAACTGTTGATCATGTCCGGTCAAAATTTAAGAATGTCCGGACAATACTTTTTAAAATGTCCGGACAGAAAAATTTAAATGTACGGTAAGCAATATTTTAAACCGGACATTTGGGATTCCCAATCGGACATGTCCGGCGCATATGACGGTTTCCGGACCCCTGCGTTAAACCCAATTTCACCTCACCTCCTTGATCAACTCTGACTTCATTGATTTTAGGGGCAAAGTACAGACTGTCAGAAGCTGTGAAAAATGCATGTTTATAACAAATAGTCCACAGCTACACTGCCAGCTGCCAGCTGATAACAGTACATACAGCATCCTGCTGATCTAGAACAGGAATTGTATATGTGTTTGGTAATAACTTATTGATCCTATGAGAAGCTACACTACAGGTGAAATGCATACCAGGAAACTGGGAACAGTGATAAAGTAGGTGAGACCATGAATACTTGTCCATGAGAATTGTTATCACTTGATTAGCATGGATTTTATTCATTGCACATCGTAAATATGAAAATTGACACAACTCATCATTTATGTGTGTTTAGATCATGGAAGAAGGTGTGGTTGATTCAGGGTGTTTGTACTTCAGTGGTTGCTGCGAAGTTTGATACAGTTTGATTTGGGAGGTGTTGTGTTGGGTGTGCACCTTCTGATTAGAGTTGTGAGTAGGTGAACGAGGAGAGACACACACGTGATGGTATTGCAGTGTAGAAGGATGTTGTGTTGAAGATGGATTGTGTCATGTTTTGCAGGCCTTGGAAACACGGATTGAAGACTGTCCCGATGAAGGAGAGAGGGAGAAGTACAGTGTTATCAAAGTAACTGCGGATGTAAGTGCAACACCATCTTGTGTTAAACACGGTCACTTGTTCAAGTTAAATGTATAACGGTCATACCGTCTCATCAGGGGTGAGATAAGGTGCAGTGGGTTTTGTTAAGGTGGGTGAGGTGGGGTCTGTTAAGGAGAGTGAGGTGGGGTCTGTTTGGGAGGGTGAGATGGGGTCTGTTTAGGAGGGTCAGCTGGGGTCTGTTTAGGAGGGGTCTGTTTAGGAGAGTGAGGTGGGGTCTGTTTAGGTGGGGTCTGTTTGGGAGGGGTGAGGTGGGGTCTGTTTAGGAGAGTGAGGTGGGGTCTGTTTGGGAGGGGTGAGGTGGGGTCTGTTAAGGAGAGTGAGGTGGGGTCTGTTTGGGAGGGTGAGATGGGGTCTGTTTAGGAGGGTCAGCTGGGGTCTGTTTAGGAGGGGTCTGTTTAGGAGAGTGAGGTGGGGTCTGTTTGGGAGGGGTGAGGTGGGGTCTGTTTAGGAGAGTGAGGTGGGGTCTGTTTGGGAGGGGTGAGGTGGGGTCTGTTTAGGAGAGTGAGGTGGGGTCTGTTTGGGAGGGGTGAGGTGGGGTCTGTTAAGGAGAGTGAGGTGGGGTCTGTTTGGGAGGGTGAGATGGGGTCTGTTTAGGAGGTTCAGCTGGGGTCTGTTTAGGAGGGGTCTGTTTAGGAGAGTGAGGTGGGGTCTGTTTAGGTGGGGTCTGTTTGGGAGGGGTGAGGTGGGGTCTGTTTAGGAGAGTGAGGTGGGGTCTGTTTGGGAGGGGTGAGGTGGAGGTCTGTTTAGGAGAGTGAGGTGGGGTCTGTTTGGGAGGGGTGAGGTGGGGGTCTGTTAAGGTGGGTGAGATGGAGGTCTGTTTAGGTGGGTGAGATGGGGGTCTGTTTAGGTGGGTGAGATGGAGGTCTGTTTAGGTGGGTGAGATGGGGTCTATTTAGGAAGGTGAGATAGGGTCTGTTTAGGAGGGTCAGCTGGGGTTCCGTTTAGGAGAGTGAGGTGGGGTCTGTTTGGGAGGGTGAGATGGGGTCTGTTTAGGTGGGTGAGATGGGGTCTGTTTAGGTGAGTGAGATGGAGGTCTGTTTAGGTGGGTGAGATGGGTCTGTTTAGGTGGGTGAGATGGAGGTCTGTTTAGGAGGGTTAGATGGGGTCTGTTTAGGAGGGTGAGGTGGGGTCTGTTTAGGAGAGTGAGGTGGGGTCTGTTTGGGAGGGTGAGATGGGGTCTGTTTAGGTGGGTGAGATGGGGTCTGTTTAGGAGGGTCAGCTGGGGTCTGTTTAGGAGGGGTCTGTTTAGGAGAGTGAGGTGGGGTCTGTTTAGGTGGGGTCTGTTTGGGAGGGGTGAGGTGGGGTCTGTTTATGAGAGTGAGATGGGGTCTGTTTGGGAGGGGTGAGGTTGGTCTGTTTATGAGAGTGAGGTGGGGTCTGTTTAGGAGAGTGAGGTGGGGTCTGTTTGGGAGGGGTGAGGTGGGGTCTGTTAAGGAGAGTGAGGTGGGGTCTGTTTAGGTGGGTGAGATGGGGTCTGTTTAGGTGGGTGAGATGGAGGTCTGTTTAGGTGAGTGAGATGGGGTCTGTTGAGGTGGGTGAGATGGAGGTCTGTTTAGGTGGGTGAGATGGGGTCTGTTTAGGAGGATGAGGTGGGGTCTGTGTAGGTGGTTGAGATGGAGGTCTGTTTAGGTGGGTGAGATGGAGGTATGTTTAGGTGGGTGAGATGGGGGTCTGTTCGGGACGGTGAGATGGGGTCTGTTTAGGTTGTTGAGATGGGGTCTGTTGAGGTGGGTGAGATGGAGGTCTGTTTAGGTTGTTGAGATGAGGTCTGTTGAGGTGGGTGAGATGGAGGTCTGTTTAGGTGGGTGAGATGGGGTCTGTTTAGGAGGATGAGGTGGGGTCTGTTTAGGAGGATGAGGTGGGGTCTGTATAGGTGGGTGAGATGGAGGTATGTTTAGGTGGGTGAGATGGGGGTCTGTTCGGGAGGGTGAGATGGGGTGTGTTTAGGTGGGTGAGATGGGGTCGGTATCAGTGCATGTACTATGTAAGTCCTACTTTCTGAAGTCCTGAAACATCAGTCTTGTTTCAGTGTGTCCTACATTGGGCATGTTACCTCTGATACCAGGAGCAGCAGGATTTTGTTTGTTGGTAGTACTAATGTCAGGAAGGAAGCAAAGTGCTGTGATTGTGTGACTGACAGACATCCTGTGTTCACAACATGGAGCTTCCTTGTCACTCTGAGTAGCCATTTCTGGCTCGCAATATTCAGGTACACTCCACTCACTCTCAGTGGTAACAACTTTATTCACAGGGGGTATTTCATTATGTTTGTCTCCCTTGTATGTGATGCAGGTAGACATGGTAGTCACCTTGTTTGGCCAGCTGTAGTCAAGGTAACCCAGATATGATGGTCAGTAGATTACACTGCAGTCCATGTGAGCATAACCTGACGTTAGAGTGGTAAACTGACCTGGAGGAATCAGCTTACGTACACACAAACCTTTACAGATGTAAACTGATTGAAGGTGGTGGGGTAGCCTAGTGGATAAGCGTTCGCTCGTCACACCGAGGACCTTGCTTCGATTCCCCACATGGGGAGAAATGTGAAGCCCGTTTCTAGTGTTCGCTGCTGTGATATTGCAGGGATATTGCTATAAGCGGTGTAATGCTCACTCACTCACTCACTCACTCACTCACTCACTCACTCACTCACTCAAAACATTATCTGGAGCCCTGTATGTCCTGATGTCATGCGGTTGTTTACGTTGTTTTACATTGTTTCACGTTGTTTTACATTGTTTCACATTGTTTGCAGGGACTGGTGGAGGCAATCAAACATACCATTGTGATGCTCCAGATCACCAAGGTAGGAGAACAACATACCCAATGTCTCTGCTGTTGTTCCCTCCGAACCACAAGTGGTGCCATACCTAATCATTTGTTTGACTTTGACATGAGATATAATATGTTTGACAAGTTCATCAAAGATTTTAAGCGAGAAGATTTATTACAAACTATTTGCTTCCTGAATCCAAGAACTCTGAACCACAGTATATATCATGATATATTGGCCACGTTGTATGACAAGTACAGTCAATGAGCCTTCAGTACTAGGACTCACCTGAAAATGATTTTTTATAATGGAAATTGCTTCAGTTCATTGTCTCTTTGGAGGTGCATTGTGTTTATAAAAAACTTTTGTTTTTTTCTATTCTGCTATTTAAAGTGATATGTGTTCTGATTTATTTTGTCTTCAGTGATATGTGTTATCTACACCTGATGGTGTCTCATCTACACCTGATGGTGTTTGTCTACACCTGATGGTGTCACGTCCACACCTGATCGTGTCTCGTCCACACCTGATGGTGTCTTATCTACACCTGATGGTGTCTCGTCCACACCTGATGGTGTCTCGTCCACACCTGATGGTGTCTCGTCCACACCTGATGCTGGTCTAATCTAAATGTTTCTGTATTTCCAGGAGAGTCTGAAGGAACCAATCCTGAATGGCTCCCCCCACGACCAGCTTCTACTTACCAACGATGCCAACTACAGCCACTTCAGCGACATCAAACGTCAAGGTAGGAGCTCTAACATGGACTTTGACCCAGAAATAGTCATGTGACATACTGTATTAAACTCCATCTCACCCAATAGCATCACCCTCTGTGATGAGGAGACAAAACACCTTCCCAGGTCCCATGCTTGTCGTGCTAGATGACTTGAATGTGGATCAGAAGGGGAGAATGTGATGTCACCGATTGTCTCATTTTCACTCATGCAATCATCCACTGGTTTTGTTTAACTTGATTGGTATCTGTGATATAGCTGAAACGTAACTAACTATGACATAACACAAACTTTACTCACACACAAATTACCACTTTCAACGCTATACTGAAATGCATGCATGTGAAGTTGAAATATTGTTTATATTTTCATCTCTGGATAATGTGGGGGTTCTTATCGTGACAAGAGTTGCCTCTATCTTAACATCCATACCGTGTGTGAATTCCCCTCTCCTCATTCCCCAACGACGTAAGGTGGTGCTCATGCTGTCAACCACTGGTTTCATGGTCAGATTAGATTGCTTGTGGGCCACCCTGTTGGCAGTAGTGTTATTCTCTCACTCACACATTAGGGGAGGTCGGGTAGCCTAGTGGTTAAAGCGTTCCCTCGTCACGCCGAAGACCCGGGTTCGATTCCCGACATGGGTACAATGTGTGAAGCCCATTTCTGGTGTTCTGCGCCGTGATATTGCTGGAATATTGCTAAAATATTGCTAAAAGCGGCGTAAAACACTCACTCACTCACTCACTCACTCACTCACTCACTCACTCACTCACTCACTCACTCACTCACATAGAATTGCCCTAGAAACACTCAACAGGAAAAACGGAAATTCAGGTAACAGGCTGTTGTAAGGATAGCATTACTTCTGCAAATACCGTATTTGACGTAATAAGCGCCCCGCTCTAATATGCGCCCACGGCGTTATTTGCTAATATATTGGCTAGTGAACAATCCCAGTTAGCACCTGTTAGCAAGACTTATATATTTGTGTATAATACACACTCGTTTGTTATATGCACCCTTAATTATGGTCAACTAAATTCTCGAAAATATATCTATCGTGTATAATACACACAGATTCTTCTTTTATATCATTTCAGGCTGTCAGCATAGACCACAAAATTTACAATCTTTCAACCTCATTTTTAATCTCACCAAAATATATTCTAATAAGAGCCCCCTATTTCTAATTTAGAGAGCGCCCTGGGTGCTTATTACGTCAAATACGGTACTCAAATAGCAGAGTGGAAAACACTACACGGGACAAATGGCCATGGATGAAACAGGAGGAGTTACTGTTAAATAAGATGACCTCACAATAGAGAAAACTTGCCAATGATTTCAACCCGTGAGGACAAACATGTAAAATAATTATTCAGATCCGTTTTAGAGTGGCTCGGGGTAGAATATGTCTTCAGCAACCCATGCTGGCAACTACGCTTGTCGTAAAAGGCGACTAACGGGATCGGGTGGTCAGACTCGCTGACTTGTTTGATGCATGTCATTGATCCCAATTGCGTGGATCGATGCTCATGATGTCAATCACTGGATTGTCTGGTCCAGGCTCGATTATTTTACAGACTGCCGTCATATAGCTGGAACATTGCTGAGTGCGGCGTTAAACAACAAACAAACAAACAATTGAAAGTGGTTCATTATTTGAAATGCCTGTGGCAGTCTGTGAACCTGGGCAGTGCTGTTGCCAGACAAACTGTCTGGGATGTGTTTCTTCAGGATGAATAAATCCTCATTTCATAGTGATGTCCTTGATGTATATTTAGACGTTCCTAACACTCATGGCCAGGGTGAAGTTGTTTGGACTCACAGGGTTTCATTGTATAGAAGTGGTGAAGAAATCAATCTCCCTGCCTTGCTTCACACACTCCCTCCTTTCCCTTCATGGTTTCATTGGCTTCTCATACATGCTTGGTTATGTATAGACACTGGGTTATACATACATGCCAGATTATACATACACACCAGGTTATACATACATACCTGGTTATACATAGACACCAGGTTAAACATACACTGGGGGTTGTACATACACACCAGGTTATACATACACTGGGGGTTATACATACATGCCAGATTATACATACACACAAGATGATACATGCACACCAGATTATACATACACACCAGGTTATAAATACACACCAGGTTATACATACACACCAGATTATACATACACACCAGGTTATACATACATACCAGGTTATACATACACACACAGTTATACATACATACCAGGTTATACATACACACACAGTTATACATACATACCAGGTTATACATACACACACAGTTATACATACATACCAGGTTATACATACACACACAGTTATACATACATACCAGGTTATACATACACTGGGGGTTATACATACATACCAGGTTAGACATACACTGGGGGTTATACATACATGCCATATTATACATACACACAAGATGATACATGCACACCAGATTATACATACACACCAGGTTATAAATACACACCAGGTTATACATACACACCAGATTATACATACACACCAGGTTATACATACATACCAGGTTATACATACACACACAGTTATACATACACACCAGATTATACATACACACACAGTTATACATACACACCTGGTTATACATACACACCAGGTTATGCAAACACACCAGGTTATACATACACACACAGTTATACATACACACCAGATTATACATACACACACAGTTATACATACACACCAGGTTATACATACACACCAGATTATGCATACACACCTGGTTATACATACACACACAGTTATACATACACACCAGGTTATACATACACACCAGATTATGCATACACACCTGGTTATACATACACACACAGTTATACATACACACCAGGTTATACATACACACCAGATTATACATACACACCAGGTTATACATACACACACAGTTATACATACCCACAAGATTATACATACTCACAGTTATACATACACACCAGGTTATACATACACACACAGTTATACATACACACCAGGTTATACATACACACAAGATCATACATACACACAAGATTATGCATACACAAGATTCTACATACACACAAGATTATACATACATGCCAGATTATGCATACACACGAGATTATACATACATGCCAGATTACACATACACAGGGGTTATACATACACACAAGATTATACATACATGCCAGATTATACAAACACACAAGATTATACATACATGCCAGATTATACATACACACAAGATTATGCATACACACCAGGTTATATATACACACCAGGTTATACATACACACCTGGTTTTACATACACACCAGGTTATACATACTCACAAGATTATACATACACACCAGGTTATACATACACACCAGGTTATACATACACACCAGGTTATACATACACACCAGGTAATGCATACACACCAGATTATACAAAGACACCAGGTTATGCATACATACACACCAGATTATACATACACACCAGGTTATACATACACACCAGGTTATACATACACACCAGATTATACATACACACCAGGTTATGCATACACACAGGGTAATACATACACACAGGGTATACATACATACCAGGTTATACATACACACCAGGTTATACATATACACCAGGTTATACATACACACCAGGTTACACATACACACCAGATTATACATACACACCAGATTATACATACACACCAGGTTATACATACACACACAGTTATACATACACACCAGGTTATACATACACACCAGATTATACATACACACCAGGTTATACATACACACAGGGTTATACATACACACCAGATTATACATACACACCAGGTTATACAGACACACCATGTTAAACATACACACCAGGTTATACATACACACAAGATCATACATACACACAAGATTATGCATACACAAGATTCTACATACACACAAGATTATACATACATGCCAGATTATGCATACACACGAGATTATACATACATGCCAGATTATAGGTGAGGTGAGGTGAAATGGGGTTTAACGTCGCGTCCAAGATAATTGCACTTATATAGCGACGTGCAACATACACATGTGGTTATACATACACAGGTGGTTATATATACACACCAGGTTATACATGTCAGATTATACATACACAGCTGATTATACATACACAGGGGTTTATACATACACAGGGGATTATACATACACACAAGATTATACATACACACAAGATTATGCATACACGCAAGATTATACATACATGCCAGATTATACATACACACAAGATTATGCATACACACAAGATTATACATACACAGGGGTTAATACATACACAGGGGATTATACGTACACACAAGATTTTACATACACACAAGATTATGGATACACGCAAGATTATACATACATGCCAGATTATACATACACACCAGGTTATACATTCCAGATTATACATACACACAAGATTATACATACACAGGGGTTATACATACACACAAGTTATACATACATGCCAGATTATACAAACACACAAGATTATACATACATGCCAAATTATACATACACACAAGATTATACAAACGCAGGTGGTTATACATACACAGGTGGTTATATATACACACCAGGTTCTACATGCCAAATTATACATACACAGCAGATTATACATACACAGGGGGTTATACATACATGCCAGATTATACATACATGCCAGATTATACATACACAGGGGGTTATACATACATGCCAGATTATACATACACAGGGGGTTATACATACATGCCAGATTATATATACATGCCAGATTATACATACACAGGGGGTTATACATACATGCCAGATTATACATACACAGGGGGTTATACATACATCCCTGATTATATACACATGCCAGATTATACATACACAGGTGGTTATACATACACGGGGTTATACATACACACAGGTTATACATACACAGGTGGTTATACATACACGGGGTTATACATACACCCAGGTTATACATACACACAGGGTTATACATACACAGGGAGTTATACATACACCCAGGTTATACATACACACAGGGTTATACATACACAGGGGGTTATACATACACCCAGGTTATACATACACACAGGGTTATACATACACAGCAGATTAATCCCTCATCTCCTAGAGTGTGTTTGTTTGTCAGCAAGCCAAATAATTCAATTCAGCTTTAATGATATTTAAATATTAATTTTAAACTTATTATAATATGTTATATCTTATTAATATATTCAGCTTTCATGTATTTTTGTATCAAATAAGCTTAATTGAAGAGTATCACTGTTGTTATATATTCTTATAGTTAATGTGAAGTTTTTTTTATCTAACAACATGTTTAACTAATAACGTTGTTATTTTCATTTCTTCTGCCTGTCCTAACTCCACTCGTTCATCTGTCCTCTGTTCTGGTCCTCCCTCCAGTTCCTGCCTCCCTCTCCACCGACAACATTGAGCAGGCCGTGGATGTCGCTAGTGATGCGCCAGTCTCCTCCAGCACCTCTCTACCTAACATAGCAATACCCTCTGGTACGGGAACCTCTTGTGTCTGGGGGGTGGTGTTTCTAGGGCAACAGTTTAAGAGGGATGCAATCTCATTTAAATCAGATCTTAGTTTTCGCTACCGCTAAAGAAAGATCTGAGGACATCCCATTACTGGTCACGTCAGAACGACCTTTCGCAAATTTTGACCGACCAATGAAATGACTGACAAGAAATCGACATTGGCCAATCAGGCAGCTTTCTTGAGCTTTATGACACTAGTTTCAAACTGGCGACTACGCTTCGAAACATATTTTGATGTATTCTCGATTAAAAATTTTAAAACTGATAAGAACATTCTGGAAAGGCTTATAGATGGCACAGATTGTATGGATATAATCATAAAACCTGTAACTGTCATTCGGAATACCCCGTTTTAAATATATCGTGGTTGAATGATTAGAAAACACATTCCGACTGTCACTTTCATGATCTGGTAAGCGACGCTCTGATTGTTTGGATGAAAGGTCGTTCTGACGTGACCCCTGATGGGATGTCCTCAGATCTTTGTTTAGCGGTAGCGAGAACAGAGGTCTGATTTTAATGAGATTGAGAGGGATGCAATAGGCAAAATTCAAACATTGTGGTTAAGGTTGCCTTAGACCAATATGCTATTCTAAAATGAAGAATGTGTGATATAGTACCTGTTTACAGTTGAGGTTTATAGATTGTGTTTGGTATTGCAGAATGTTGAAGAACTCTTGTCATCCCATCTGAAAATTGTTAAACACTTCGAACAAATGCACTACGAAAGAAATCCATGCCCCCAATAAGTGAAGGCTCCCAAAATACTTAACCACCATACATTTAGTTATACATATAAAAGAGAGAATTTATGGATGTCAAATTCTTTATTATGAGGAACACAATTTTTCAGAGTATATGATTACTCCTTCATCAGGGCAATGAGGTGAGGTGAAATTGGGTTTAACATCGCATCCAAGATTATTGCACGTATATAGCAATGTGCATGTACGTGTGTGTGATTGTGTGGCTGCTTGTACTAGTCAGGACTGATGCCGATTTATAGTGCTAGCCCACTGAGATTCCATGCCGCAGTTTAACATGAATACCCCATTCAGACACAGTATACTGACTCCGAGCCGACCAGTCCTTGTTTTAGCCTCTTAATGCCGAGCGCCAGACAGGGTAACAACAAGTACCATCTTTTAACATCTTTTGGTATGATGTGGCTGGGGATCGAACCCCGGACTTTCCACTCCCCGGGCGGACACTCTACCACTAGACCACGTAGGCAGTCATCAGGTCAATGAATGCAAGGATGCAGAGAGAATATATATATGTAGATGTGAAAACAACAAAAGTGGCAGGATAAAGGTGGAACCTAAACAAGGGAAGCCAACAGTTAATGAGCACTGATTGGTGATTAGCAATGGACAAATGGAAGCCAGGAAGTCTGATAAAGGAGTAAGCCTGTACTTCGAAACATGGCATTCCGCATGATAAAAAAGTTGACATCAATAAATTCCCTCTCTTAGATGGTGCGTTTGAACAGATGGGTGCAGTGTCAATGAAAAGCCTAGATTCATGGCAGTGTATATGTTTTGAGCCATCAAACTTGAAATACATTCAGTAAACTAAATTTATAATAAACACGCTTATAACGAACAGACATATCTGTAGCCCAGTTAGTGTACCACAAGGCTACAGAGGTGTTGATAAGCCGCACTGCTTTTTAGAATGACCTTTTCAAGATCCGTACGCCAGCAACAGATATTTTACGCCCGTTTCCTAAGGTTCATGGGAAGTATGTTCGAAACATAAAAATGTTGATAGATGTTGTTTTAAGTTTCTTTTTTCGGTTCATAAATTAGATGGAAAACACTTCCCCTCGGGTTTTTATGATATCTAAAACCATAATTCTTGGGATGCGTGTTTAAATGTGATAAGAACCCTTGGATGTACTTTATTGTACACTTATAATGGGTTGAAATTTAGTTTGGGGATAATTTTAAGGTTCAAAATCGGTTTATAAGTAAGATAAAACACTTCCCTTCAGGTTGTTATGATATTTGAAACCCTTTCCCTCGGAAAATCCTTCGGGATGCGGGTTTTAAATAACAATCCTATACATATTCTTATAACATACTATGGTTATGATTAACTAAAGACCCGTGAAGATCCAGGGTAGAATAGATCTTCAGCAACCCATGCTTGCCGTTAAAGGTGACTGTGCCTGTCGTAAGAGTCGACTAACAGGATCGGGTTGTCAGGCTCGCTGACTTGGTTGATGCATGGCATCGATCCCAATGGATCGATGCTCATGATGTCAATCACAGGATTGTGTAGTCTAGACTTGATTATTGACAGACCACCGTTATATAGCTGTAATATTGCTGAGTTTGGCGTTAAACAAACAAACCAAACAACTAACTAAAATTAGTGGTCCCTTTGAGTTTGTTATAAGCGTAGTTTACTGTATGTCAAAGGCATGACAGCAAAAGTCAAAAAAGGAAAAAGGAAAGTGAAATATTTACCAAATGAATTAGTTGTAGTGTTATTATTCGATTCTGTTTCTTGTATTCACCGTAATAAGTGCCTGGGTGGTAACAAAATTGATAAGGGAGGCACTCTTATTAAAAGCAAACAAATTAAATTTGTTGTAAGTTGTCGAGCGGTAGTGAACAGTAAGACTTAAACTTTCTTGAAAATGGATAGCAGGCCATTATATTCCCCTTCTGCACTGCTCTTTTCGGTAAGAAATAAGTAATATACAAGAGAAAATAAGGTCAGTCCTGTAAATGTTCGGTCTTAGTATGGGGCTCTTACAAAGACTGTGCCTACAAATTGGTCTAGAAGATGGTCATGGGTCTTTTATTGAAGCAGAGCGCTTAATACAGCGAATACAGTCATATACCTGTTGCCTGTACCAATACAGAGTGAATGGATGTTTTGTGTGCTTTAAGAGGGGGTTTGAATGCAACCTGCGTTTCCCTTCTGTCTCCTTTTCCTCTCTGCTTGTGTGTATCAGGGCCAGAGTAAAGCCTGTCCCTCACTGCCCTCCTTGTGTGTATCAGGGCCAGAGTAAAGCCTGTCCCTCTCTGCCATGTTTGTGTGTATCAGGGCCAGAGTAAAGCCTGTCCCTCACTGCCCTCCTTGTGTGTATCAGGGCCAGAGTAAAGCCTGTCCATCTCTGCCATGTTTGTGTGTATCAGGGCCAGAGTAATGCTTGTCCCTCACTGCCCTGCCTGTGTGTATCAGGGCCAGAGTAAAGCCTGTCCCTCATTGCCCTGCCTGTGTGTATCAAGGCCAGAGTAAAGCCTGTCCCTCACTGCCCTCCTTGTGTGTATCAGGGCCAGAGTAAAGCCTGTCCCACACTGCCCTGCTTGTGTGTATCAGGGCAAGAGTAAAGCCTGTGCCTCACTGTCCTGCTTGTGTGTATCAGGGCCAGAGTAATGCCTGTCCCTCATTGCCCTGCTTGTGTGTATCAGGGCCAGAGTAAAGCCTGTCCCTCATTGCCCTGCTTGTGTGTATCAGGGCCAGAGTAAAGCCTGTCCCTCATTGCCCTGCTTGTGTGTATCAGGGCCAGAGTAAAGCCTGTCCCTCATTGCCCTGCTTGTGTGTATCAGGGCCAGAGTAAAGCCTGTCCCTCTCTGCCCTCCTTGTGTGTATCAGGGCCAGAGTAAAGCCTGTCTCTCTCTGCCCTGCTTGTGTGTATCAGGGCCAGAGTAAAGCCTGTCCCTCACTGCCCTGCTTTTGTGTATCAAGGCCAGAGTGAAGCCTTTCCCTCTCTGCTCTGCTTGTGTGTATCAGGGCCAGAGTAAAAGCCTGTCTTTCTCTGCTCTGCTTGTGTGTATCAGGGCCAGAGTAAAGCCTGTCCCACACTGCCCTGCTTGTGTGTATCAGGGCCAGAGTAATGCTTGTCCCTCACTGCCCTGCCTGTGTGTATCAGGGCCAGAGTAAAGCCTGTCCCTCATTGCCCTGCTTGTGTGTATCAGGGCCAGAGTAAAGCCTGTCCCTCACTGCCCTCCTTGTGTGTATCAGGGCCAGAGTAAAGCCTGTCCCTCTCTGCCATGTTTGTGTGTATCAGGGCCAGAGTAAAGCCTGTCTCTCACTGCCCTGCTTGTGTGTATCAGGGCCAGAGTAAAGCCTTTCCCTCTCTGCCCTGCTTGTGTGTATCAGGGCCAGAGTAAAGCCTGTCCCACACTGCCCTGCTTGTGTGTATCAGGGCCAGAGTGAAGCCTTTCCCTCACTGCCCTGCTTGTGTGTATCAGGGCCAGAGTAAAGCCTGTCCCACACTGTCCTGCTTGTGTGTATCAGGGCCAGAGTAAAGCCTGTCTCTCACTGCCCTGCTTGTGTGTATCAGGGCCAGAGTAAAGCCTGTCCCTCTCTGCCATGTTTGTGTGTATCAGGGCCAGAGTAAAGCCTGTCCCTTACTGCCATGCTTGTGTGTATCAGGGTCGACCCTTGGGCCGCCGAGAGTGACGGACGCCGTGCTGAATGGGGGGACTGGCATCCCGGAGGTGTCCTACTCCAGCAGCGAGGACGAGGAGTTCTATGATGCTGAGGAGCAGAAGTCGTCACAGAAGACCACCCCCGAGTGAGTTAATCCCAACTGTCGGTACGGCTGGAGCACACCGTGGATGGGGGAGTAGGGGGTGGGGAGGGAGTCAGAGTCATGAGCTGCAAAGTGGGTCATAGCATGGGAAAACATTCAACAAATGAGAGTGGTTACCTACCTCTCAAAATGATAAAGCAGTTAAATGTACTCACTGCCAAAAGAAAGGAGTTTACTCATGTTCAAAAGATATTAGAATGGTTCGATGCACAAATGTTGTGTGAACCGATGCTCATGAACGCATCACATGGGATGTCATGACAAACCATTTGCCATGTGCAGGATTAACGAGTAAAGTAAGGAAATCACTTGCAGCATAGCATGATAAGAATAAAGACTCTGTGGTAACACTAGACTGATGGTTAGTTTTGTCATGAAGTGCTACACATTGGAGACATGTCTTCCTAACGTACATGCTTCTCAATGTTTCAATGGTTCTCGATTCTTTTGGTGGCGAGTATAAATCATAAATAAATGTCTTCAACATAAACATTTTGTTTCTTCTTAGAAAAACTAAAAATTTGAACATGGTCACAATTTTTCAAACTAACAAGAGTTTGCCACTAATGTGGCTATATCCCCCGCCCCTGTTGCAGAATTTATGACATAATTAAATCTAAACAAACCCTAACCTTTTTTAACCGAGCTGGAACTTGTCATGGAAATTGTAAAAAAAAGAAGAGTTTGGAACAGCATGTACCTGACAAACCTGCAAAGTTTCATGAAAAAATATTGAACGGTTTATGAGTTATGCTCTGGGAACGAAACGTGACGGAGCCCGTTTCTATATCCCCCTCCAACTTTGTTGGGCGGGGGATAAGAACTGAATCTGGCTTGTCTGAGAATACATTGTTGTAATTCTTTGTCTTCATCTGGATCTTGCATGGCCTGAATCCCTTCTGAGATCCCAATTCTGGTGACATTCCTTCCTAGAGTAACACTCACTGGATGATGTGCTTGTTGTGTTCCAGGCGCGAACTCTCCGCACTCATAGTGGAGGGAGACTGCGACGAGAACGGGGAGCCGCCGGTCTCGCCACCAGTTATAGCTTCCAAAGATGATTACTATGATGGTAAGTGTGCCGGTTTGTTATCCATATGCATCCAGAGAAGTGAGTTAACAAAGTTCATGCAGCACACAGAGAATTCCTGCACCCTGTAGCATTGTTAGCTGGTCGTTGTTATATGTAAGGACCATCTACCCGAGTCAAGAGAGTTAACTGACTTTAAAAGTCCAGTTTCCACCCTTGCCGAACTAGGCTGGAATTCCTGGGCTCTGTCGTAGCGCCATGAGTGGCTATTACGAGTTATGTCCCTTCTATGCCTCTCTTATGGACCAATCAGATTCCACCTCTCGTATCACTTGCATTTGCTTCAAACAAAATGGCGGCACCCAGACAAGACGATCTATATTGTGATAAAACGTGTCTTACATCGCGAAGTGCATCACATGAGCATGAGCACCTTGATTAAAAACGTGAAAAGATTTGGAAAATATCTGTTGACAACGAGTTGGCGATGCACATGCTTTGCAAATCCTGCAATCGACCAAAATCTGCGTGACAGTTTACGAACTAGATTTTGATTTCGGTTCGCGATTTTGATTGGACTATGCATAGACTCGTTAGTCCAGCCAGAATGTAAATCCATAACACCAGCCTAGTTCGGCAAGGGTGGAAACTGGACTTTTAAAGTCAGTTAACTCTCTAGACTCGGGTAGATGTCAGACTGAAGAATGCAGTTAGTCTTTAACCTTTGAGTTTCATGCAGGACATGAGTGGGAGATAATGTTGGCTTTCTGTCACTTTGAACAGTACTTCAGTTTCATCATGGGTGTCAGCATGATGGAGGAAATCCTCAACTAGTGAAGTGATGTAGGTGAGATGTTTCCCACATTGGAGAAACCTGGAGGGAAGTAGATTTCTCAACATGAATAAGTCTCTTATACCCCGCCACAAGCAAGACAGGCTGCACGTGGATTTCTGAGAGGCAGATAGATTTTATATTTAAATATATATTGAGTTGGTCTTTAAGAGATTTCTTTTTTTCTTTCAGAACTCTATGACGATTTAGATAACGAAGACCGTGAGTTGCTTGCCCGTCTGTAGTGTAGACTCAGTCTGTGATGTATAGAGAATTTCACCCTAGTGTCTTTTCATATCAAATATATCAATACGAGTTGATAAAAGTGGGAAAAAATGATAATAATGATAATAATCAACATATTATGTTCAAACACACTGTTTTAGGTTTACAGTCAAAAAGTCAATACCATGGGTCAGATATGTAGCAGCTGCAATAAATACATGAAGGCTCTACAATATAAGATAGTGCTCTGACCGGTGAAGATCCGGGTTAGAATAGGTCTTCAGCAACCCATGCTTGCCATTAAAGGCGACTAAGCTTGTCTTAAGAGGCAACTAACGGGATCGGGTGGTCAGGCTCGCTGATTTGGTTGATGCATGTTATCAATCCAAATTGCGTGGATCAATGCTCATGATGTCAATCACTGGATTGTCTACTACAGACTTAATTATTTACAGACCGCCGTCATATAGCTGGAATATTGCTGTGTGCGGCGTTAAACAACAAACAAACAAACAAATCTCTCAAATGTCCAGGATAGTGTCACTGTCAAATGTCTTGAAACAAGCCTGTCCTGGTTCTTGAACCTGGAATAGTGTTGGAAGCTTGCAGGAATAGGCACCTATTCTGCACATGGCAAGTAGATAAACCCTCGTCCTGCACCTATAGAGGTACAGCCAGGCTTTTAGAAACTGTCCCATCCAAAATTGTCACGTTGTCAACAGCACCCGAGGTTAACTTTTATCACACATCCTGTTAAAATCTGGCCACTGCAGCACTCAACATTTTACCAGCGTTTCAGTCATTTGTTCCTATTGACAATTACAACAAACACATCTACAACAATCTCTACTGCCACATACCGCGATCTGGGCGGTAAGGTAGCCGAGTGGTTGAAGCGTTCGCTCGTCACGCTTAAGACCCGGGTTTGATTCCCCACATGAGTACAATGTCTGAAGCCTGTTTCTGGTGTCCCGTGATATTGCTGGAATATTGCTAAAAGCGGCGTAAAACCATAATCACTCACTCATTCACATACCCGACCACCTCTGTAGTCAATCTCCAGACACGTCATCATACCAAAAGACGTTAAAAGATGGTACTTGTTGTTACCCTGTCTGGCGCTCGGCATTAAGGGGCTAAAACAAGGACTGGTCGGGTCTGAGTCAGTATACTGTCTGAGTGAGGTATTCATGTTAAACTGTGGCATGGTATCTCAATGGGCTAGCACTATAAATCGGCATCAGTCCGGACGAGTACAAGCAGCCACACACACGTGCATGCACGTCGCTATATAAGCGCAATAATTTTGAACGCGACGTTAAACCCCATTTTACCTCACCTCACCTCACCTCACCTCACCTCACCTCACCTCACCTCACCTCACATACCTCAGTGCTAGATATGACAGTCAGGTGTGAAGGTTTTGAGGGGGTTCTCATCCATCTCTCCTCCCTCAGTGGGGTCGCTGGAGCAGCACGGCAGCATCATCGCCCACCTCCTGTCCCAGGTCCGCATCGGGATGGATCTCACCAAGGTCGTCCTACCCACCTTTATTCTTGAACGAAGGTCACTGCTGGAGATGTATGCTGACTTCATTGCACATCCGGACCTATTTGTCAAGTAAGTCAGGGTCACCACAACTTATTGAAGACAGGGGTTTCACAGCTGGATGATACTCATTGAATGCATGATTTCAACTTTTATAGTACATTGAGTGTTAATAGCATGAGTGAGTGAGTGAGTATGGTTTTACGCTGCTTTTAGCAATATTCCAGCAATATCACAGCGGGGGACACCAGAAATGGGCTTCACACATTGTACCCATGTCGGGAATCGAACCCGGGTCTTCGGCGTGACGAGCCAACGCTTTAACCACTGGGCTACCCGACCGCCCCTGTTAATAGCATGAAATTCTAGTCATTAAGAGTAAAATACTGAAGTCACTGATACATACACAGGGAATGACCTAGGCCGCGATTCCGTGATATCCTCATTTGGTTGTCGTAGATCTGTTTGCTTCATCCAGTTGCTAAGCCTGGTTGCCATTGTATGATTAAAACAACAATTAAAACTAAGGCTAAAAAGTTAATAGACTTGGTTCTCAGGCACCACCAGCATCATCATAAAGTCAAACATGTCTCAGTAGGAGACCATCCAATGAATCTCAGACAACACATACTAACATGATCAGGACCCCATTCCACAAAGCAATCTTAGTGCTACAACTATTGTAAGTCTGTCTTTAAGTATGGGGATCATCGTAGCGCTACGACAGTACAAAGTCTATGTTTAGGAATGAGAGTTACGATCATTGTAACGGTATGACTGTCATAACTCTGTGATAAAGTATGGGAGTTATGATCCTCTTAGCACTATGACTGCCGTAAGTCTATCTTAAAGTATAGGAGTGACGATTACCTTAGGGCTACAATCTCTTTGTGAAACAGGACCCAGGGCTTAGTTCCACAAAGCAATCTTAGTGTTACGACTGTTGTAAGTCCATATTAAAGTATTGGAGTTACGATCATCTTAGTGCTATGACTGTTGTAAGTCCATATTAAAGTATTGGAGTTACGATCATCTTAGCACTACGATTGCTAAGTCTAGGTTAAGGTATTGGAGGTACGATCATCCTAGTGCTTTGACTGTCATAAGTCTACGTTAAGGTATTGGAGTTACGATCATCTTAGTGCTATGACTGTCATAAGTCTAGGTTAAGGTATTGGAGTTACGATCATCTTAGTGTTATGACTGTCATAAGTCTAGGTTAAGGTATTGGAGTTACGATCATCTTAGTGTTATGACTGTCATAAGTCTAGGTTAAGGTATTGGAGGTACGATCATCTTAGTTTTATGACTGTTGTAAGTCCATATTAAGGTATTGGAGTTACGATCATCTTAGTGCTATGACTGTCATAAGTCTAGGTTAAGGTATTGGAGTTACGATCATCTTAGTGTTATGACTGTCATAAGTCTAGGTTAAGGTATTGGAGTTACGATCATCTTAGTGTTATGACTGTCATAAGTCTAGGTTAAGGTATTGGAGTTACGATCATCTTAGTGTTATGACTGTTGTAAGTCCATATTAAAGTATTGGAGTTACGATCATCTTAGTGCTATGACTGTCATAAGTCTAGGTTAAGGTATTGGAGGTACGATCATCTTAGTGTTATGACTATCGTAAGCCTATATTCAATTATCTGTGTTACGATAATCTTACTGCAATGATATATATGTGAAATGGGACCCAGGGCCAAGTTCCACAAAGCAATCTTAGTGTTATGACTGTCGTAAGTCTATGTTAAGGTATTGGAGTTACGATCATCTTAGTGTTATGACTGTCGTAAGTCTATGTTAAAGTATTAGAGTTACGATCATCTTAGTGCTATGACTGTTGTAAGTCTATGTTAAACAATTGGAGTTACAGTCATCTTAGTGCTATGACTATCGTAAGTCTATGTTAAAGTATTGGAGTTACGATCATCTTAGTGCTATGACTGTCATAAGTCTAGGTTAAGGTATTGGAGTTATGATCATCTTAGTGTTATGACTGTCGTAAGCCTATATTCAAGTATCGGTGTTACTATCATCTAACCGCTAAGATATATATGTGAAATGGGACCCAGGGCCCAGTTCCACAAAGCAATCTTAGTGCTATGACTGTTGTAAGTCAATGTTAAGGTATTGGAGTTACGATCATCTTAGTGCTATGACTGTCATAAGTCTAGGTTAAGGTATTGGAGTTAGATCATCTTAGTGTTATGACTGTCGTAAGCCTATATTCAAGTATCGGTGTTACGATCATCTAACTGCTAAGATATATATGTGAAATGGGACCCAGGGCCCAGTTCCACAAAGCAGTCTTAGTGCTATGACTGTCGTAAGTCCATATTAAAGTATTGGAGTTACGATCATCTTAGTGCTATGACTATCGTAAGTCTATGTTAAAGTATTGGAGTTACTGTCATCTTAGCACTACGATTGCTTCTTGAACGGAGCCCTAATGTCCCCCAACAGAAGTGTACATCCTTGGCATGGATGAGTACACCCAAGGGAACTGTGCGTAAACCTGCTGCCTTGTTGTACAGAGTGGCTGACCTGGAGACGCCGCGGGAACGCATGGTGCAGGTGGTGCGGTGGTACTTGTCCGCCTTCCACGCCGGCAGGAACAGCGACATAGCCAAGAAACCCTACAACCCAATACTCGGGGAGACATTCAAGTGCTTCTGGAACCTCCCAGATGAAAAATCTACAGTAAGTTAGAATGAAACAGCATAATATATTCAATGTTGCACCGGCTCTATATATACACCAACTGCGCATTCCGATACGTATTACGATACCTTGCTCATATGTATCACAATACTTGCATGTGCTCTTATTTCTGGTGCATGAGTCATGTTTTTCATAGAGAGGATGGCCAAATACCTGGCACACTAACAATTTACAGTTGGCAGTGTAAAGTATGGCACAATGGATGAAAATAGTTACGTTTTCAATACTCGTTTTTGGTGTAACATTTATTGAAGAATACATTTAAGGTAAGAATCGATACTTCTTCATTTGTGTGCGATGTTGATCAATACTTGTATCGAGAGTAAACAATCACGATCCACCGATGTATCAGTGTATCGTCCCACCACTAGGCTCTGTGAGAGAAAGATGATGTTTGTTGTTAGTTGTGTAAGTTACAAGGGGTGATGGGCTAGCCAAGTTGGTAAAGTGTCTGTCCATCACACATTAGTTCTGAGTTTGAGTCTCTATATTGATAAAAATGGGTGGTTTAGTGACTCCAGCTATGGTATGGATGTGTGCTTCTGATTCTTAGACTAAAAAAAAATAATAGTCTTGGTTTTCAGGCATCATCATAGAGTTTGCAGCATAATTTGTTTTTATTTCCATTTTTAAAAAAACCCTTTAATATCAAGTCCAACAGTAGTCAAATACTGTTTTCCTGTATTTTACTCATCAAGGAATACATTTATGTAGGGAGGCCCTTTTCCAGGTTTATTGTACACAACTATTTATTTGGTTACCCAACTGTTTTTTGGTTACATACTAGTTTGAACAACAACAACAACAACAACAACAACAACAAAAATAGACACCGCCCGCCCACCCGCACGCACAATATTTTCATCATTTGATGACATTCAAAACAGTTTTCGAGAAGTCAAGGTTATTGTAAATAACTCTTTTGTTGAAAGTGAATGATTTAGGTTGTACATAGATTTAGATTCTTTAGCAGAAAACCTCAAGGCTGCAAGGATTCCCAATATTTCCAAAACTGTAAAGACTTGTGCAATGGCAGTGCGGTAATCACTTTTCTTTATTAACCTTGTACGATTGCGACTAACGGGATCGGGTGGTCAGGCTCGCTGACTTGGTTGATTCATGTAATCATATCCCAATTGCGTGGATCGATGCTCATGATGTCAATCACTGGATTGTGTCGTCCTGACTTAATGTTTTACAGACCGCCGTCATATAGCTGGAATATTGCTGAGTGTTGCGTTAAACAACAAATAAACAAACAAATAACAAATATCTCCTGAATAATATGCATTTCACATCACCTCTTGTCCGTGTCTGTAAGACATGTAGAATACTCGAATGGAACCGCTATCTATTCGTGGCAGTGTCTCTGTCTCGGAGCTCAGACATACCATGGGAAGTCACACTTTAATAACAGATATTTTTTATAATACCTGTACATACATATTTGATTTAAAGTTTTCTGCGTTTTATGTCTCATTTACTGCATGTGTATTTCTTGACCATTGATGTGTTCAGGATGTGGTTGAAGATGGTCCTGTTGCCTGGGCAACCGAAGACAGCATCGCATTCATAGCAGAACAAGTGTCTCACCACCCACCAAGTGAGTACTCAAGGGCAGGTAACTTGTGTTGGCACGATGACATTGTCATATTGTAATGTCGACCGCCTCCGTGGTCTAATGGTAGAGCGGGGTTCAATCCCCAGCCGCGTCATACCAAAAGACGTTAAAAGTTGGTACTTGTTGTTACCCTGTCTGGCGCTCGGCATTAAGGGGCTAAAACAAGGACTGGTCGGCTTGGAGTCAGTATACTGTGTCTGAGTGGGGTATTCATATTAAACTGCGGCATGGTATCTCAGTGTGCTAGCACTTTAAATCGGCATCAGTCCGGACTAGTACAAGCAGCCACACACACACACACACACACATACTCGTGCATGCACGTCGCAATAATCTTGGACGCGACGTTAAACACGATTTCACCTCACAGTTGTAAAACATGTGTCAGAACATCTTCATGAGGCAAGGGAGTTAACTGGCTTTAAAAGTCCAGTTTCCACCCTTGCCGAACTAGGCTGGAATTACTGGGCTCGATCGTAGCGCCACCAGTGGCTATTACCAATGATGTCCCTTCTAAGCCTCTCCTTTGGACCAATCAGATTCAACCTCTCGTATGGTCGCTATGTAAGTGCAATAATCTACGACGCGACGTTAAACCCCATTTCACCTCACCACCTCTCGTATCTGTTGCGTTTGCTTCACACAAAATGGTTGCGCCCGGTCAGGATGATATGATCGATAATCAATATCTGTATTGTGATAAAACAAGTCTTACATCACGTGAGCACCTTGATTAAAAACATGAGAAAATTTGGAAAATATACAACGAGTTGGTGGTGCACATGCTTTGCAAATCCTGCAATCGACCAAAATCTGCACGACAGTTTACGAACCGGATTTCAATTCCAGTGCACGATTTTGATTGGACTATGCATAGACTCATTAGTCCAGCCAAAATGTAACTCAATAATACCAGCCTAGTTCGGCAAGGGTTGAAACTGGACTTTTATAGTCAGTTAACTCACTTGCCTCGGGAAGATGAACACGTAATAGCCACTAGTGGCTCTTCTATCGAGCCTGGAAATTCCAGCCTAGTTTGGCAAGAGTGGAAACTGGACTGTTATAGTCAGTTAACTCTCTTGTCTCGGGAAGATGGTGTCAGAATGTCACCGAATGTAATGCCAAGTTGACTGTGGTTCCTCACAGAACACTGTCTTCCTTAGTGGTATGTATAATGGGGTTATTCCTCAATGCCCAATAGAGCTGGGTTGGTTGTTGGTTTGTTGCTCAACGCCGCACTCAGCAATATTCAAGCTATATGCAGTGGTCTGTCAATAATTGAGTTTGGACCAGACAATCCGGTGATTAATATCATGAGCATCGATCCATGCAATTGGGATCAATGCCACGCATCAACCAAGTCAGCGAGCCTGACCACCCGATCCCGTTAGTCACCCCTTACGGTAGCGGACGGTCAGGCTCGCTGACTTGGTTGATGCATGTCATCGATTCCTATGGCTGGGAAGAATCTGATTTTGTCAAGGGTTGTATTCTAAAATTCTAAAGCTCTCAAGTCAAGTAATTATTTTTTTTTTTTTTTTTTCTTTTATTTTTTTTTAGAAAGACACACCTGTTACATAAATGGGCTTCCGCCCAGGGTAGCAGAAAGCCCATGACATAAAGCACAACTTATCAGTACATCTTGCTTTGTTGTTTTTTTTATACAGAAAATAACATACTTCTCACTCACACATTCACTCTTGTTTATATATCATATTGCAGTTTAGGAAAGTACATGGTCTCAAACATTAAAATCTTAAGTACAAAACTAAAATTAAATTGAAAGCTGCTCCTCATTTTCGAAAAGTTGATGATACAGCATCCAAGCACCATAGAATTTCTGTTGATTACCTGTCTTGAAAGCAATATCTTTTTCAATGTTGTATCGTGAAAAAGCTTCCTTTTTATAAACATGAAAATAAGGTTTTGTATTTTGGAATTTGCATCTATAAATATAGTATTTGGCAATTAGTAAAAGTAAATCAAACACTTTATCTGTTTTTATGTTCTCTTTAACTCCAAAAAGTATCAATTCTGCACAAAATGTCATATTATAAACATGAAAGCACTGGTCGATCCACAATGACACTTCATCCCAAAATTGTTTTATTACATCACATTCCCAAAACAAGTGAGTAATTGTTTCCTTTTCATTGTGACAGAAGGAGCACAAATCATTCTGAGCATAATTGAGTAAATACAGAAAAGTATTAGTGGTGAGAATTCTGTGGGTAATTTTGTATTGAAACCATCGCAGTTTGACATCCTGTGTTGTACTGAAAATTTTATTATAAATATTGTTCCAATTTAAGTTTTCAAATTGTAATTCCCACTTTTCCTGCCCTTTAGTTTTTACTTCTGTAGAAACCAATGAAAAATAAATATGTTTTGAACCAGACTTGGAACTACAAATAGTTTTTACCACACAGCGCTGATCCTCCACAGAATCTGTTGGAACTCTAACTAAATTTAGAGCTCCAAGGTATTGTTTAACGCTGCTAACAACACCATAAAACTCCAAATAAGATGAACAAATACCATACATATCATTAAATTCCTCATATGACAGAAACTCCTTATTGGCCTTGACCAAGTCTATAATTTGGGAGATGCCCTTCTCAAACCAGCATTTCAAGAAAAATGATATCCTATTAATTTTAATATTAGGGTTATAAAAAATTGGTTCAGTTAAAAAACTACTGAAAGATTCTGGCTTGATTTTCTTATCAAGCACTATAAATGACTGAAAACAACTTTTCCAAAACTCATTACTTATCAAAGATAATTTTCTTTCAAAAAACGTCACACCAAACTCACCAAGTTTACACAAATAAGGATATGTAGATTTAAATAGGTGCTTCCATTTTGGATCACCTGAGGACACAAGTCTCCTTATCCATGTGGCCTTAAGAGATGTTACATATGAAAAGATATTCACCATACCTAAGCCCCCTTGCTTAACAGGTTGACAAACTTTAATCCTCTTTACTTTGTCTCGTTTATCACTCCAAAGAAATTTAAAAAGCATAGCATTTAAAGTAACAAGAAAATCATTTGGGGGATCAGGCAGTGATAACAATAGATAATTGAGTTTTGAAATCAACAAGGATTTAATGATTGCCACCCTACCAATTGGTGTAACTATCCGTTTCATCCACCTATTCATAATCTGTTTTAACTCAAATAATTTGTCTTTAAAGTTCAACTGAACCATTTTTTTCAGATTTGTGCAAAATTTGACTCCCAGAATTCTAAACTCTTCTGGATTCCAACCAACAGGCAAATCATCTTTGAACTTTTCCTTACAACCTCTCTTGGAGCCAAGCCAGATAACTTGAGTTTTATTATAGTTAATCTTAAGACCAGATATTTGGGCAAAACAATCAAGAGAGTTAATACATGATACAAAGGAGGACTGACTACCATCAAGTAATATTTCCATATCATCAGCATACTGACTAAGAAGATACTCACTACCGTCCACCAGGATACCTTTGACATCTCTATTAGAGCGGATCATACTGGCTAGTATTTCTGCACAGAGAATAAATATATACGGTGACAATGGGTCACCCTGTCGGCAACCGCGTCTGATATTAAACCAAGATGACAACTGACCATTGATGGACATACAGCTTTTTATATCATTGTAAAATACCGATATATATTTCCTTAAATTTTCACCAAATCCCCAAAAGGATAAAGATTTGTCTATAAATGACCAAGCAATGGAATCAAATGCCTTCTCAAAGTCTATAAGAAGAAGCATACCAGGAATGTTTGATTTTTCTGTACATGAGATGGCATCATAGATTAAGCGAATATTGTCACCAATGTAGCGACCTGTCATAAAGCCAGTCTGATCTTCATTAATGATAAATGGCAATCTTGACTTGATTCTATTTGCTATGCATGAAGATGCCAGCTTATATGAAACATTCAATAGTGATATGGGCCTCCAGTTAGTTATGAAGCGTTTAGGCTTGTCCCCCTTTGGAATACAGACAATAACCCCTTGTTTCTGGGTAACAGAGAGTTCACCAGATATTAAACCACAATTCAATGATCGCAATAAAAATTGTCCAATATCTTTCCAAAAGAATTTATAAAATTCAGTGGGAAAGCCATCTGAGCCTGGGCTTTTGTTATTTTGCATTTTTTTCAAAGCTTTTGCCAGCTCATCAAGAGTTAATAGATCTTCCATCTCGTCCACATCACTTTTATTTAAAAAGGGGAGAGAATCTCTGTCCAACAGGGTATTCAAATCACAATCTTGCACCATGTGTTCTTTGCTACTGTATAAATTCTCATAGAAATTGGCAGCTTCAGCAATAATGTCACTTGAATTTAGCAATGTGGTGCCATCGTTTAACTCCAAATGAGTCATAGACTTGCTGACAAAATTCCTGTTCTCAAGGTTACAGAAATAGCTGCTAACTCTTTCACCATCCATAATCCACTTAGTTCTAGATCTTATGGCAATTCCAGCCATCTTGTGTTTCCTAATTTCTTCCAATTCTTTTCTTTTATCTTCCAAGTCATCAAAATTAATAACACTAGAAGTTTCAAGAATTTCGATCTGTTGAATCAGGTTTTGTTCTTTTTCAATATTTTTTTTTTTCTTGAAGGAAGAATAAGAAACTGTTTTTCCTCTGATTTCCAGAAGCAGGACTTCAAAGAATAATTGATCATTTATATTAAACTGAATTTCATGATTAGGTATATCATTAATATTTCGAGCATCACCATACATTTTAATATACTGCGATTTAACCTTTAAAATAGTTTCTTTTACTAGATCTATGTAATACTTATCTTTCAACAAAGAAGTATTAAATTTCCATTATGTATTACGCTTTGGACAAGTTTGAAATGAAATACTCAGATCAATGATTGAATGATCAGTTCTATAACCTGCAGTGATTTTTGCCTGTGTGGCAAAAGAATAGAGTCTTTCTGAGATGAGAAAGAAATCTAATCTTGCTTGTTTTAAGGGTGACTTTTTACGCCAAGTAAACCTTTTGATTTCTGGATTGAAATCTCTCCACACATCTACCAAATCAAAATCACCAATTAATTTTAATATTTTTTCACGAGCACGAGGATTATTGATATTCTGGTAATTATGAACATCTAGTGACTCATTCAAAACAAGATTCCAATCTGCAGCAAAAATATAATCCTCATTTCCCATGACACGAGCTTGCTCTTTAACCTGCTCATAGAATTCTGGTGAGTCTAAATTGGGACCATAAATATTCACAAGTGTTACCCGTTGATCACTAATAGTTATATCTAATATAAGTAAGTTACCATTGTCATCCATGTAAGTCCTATGAATCTTATAGTCCACATTTTTGTTAAACAAAATCGCAACACCCCTGGACTGGCTGTTTTTGGAATTGAAGATGCAATCAAATCCCCACTGTGATCTTATAATTGGTTCTTGTTCTTTTGTAAAATGTGTATCCTGTAGTAGATAAAATGAGTATGCTTTAGATCGTAAAAAGTTAAAAACATCTTTTCTCTTGGCATTATCTTGCAGTCCTCTACAGTTCATAGAGCAGCAGGTAAAACCTAAGTTAGCCATTGTCAATAAAAGATTTGTTCACATACACAGAGGCCATATGAAAGATTGAATTTACACACTTTCTACACATACATACACTTTCACAACTATCTGAAGAAAAAGCTTTAAAACCATAAATGACTGAAATCAAACTCACACTTGCTTCTACAAACTTCAAGTAAAGCATCGTATGATACAAACTTGCACCATGTGGCTACCACCAGAAAAAAGGGGTAAAATCTTCACCCAAAAGTATCAGTGGCATATAACAGAAAAGACCAGGAACAAAAATAGCTGTCATAATGATAAGTAAGAAGCACACAAGTGTCAAACCATTACACAACTAAATACTGTCCACTGTGAAGCTAACATCCCAAATTCACAGTTACTAGTGATTTGGTTGAATATTTCCTCATGCAATATTCAATTGACCCATTATACTATAAACTAAATTAGGCTGTGGCATACAGCGAGTATAGGCACTAACATAGTAATATAGAGAAAAGTAGAAAATAACCAAACCAACACACTGTCCGATATGTAATTTACGAGTTTTACACACTTACAAGTTCTCTATTGATCAAAAGTTTAACTGATGAACTAATGATGCAATGCATATAAGACTTATATCTGATATTATGCAAATAAGTCTTATCATTATTATCTCATACAGTAATTCTACAGTATACTAGTTTGTTTTTTAATTGATATCTCCAGTTTTTTGTGTTGGTTTTTTTCGTTGTTTTTGTTTTTTTCATAACGAAACAACGTGACAATGGATCTTCACATGTCCAAGAGCGAGATCAACAAACCCGAACATGATGATGTGCGTTAAAATAAAGTTAACACTACATTTGTGATTTATAACAAACAAAATAAAAATTGACCGAGAGAATGGGTCACTCATCATCAGTAATTCTACAGTGTATTCGTTATTTTAAGCTCACCTCCCAAAAAGCGGCTATCTTATTTTATTTTTCACACCTTATCCATGAAAGAAATATTATAAGAATATCGTCCTCTCCACGAGTCCTGTGGGCCGCCATTTTGAATGGTCACGTGACAGATGTACACACCTTGGTCATGTGATATGCGAAATACCAATGTAAAAAGTTCAAGAAGCGTCTCCGGTAACACTGTGAAACAACATGACAGTGGATCTTCACATGTCCGAGAGCGAGATCAACAAACCCGAATATGATGATGTGCACTAAAATAAAGTTAACACTACATTTGTGATTTATAACAAACAAAATAAAAATTGACCGAGAGAATGGGTCACTCATCATCAGTAATTCTACAGTGTATTCGTTATTTTAAGCTCACCTCCCAAAAAGCGGCTATCTTATTTTATTTTTCACACCTTATCCATGAAAGAAATATTATAAGAATATCGTCCTCTCCACGAGTCCTGTGGGCCGCCATTTTGAATGGTCACGTGACAGACGTACACACCTTGGTCATGTGATATGCGAAATACCAGTGTAAAAAGTTCAAGAATCGTCTCCGGTAACACTGTGAAACAACATGACAGTGGATCTTCACATGTCCGAGAGCGAGATCAAGAAACCCTAACATGTTGATCTGCACTCAAAAATAAAGTTTACACTAGATTTGTGTTTAAAAGAAACAAATAAAACATTGATCGAGAAAATGGGTCACTCATCATCACATACATTGACTTTAGCCAGGTTAGATTCTTGGTTCCTCGTCCTCTTTGAGAGTTTTCCATGCGCTCCCGGCATCCTTTCTGTAATACAGGGTAACAACGATCCCCTTTTCGCGAACCTTTGCATGTAGTTGTTGTTTACGTAATTCAGCGGCTTTTCGTACCAGGCGACCACGAAGTTTTTTTAAGTCGACAGGCAGGTCTGTACGAACACTGAGCCGGTCTTTCGCCAATTCCCTCCCCACGGAATAGGTAGTCTTCAAAATGAGATCTCTGTCCTCCATGCGCACGAATTTAATGATGATAGGATTAGGTTCTTCGTTCGGTGTGAATCGAGGGAGTCTGTGAATATTCACAAACAACATGTTGTCCACCGCATGTGAATCCAGGTGTAATTTATCCTTGAAAATGTTTCTACAGGCCTTGTCAACATCTGTGACTGTATTAGGTACACCGTAGATTAGTAAGTTGGATTTACGGGAATACATCTCTGAGATCAGTAGCTTTTCTCTTAGCTTGTCGATTTCGTCGCGGAGGCGTTGTTCTGACGACGCCATTTTGTCACCAAGGTCGTCGATAGATTTCGACATAAATTCCACCGAAGACTCCACTGAAGATACCCGTTTGAACAAGTCAGCCACTTCTTCTTTAACAGAGTCGATCTTGGAACATATCTGACTGGTCTGTTTGTCCAATTCCTCGCGAAGGAACGTTTTCAAGTCGCTGGGTGCAACGTCAGCAGGCGGGGAGGACGAAGGTGAATGTAAGGGCAGAATAACGTCAGAGCTTTCCTCCTCATCTGTCTGCTCCGGGCGTAAATACGAGCTGATTTTATGTGTAGCAGTACTGCTGGTGGTAGATTTGTTGTTCTGTTTGTTTGTATTTCGTCTCCCCGCCATGCTTGTGTAAAGATTGAAGTGGATTACCACGAGAGCGCCAGTCGCACGTCTTTACGATTCGAGCGCCATACCGGAAGTCAAGTCAAGTAATTATGATTGGTTGCCTTAAGAATCGTCGGATCATAGATTTTCGGGCGTTATACTTTTTTGGACGGCCATGTTTATCGCAATTACTCACACTATAACAAGGGGTGTGGAGTCACATAGACGTTGTAAAAACTTAGATGATGGCCTGTGTTTTAAAGTGAATGAGATGTTCTTGTGATTACAGAGAAAACTACTAATGTTTCTTAAGCCCATAACACGGGGATATTTAAATGTTTGGTTTGGAAAACATGACCCTATGAGCTGTTTTTATGTTTCGGGTCAGGAAACTTATATACTGCCTCTTTCTTGTTGTGTCTAGTTTTTGTATAAAGTATGTGTGTTGTTTTCATCATTCTACAATGGTAAAGATTGTTCCTCATACTATCAACCACTGAAATATTGTTCGGTTATAAAACAAGATTCACCAATGCACCCAAGTTTCACTTATAATTTCTGACCCATGAGAGATTCCGGGGTAGAAAAGGTCTTCAGCAACCCAAACTTGCCGTAAAAGGCGTCTATGCTAGTCGTAAAAGGCGACTAACATGATCGGGTGGTCAGGCTTGCTGACTTGGTTGATACATGTCATCGATCCCAATTGCGTGGAGCGATGCTCATGATGTCAATCACTGGATTGTCTGGTCCAGACTCGATTATTTTATCGACAGCAGTCATATAGCTGGAATATTGCTGAGTGCGGCATTAAACAACAAACAAACAAACTTATAATTTCTGATTAAGCTGTTCCTCATTTCAGTTTCGGCGTTCTATGCTGAACACCACAGTAAGCGCATCGCTCTGGACGGGTACATCTGGACCAAGTCCAAGTTCCTGGGCCTTTCCATCGGTGTCCACATGATCGGTCAGGCTGTTGTGTCTGTCCTGGACCATGACGAGGAATACACACTCACCTTTCCCAATGGCTACGGCAGGTACGACCACTACAGCAAAACTCGTAACAAATGTAGTAGCAGTGTTATTATAAAAAATCCAGTTAAGATAATCTGGATAATATAATAATAAGGTGAACAAATTTTCAATAAGTGATATATATATATTTATCATATAATGGGTAGGTTTCTCGGCAGGATAAAGCCAACGGATAAAAACGTTATCCGTTGGGGTCATATGCGGATAGAGATGCAAATATCAAAGGTCAAGTAGGGACTACTTTCACTGTTTATAAACAAACATGACGTCACCCTCGTCATTCGGCGATCGAGTCAGAATTAACCATCGGGAATATGGATAAACTACAGGGATAATTGCTATCATTATCAAAAGAACAGTGTAATACACTGAAAATCAGTGTTTAACTGTGACGTAGCTAAGGCATTTTATAAGTTTTGGCAACTTTGGAGATATAAATTTCGAAACAATTTTGCGAGAGCACGAGGCCTAGCCAAGCGGGATCAGTAGCCATATCTGTGCTTGTAGACCTCTGCGGCTTGAAACCTTCTCCACAAATTAAAATAGTTGGATTTGGCCGAAATATGTTTGAATTGTTACCTTGTTTCGTTTTGTTGCTGTGTGTACATCTGACTACACTTCTTAACGTTACGACAGGACAGACCGACTGTCAACAATGTCTGAACGTAGCCGTGACGTTTCATAGACTAGGGTTAGAGTAACTTCCCTTTGACAAAGGGCAGTTACTCTAGCGGACAGACCGATGGATTGCCGCGAAAGGCAATTAAAAACAATTGTTGTTTTGCGTATATGTTGCTTCGCCACTGTATAAGAAACAGATTTCAGTTGGAACTATATTGGCTACTGTCACTGTCCGACTGACACATCACTTACCCTGTGGTGTAATAAATATTAATGCGCGCATTCCAGGAAAACTCGCAATGGTTCGGTAATGTTTGTGAGAGAGGGAAAGCGATTTTCAAGCACAGAATTAAAGAATGACATTATATGATAAAGAGGTTATCACGCTTGTGTGTTTGGGGATGTTAAATAGCCTGTATTAGGAATAAACACTATGTATTTAGCTCGCCAAGGCTTGCTATATACAATGTTTATTCCTAATGCAGGATATTTACCATCCCCAAACACACTCGCGTGATAACCTCTATATATCTTGATTCATCACCTCGTATCACCTGGGGGCACGGGTAGCCCAATTGTCTAAGATGCTGCGATTCGCTGTACAGAGTTGCGTCCCTTAGGCACGCCAGAAACCTATGATTGTGGGTTCGAAATCCCGGTTCGCCCCAATTATGTTTCTAGGTTTGTCAGCACCATACCCTTGCTCATGGGTTTCACTAAGCTGACACGCCGCAATATAACTGTAATACTGTTCAAAGCGGCGTTAAACCCAACTCACTCACAAACTCACTTGTATCACCTTGATGACGTGGATCGTTGATCACAGTAGTAATCACTGGATTCTCCGGTCAGGACTTGATTTTGACAAGGTATGCACAGGAATATGAGGGTACAAAAAGAAACAGAGAGGTAAACAAACATACACAGGTACATGAAGGTACAAAAAGATACACATAGGTAAACATAGGTAGAGAAAGGTACACGATGGTACACACAGATTCATACAGGTATGATGGTAACACAAAGGACCCATGCAAGCAAAGATAGAGGACGGTATTCTGAGGTATTCATAGGAACGGACAAGTACAGACAGGTAGATAATAATAATAATATTAATAGGCTATATTTATGTTGCAATATTTCCACACCACACAGAGAGGCATGCTCAAAGCGCTGTTATTACCCCGGTCACTGGAGTGTTCACTCGAGAATAATTCTCAGCCCCTTGGGGAGTATACAACTCAGGCTGCCTGTTAGGCGCTAGTAGATGAAGGTACGAGCAGGAACACACAGGTACACTCAGGTACGCAAAGATACACGGGTAGATGAAGGTACGAGCAGGTACACACAGGTACACTCAGGTGCGCAAAGATACACGGGTAGATGAAGGTACGAGCAGGAACACACAGGTACACTCAGGTACGCAAAGATACACGGGAAGATGAAGGTACGAGCAGGTACACACAGGTACACTCAGGTGCGCAAAGATACACGGGTAGATGAAGGTACGAGCAGGAACACACAGGTACACTCAGGTACGCAAAGATACACGGGTAGATGAAGGTACAAGCAGGTACACAAAGATACACGGGTAGATGAAGGTGCGAGCAGGAACACACAGGTACACTCAGGTACGCAAAGATACACGGGTAGATGAAGGTACGAGCAGGAACACACAGGTACACTCAGGTACGCAAAGATACACGGGTAGATGAAGGTACAAGCAGGTACACAAAGATACACGGGTAGATGAAGGTGCGAGCAGGAACACACAGGTACACCAAGATACACGGGTAGATGAAGGTACGAGCAGGAACACACAGGTACACCAAGATACACGGGTAGATGAAGGTACGAGCAGGAACACACAGGTACACCAAGATACACGGGTAGATGAAGGTACGAGCAGGAACACACAGGTACACCAAGATACACGGGTAGATGAAGGTACGAGCAGGAACACACAGGCACACCAAGATACACCGGTAGATGAAGGTACGAGCAGGAACACACAGGTACACCAAGATACACGGGTAGATGAAGGTACGAGCAGGAACACACAGGCACACCAAGATACACGGGTAGATGAAGGTACGAGCAGGAACACACAGGCACACTCAGGAACGCAAAGATACACAGATAGATGAAGGTACGAGCAGGTACACACAGGTAAGCAAAGATACACGGGTAGATGAAGGTACGAGCAAGAACACACAGGTACGCAAAGATACACGGGTAGATAAAGGTACAAGCAGACTGTACACACTGCTACACACAGGTACACCAGGATACACAGGTTGATGAAGATACACACAGGTACACACTGCTACACACAGGTACACCAGGATACACAGGTTGATGAAGATACACACAGGTACACACTGCTACACACAGGTACACCAGGATACACAGGTTGATGAAGATACACACAGGTACACACTGCTACACACAGGTACACCAGGATACACAGGTTGATGAAGATACACACAGGTACACACTGCTACACACAGGTACACCAGGATACACAGGTTGATGAAGATACACACAGGTACACACTGATACACACAGGTACACCAGGATACACAGGTTGATGAAGATACAAGCAGGTACACACAGATACATGTTGCCTCTGTTGCAGGTCGATCCTGACGGTGCCGTGGGTGGAGCTGGGAGGGAAGGTACAGATTGCATGTGCCAAGACAGGATACAGCGCCACTGTGGAGTTCCATACAAAAGTAGGAGTTTGCTTCGATGTCCATGACAAAGTAGACACAATTTATGGACAACTACTTCTTAATTTACTGTGAAGGTGACGTTTCAGTGTAGATCCTTATACCATTGTCAAGAATGAACATGGTACAGAATATATACTGTAAATCGTGAAATTAATGCGTCTCCAAAAGAATGCGACCACTGGACCCTAGCCAAAAATGTGACTCAATATGAATGCGACACCCCCTCCTCTCAAGCATCAGTGGATTTCTATCTAAAGATGTCCTCAGTCAAGTTTCCTCCCCTTAATCCAACCTTACAATAATCCAATCACACACCAAATAGCACCGCTTATTAGCGCTGAGTAAAGTACTTCTGCAAAAACAATACATGTGCACTGGCTCGTGTCGGCCTTCGACGCAGTCGCAAAGAACAAAGGGTGGCGTCTGTCTTGACTTGCAGGTGTGATCAGTGATGACATAAGTGAGTAGAACACTTGTCTTGACCCCAGCAGTGACAATTCACAGGACAGAATTAGTGTTTGAATGACATTGTTTATATACTTTATATACAAGTGCTGCTCAATAAACAGTGGTGTGGAATACATCAGCGTATGTCTAAGTTGGTATTTTTGCTATCCAAATGTTGATATAAATGCGATGTTTAAAAATGCGAGCAAAGACCACACGCATTTTTCGCATTTAATTCACGCTCGCGTTAATTTCAAGATTGACAGTACTCACCGCCAAAAGAAACACGAACCTAGGAAACATATAGAGAAGTATGTACATTAAGAAGAGATGTTTAAGTGTACCAATTCGTGACAAAACTAACAATTAGTCAAGTGTTACCACAGAGTGTCTTTGTTGTTACTACGATATGCTGCACGTGATTTCCAAACTTTACACGCTAATCCTGCACGAGACAAATGGTGCATCTTGAGTCATGGATCTATGACGTCACATGTGATGCATCGTGAGCATAGGTTCACACCTCATACCAGAATGTCCGTGTGTGCATCAAAGCAATCTGAGATCTCATGAATATGGGGGCGGTCGGGTAGCCTAGTGGTTAAAGCATCCGCTCGCCACGCCGAAAAACCCGGGTTCGATTCCCGACATGTGTACAATGTGTGAAGCCCATTTCGGGTGTCCCCCGCCGTGATATTGCTGGAATATTGCTAAAAGCGGCGTAAAACCATACTCACTCACTCTCATGAATATGAGTAAGTTTTCATATGTTAACCCACATGGATTGTATTCGCGTTTCTTTTGCAATGATTGTATTTAGTAGGTGGAGGATTAACAGTAATAACAATTGCATACATGAAGGAGATTAACATGAGCAGGTTGAATAATGACAACAGAAGGACAGATGAGGAAGCAAGTATATAGTGTGTGAAATATGTTTATATGTAGGCGTCGACACTCGTCCCTCCATGTTGAACTATCAGTATATACCGTATTTGACGTAATAAGCGCCCAGGGCGCTCTAAAAAATAGAAACAGGGGCTCTTATTAGAATATTATTTTGGTGGAAAAACCAGAGTTGAAAGACAAGTTTTGTGGTTTATGCTGACAGCCTGAAATGTTTATATACGACAGATATATTTTCCAGAATTTAATTGTCCATAATTAAGGGTGCATATAACACACGAGTGTGTACTATACACGAATAAATAAGTCTTGTGTACATTGATCAATGAGAAGGGTGCTAATCGGGATTGTTCACTGGCCAATATATTAGCAAGTATCGCTGTGGGCGCTTATTAGAGCGTGACGCTTATTACGTCGAATACGGTATGTAATTATTTCTCACAGCCATTCTACGGAGGAAGGAAACATCGGATAACAAGCAAGGTGTTCGAGCCTAACGAGAAGCTCCCTTTCCTCACCGTGGAGGGAGAATGGAACGGAGTGATGTATGGCAAATATACCTCAGGGGTAAGGATGAATATCATATTAAATTTTGTATATAATTGAGCCCCACACTCATAAGTCAGTAATGTTCCACCTGTGTCATGGCAGTTTGTGAATAACTGCGTCTGATTCTGACATACCAGTGACACACACAATCAACCAAGTCTGACCAGAAATCGTCTGGATCCAACCGCATGGATTTTTGCTCATGCTGTCAACCACTAGGTTGTATGGTTCCAAGGCGACCATGCTTTCCTTAACAGGCGACTAATGTGATCGGGTGGTCAGGCTCGCTGATATGGTTGATACATGTCATCGATCCCAATTGCGTGGAGTGATGCTCATGATGTCAATCATTGGATTATCTGGTCCCGACTCGATAATTTTACAGACAGCCGTCATACAGCTGGAATATTGCTGAGTGCGGCATTAAACAAACAAATAAAAGTTATGGTTCCAGCTGTTACCTCAGGTTGCCATGGTAATACTGAAATATTGCTGACTCGATTATAAAACGACATGCACTGTCAATCCTGACAACTTTTTTGGGTATGAAACGAAAGTCAATTTGTGGTTAATTTTCCAGGTAATTAGTTGGATATCTCCTTTTTCAGCAAAACGAAACATTTGTAGACACGAAGACATTACCTAAGTTCAAGAAGATGGTGAGACCGACGGACCAGCAGGAGGAGTATGAGTCTCGCAGGTCAGTGGCCTTCACCTTCATCAGACGCGTTGTGACGGCTTGCCCACTTGTCACATATGTCCCTTAACTTTGTTTGTTAAATAAACATCAGCAACACCCCACTGGTTTATGAAATAATGTTCTGAACCGTGTTACAAATTTAGAATATAAGCTAATCTGTGATGTGTTCTTAGGTTATGGTGAAATGTGACTTTAAATCTATGTTATCAGGTTATGGCGAGACGTGACATATAAACAATGATATGTTATCAGGTTATGGCGAGACGTGACATACAATCTGTGATATGTTATCAGGTTATGGCGAGACGGGACATATAAACAATGATATGTTATCAGGTTATGGCGAGATGTGACATTTAATCAATGATATGTTATCAGGTTATGGCGAGACGTGACATATAAACAATGATATGTTATCAGGTTATGGCGAGACGTGACATACAATCTGTGATATGTTATCAGGTTATGGCGAGACGGGACATATAAACAATGATATGTTATCAGGTTATGGCGAGATGTGACATTTAATCAATCATATGTTATCAGGTTATGGCGAGACGTGACATATAATCAATGATATGTTATCAGGTTATGGCAAGACGTGACATACAATCTGTGATATGTTATCAGGTTATGGCGAGACGTGACATATAATCAATGATATGTTATCAGGTTATGGTGAGACTTGACATACAATCTGTGATATGTTATCAGGTTATGGCGAGACGTGACATATAATCAATGATATGTTATCAGGTTATGGCGAGACGTGACATACAATCTGTGATATGTTATCAGGTTATGGCGAGACGTGACATACAACCTCAAGTACAAGAATGTGGAGAAGGCCACAGAGGGCAAGCAATTCCTGGAACAGCGGCAGCGGGACGAGGCCAAGGACAGGAAGGAGAAAGGGGAGAGATGGGAAACCAAGGTAAAACTCTCACCTTCACCTTGTCAGGACAGTCTAGTGGCACAAAGTCTGAAGCCCACAGTGGCGTCCCCAACGGTGATGCTGCTGGAACAGTGCTAGAAGTAGTCATACGTACATGTAACAGGAGTCCGTATCTAAAAATAGACACCCTCATGCATTATGACCATGACTTCCGGCTCGCATGTGGAGATGGTCATGAATATGCATGAGGGCGTCTATTTTCAGATACAATGTATACAATGTCCATGGTGTGAATTATCTGTAAATAGGTGGAGAAAAGACTTTTATATTTTGACTTTATTATCCCCCGCCACAATGTGGAAGGTAGATATAGGAATGGGTGCTGTCCGTCTGTCCGTCACATTTTGTTTCCGGAGCAGAACTAAAAAACCATGAGAGATATCTTAACCAGATTTTGAACATAGATGGGTCTAGTGGTGAACTGGTGCCTTTTGATAGTTAAGGATATTTGAAAAAATTATTTTCGAGTTTCCATGGCAATGGCTCTGACTAAGAGGGAAAATGTCAGTAGTGCTCCTTTCCGTCTAAGGCGCCGCGATTCGCTGTGCAGAGTTGCGTCCCTTGGACATGCCAGAAACCTATGATTGTGGGTTCGAATCCGGGTTCGCCCCGATTATGTTTCTAGGTTTGTCAGCACCATACCCGTGCTCGTGGGTTTCACCAAAGTGGTAAACGCCCGAGACCTGAATCACTTCGGGCTTTCCTCCCACATTAAGCTGACACGCCCCAATATAACTGGAATACTGTTTAAAGCGGCGTTAAACTCAACTCACTCACTCACTTGTATCACCTTGATGACGTGGATCGTTGATCACAGTAGTAATCACTGGATTCTCCGGTCAGGACTTGATTTTGACAAGGTATACACAGGAATATGAGGGTACAAAAAGAAACAGAGAGGTAAACAAACATACACAGGTACATGAAGGTACAAAAAGATACACATAGGTAAACATAGGTAGAGAAAGGTACACGATGGTACACACAGGTACATACAGGTATATGATGGTAACACAAAGGACCCATGCAAGCAAAGATAGAGGACGGTATTCTGAGGTATTCATAGGAACGGACAAGTACAGACAGGTAGATCATAATAATAATATTAATAGGCTTTATTTATGTTGCGTTAAACCCAACTCACTCACTCACTCCAGTGCAGATCTTGAAAGCCGTACAGTTTTTCTTCACCAAACTTGGCACATGGATGTGTCTAGTGGTAAACTGGTGCCTTTTGATAGTTGGGAATGTATTTGCCAAGTTTTCAAACAATGACTTTGACTTAGACTGAAAATGGTGGTAGAGCTCGTTTCCAGAGGGCTAATGCCTTGCACACAACCGAACAGGGATATGAGTATTTCATGCTTGTTATTTAAAATTTGGTTGTGTTTCAGTTTTTCCACGAGGTCGGAGAGCACTGGGTGTATGACCGGCCATTGCTGAAGAGAAATAATCCATCACCTACAGAGTGAGGGCGATCTGTGAGGACGACCTATGTGATGGCGACCATGTGATGATGGCCACTGCATCAACAATATTCCAGGCTGGTGTTGTGTACAGCTAGCCATACGAACACACAAACAAGCTGCTTAGTATTGATTAGAATAACTTAATATGTGTACTATATGAAGCAATGTGCAAACCAACATTTTACTGTTTCCCACATAAAAATCAACATTTCTTATATAGCCAAAAAAAACAACTTCAGTTTGGTTCTCAGGCACCGCCTCATCATCATTAAGTCCCTGGCACGGTTCGTTTTTTTCCCCATTTTGAACATTTCTTTTAAGAGAGAGACATATTCAGAAATTTAAGTAACCAAACCAAGAGATCTTTGAGTAAACTTGAGCCAACTCAGCCGGCGATGGAATATTAGTCTCAGAAATCAGATATCCATTGTTATTTTAATGACATGTATTGTCTAAATTCACAAATGCTTGGTTACGTTTTGTATCCTGCTTGTGCTGGCACTTTATCTGTGTGATTCCTCGACTCAGCTGTGGTGATTGCTTATTACCGACATTTCACACGGAACAATTTTGAGAAATGAAAGTTTTTTACAGCAAATGACCAGGTTAGTGAAACCATAACTTGATTTTCATCAGGGAGGAATGAAAATAGTACAATGTGAAGTGAAACTGACTGTATTTATGTTGTAAAGTGGAGAGGATGTTTATATGGTTTCCTTGGTGCACGCTGAACGGAAGTTAACAGTCGTGAGAAAACCAGTGCTGATGTCAACATTATCTACACTGAAACCCTGTTTGTCTGGAGGGTAGCCTGTTAGTCTGGAGGGTAATCTGTTTGTCTGGAAGGTAGCCTGTTAGTCTGAGGGTAGCCTGTTAGTCTAGAGGGCAGCCTCTTTGTCCAGAGGGTACTCTTCCTGGAAATCATCCACAAATTACCACATAAAGTACAAGTAATGTTTAGATCCATAGAGATATACCTCCAAGTAGTTTTTGGTTCGAGATGATTGGGTGTGTATCAGCAGGGTTTAATTGGTGTGAAAACTGCGTTTTGGGTCAGTAGGTGTTCCACCATCTTCGTGAGGCAAGCGTGTCCACTAGCCTATATCAAAGCCAAGTTTCTACCCTTTCCACAACTAGGCCACATTTCTTGGCTTGACCCTGGCGCCACCTCGTGTAGATCCCAAGTTGTGCCCCTTGTAATGAAAACACGATATCCAATCAGATTGCTGTTCTTATCTCATACAGCTTCACAAAGATGGCGACGACCTTAGGCGACGACATAGTCGATCAGAGAACGAAATCATTCGCGATGTCATCCCTGACCCAAAAACAGAGGCAATCGTTTTTCGATGAAAAATACAACAAAGACAGGCAGTGGTAAATCACTTTCATACAAAGGTGTACCAGTCGTGGATGTTGATTTTGTGAGACATTCTCTGATTAGACTATCGATATGTGCGATAGTCCAATCATATTTAGCACAGGAAAGTAAAACAAGACTTTGATAAAAAGGCTAATGGACGCTCTTGCCTCAGGAAGATGGTGTTCCACGTGCAATGGGAGATTCCATTTCCATTGAACAGGGGACTTAGGTTGAGTGTGATGAGGTGAATGTGGAGTTCGTGGTCTGTCGTGTCCGGCAACAAATGTACACCCAACCGACTGGCCCCCGAGTTAAATCTTCCACCTCTGATTGTGATTGTTGCCCGGATTACGTCGATCCATGGGGTCGATTGTTGGGCCATGATTCTTCTTAAGTTTGTTTAGCAGGTAGTTCTCATCAGTCTTTCAAGCTAATTCTGAGACGATACCAAAACCATAAGTACATGCACGTTTATTTATTGACAAAGTATACCACCGTGCCATGTTTAGATAAGAAGCTGTGAGGGGCCCAAGAGACCAGGGTGCCATTGTACAAAATAATCTTAGTGCTATGACTGTCATAAGTCTATGTTAATGTATGGGAGTAACGATCACCTTAGCGCTAAGATTGCTCTGTACAACGGCACCCTGTTGTTTATCAGAGGGGGGGCTTGTGTTAAACATAATTTGGGTATTGAAAACAGGTGCAGGTATTGCAAGGGTAAAGAAAGCCATCAATAAGTCATGTAAAAAGTAAACAAATATTTGGGATGGTAGAATATTAATTATTTAAACAGATGGATTATACCCCTCTATGAGTGATGGGTCCCCATAAATTCTGATGAATTAATATTACAAAACCCCTCCGGAAATGGTAAAATTGGAGATACACGTGTTGCTTTGTGGAGATGTTTTGAATGGGTCTTTTTAAGACTTGTGTTGTAAGGGTTAGGTCGTGTTACAGTCAGCTATGCGTGGGGTCTTGGCGTGTTACAGTCAGCTATGCGTGGGGTCTTGGCGTGTTACAGTCAGCTATGCGTGGGGTCTTGGCGTGACTTCAATGTACATACCTTGTGGTGGATAAGTTCAAACATAGACTTGGTTCTCACACTGTAAAATCAAATTGCATGGAAACGTTTTATATCTGCTTAGAAAACTATTGAAGTGAAATACTGACGTAAATATGGAGAACGTGGTGACTGAGGACCAAGTTGTGTGAGAGCCTCATATGAGCCATTGACAATACTTGTGTCTGGGTGGATCAGGGTGGACCACCCTCTGCTTACCTGTGTCTGGGTGGATGTGTCAGGGTGGACCACCCTCTGCTTACCTGTGTCTGGATGGATCTGCTTATCTGTGCCTGGGTGGATCAGGGTGGACCACCCTCTGCTTACCTGTGTCTGGGTGGATGTGTCAGGGTGGATCAGAGTGGACCACCCTCTGCTTACCTGTGTCTGGGTGGATCTGCTTACCCGTGTCTGGGTGGATCAGAGTGGATCATCCTGTGGATACCTGTGTCTGGGTGGATCAGGGTGGATCAACCTGTGGATACCTGTGTCTGGGTGGATCAAATTGGATCATCCTGTGGATACCTGTGTCTGGGTGGATCAGGGTGGATCAACCTGTGCTTACCTGTGTCTGGGTGGATCAGGGTGGATCATCCTGTGGATACCTGTTTCTTGGTGGCTCAGGTTGGACCATCCTGTGCATACCTGTGTGAGTGGATCAGGGTGGACCACCTGTGCATACCTGTGTCTGTGGATGAGAATGGACCACCCTGACATTACCTGTGTTGGGGTGGATCTAGCCTGTGGTACCCTGACGTCTACTATATGTCTTATCATACCAAAGTGTAGAATTACATATTTATTTCACATCATAAAACCAAAATATCATACACTGTAGTGACAAGTTATATAATTATTTAGACAACTTGTTTGTAAAAACTACATTGTGTGTGATGTATGTTTGACACCATGTGTTTTGATGTATGTTTGACATGTGTGATCTATGTTTGACGTGGTGTGATGTATGTTTGACATGTGGTGTGATCTATGTTTGACATATATAGTGTTGTATGTTTGACACCATGTGTTTTGATGTATGTTTGACATGTTTTATATGTATGTTTGACATGAAGTGTGATTCATATTTTACCTTTTTTGACATCAAGCGGCGAGTTTCTGGATGAACTTTATCAATAACGTCAGGCACTGCCCATCTTACAGGTAGACTCTGAGCAAGTAGAACTATATTTATTTTAATGGTTTTCAGTATCATTATTCAGAAAAGTGCTGAAAAAATTATTCTGTTTTCCATTTCCAGGACAACAAATTCATGATTACAATAAAAACCAAGTTGTACCAGGTGTATCGGGCTTGCAATGAGATTTGTGCCAGTCGGTGCGTTGTAGCCATGTTTGATAACAATGTTAGCCCTCCAGGATATGGAGACTACCATTATAGATTGAGATATTATTGATGCATGTATCTCAAGACTGTGTCGGTATGTATACACATCATAGGAATATTGTTGCCAAAAAGAATTGTTACACTTTGAACAATGTTCTGCCAACATGATACTCATGTAAAAACATGACCGTGTCTAGCAATATCAATTATGAAAATGTTATAAATTGCTGCCATGTCATATACCAGTATATTTCCCCGCCTCTTTCATAGCTATATAGACAATACAGATATATATAGGATAGAAATGATATTTTCCTGATGTATTCAGACTGGTCGTTACTGCACAAGTAACATATACCGATATAGTCACTGCTTATGTAGAAACAAAATATGATATCTTCTTAATTGAAAGTACAGGGTTCACTCAAGAATGGGCCCTTTATGTGAAAATTTCAAATATTCAAGAGGTACGCCCATTGTATTTGAAAATGTGGGCCTTTTTTTTTCAAATTTAGGGGCTAAAAGCACAAGGCCCCACCCTAGAATTATCCCTGAAAGTAATGGAAGACAACATCCTGGCACCTGTAGAGCCTGTCAAGGAATCACAAATGTTTCCCTTTCTGTTCCCTAATTTTGCCCCATCAGTATAGTTCCTGAAAATCATGATTCCATGAGTGATCATCTCTGAGCAGTGATATTATTTATGCAGATGAAGATGGTTTGAAATCCAGGGCCATTATATTCTGCCCTGATTGCCTGTGGTTATGTAAACAAATTCTTGTTTCTCAACCAACCTAAATGCCCAATAGTACCTGTGAAAACATAGATTTCAAGAACTCAAGATGCATTAATGTGGCCTTATCAGACAGTAATGAATTTGTTTCAAGCTATAAAGTAAACAGTGACAAGATAAAAAGTTCAACTTCTGATATTGATGCTGATGATTGGGAGTGGCCTAATCACCATATTGATGCTGATGATTGGGAGTGGCCTAATCACCATGTTGACTGATGATTGGGAGTGGCCTAATCACCATATTGATGCTGATGATTGGGAGTGGCCTAATCACCATGTTGACTGATGATTGGGAGTAGCCTAATCACCATGTTGACTGATGATTGGGAGTGTCCTAATCACCATGTTGACTGATGATTGGGAGTGACCTAATCACCATATTGATGCTGATGATTGGGAGTGTCCTAATCACCATGTTGACTAATGATTGGGAGTGGCCTAATCACCATGTTGACTGATGATTGGGAGTGGCCTAATCACCATGTTGACTGATGATTGGGAGTGGCCTAATCACCATATTGATGCTGATGATGGGGAGTGGCCTAATCACCATGTTGACTGATGATTGGGAGTGGCCTAATCACCATTTTGATGCTGATGATTGGGAGTGGCCTAATCACCATGTTTAATGATGGGTTGGTTGATGATGAAGAACAAGAAAACATTGTTGTGACCTAATCACCATATTGATATTGATGCTGATGATTGTGAGTGAACTAATCCCTGTGTTGACTCTGACTGGGAGTTGACTGAGGCTGTAACTTTGAAACCTTGTACAGAATGAGTGTGTGTCTCCTGTGTGTCTCCTGAGTGTGAGTGAGTGTGTGAGTGAGACATCGGCTGTGATACTGTTCTATTCCTCCTGTGTGTGGTCCTTCACAGGTATCTGGGAACACATGTCAAAACATAATAAATTATTAACTGTTGACAGCATTTTGTTGTTTATACCAGCCTTGACTGGTGTTAAGTAAGGATACAATATATCGATGAACAACTTCTTTGTGACAATGAAGATTGAGATTCTGGTGTAGATTCTAAGACCGTTATCAAGCAAGAGTAAGAACCTACACCGAAACGTTGCTCCTAATTGTAATAAAGAAGTTGTTCATCCATATACTGTATCTTATCCTTACCTTATCTTACCTTAGAAGTACTCCAACTTCTACATGCCTCTCAAAGAGTGAGTGAGTTGGGTTTAACTCCGCTTTTAACAATATTCCAGTTATATCGCGGTGTGTCGGCTAAATCTGGGAGGAAAGCCCGAAGTGATGCAGGTCTCGGACGTTTACCACTTTGGTGAAACCCACAAGCACGGGTATGGTGCTGACAAACCTAGAAACATAATTGAGGAGAACCAGGATTCGAACCTGTTGTGTATGTATTATGTTATTTGTCCGACCCGCACATTGGAGGAACATCAAATCTTCAATACATAACAAAACCGTAGTTGGCTCAATCACTGTTTAATGTAGAACTGGCACTGCCTCACACAGCTGCCTAGGTTACAACAACATAATGACGTCACACCTAAAGTGACGTCACTGCACGTGCGCATTGGCGCACTTACAATGTAAACATACCTAACATGCACAACATTTCTCCCCCTTAAAAGAAATTACTTTCTACTTCTCTAACCAATACATTTACAATATTCAGAACACAGTACTATGAGCTATTTTCTAAAGTTATAATTTAACAATGTTACAACTTTCAACCACAAATGATAAACTCATATATATATGATATCTGCTACACATTGCTGAATACTTTATTCAATGACTTAATTGTCAAAACTGTCAGTTTCTACATTGTGTTCTCACAGGGTTAGTCTATCGGGAGGTTTTCTCACTCTTTCTGAACGTCTCACGGTTTGTTTTGCTGGTACATTTGCAATTGTCACCTCACTGTCTTCACACTGGTGTTCATCACATTGCTGTGATGCACTAGGTATTACGATAGGGTCGCCTTTGTTGACCCTGATACTTTCTACAGTCCCTGCACTACAGTCACTTTGAACAATCATGTTCTCGTTACCATGGTTACTAGTTGCATCTCTACACCTTAATTGATCAATATGACGCTTGACAGTTCTATTGCCAATGTCAACATCAGAATGTCTTTCACCACATTTTGTCATCACCTTGCCAGCAGTCCATTTGTCTTCTTTGTTGTACTCACGCACCCACACCTTATCATTGTCATTTAGCTGTCTTGTGTTGCCAGGTTGACACAATGAAGAAGACTGTTTTGTAGCAACAACATCAGCATGATTAGGCTTGATTAAGTCAAGTCTACATCTTAGTTCTCTTCCAAGAAAAGGTTTTGCTGGAGTTTCTTGAGTTGTGCAATGGGGACTAGAACGATAGGCTAGCAGAAACCTATCAATCTTCTTCTGTAATGTTGCATCATCCCCTCTAGTTGATTTCATAGCTTGTTTGAAGGATTGAACAGCTCTCTCAGCAAGTCCGTTTGTAGCAGGATGATATGGAGCAGATAAGATGTGTTTTACACCATTACTTCTCTTGCAGTGGTAATCCATATTTTGCGAACAAACCTCTCATCACTTTCACTGTCGCATCAGCAGTAGTTGAATTCATAACAATCACCTCTAACCATTTGGAATGAGAATCTACAACAATGAGGTACATGTGACCCATGAAAGGACCAGCAAAGTCCAAATGAATGCGACACCATGGTTTTGATGGCCATGACCAATGATGAACAGGAGCTTTTGTTGGATCATTTTGAAGATTCTGGCATGTAATACACATTCTTGCAGTACTTTCAATATCAGCATCTACTCCAGGCCACCACACATAACTTCTAGCAACTGATTTCATTTTCACCATTCCAAAATGACTACCATGTAACTCATTTAGAACACCGTTTCTGAGTTTAGAAGGAATCACTACTCTCATTCCACATACAATGCATAGGTTTCTGTCGTGTGCAAGGGATGCAACTCTGCACAGCAAATCGTGGCGCCTTTGACGACTGGGCCACCCGTGCCCCAAAGGTGATGAAGCAAGACTGGTCAGCTACTATATCAGTGCAATAATCTTGCATGCAATGTTAAACCCCATTTCACCTCACCTCACCACATCACAAGAATAGGATAGCTCCAATCAAGTTTCAATCCAATCCAAGAATAAATGCATTCCTTTAGGTCCAGGGGTCCGTTCCACAAAGCGAACGTAACGCTACGACTGTCATAAGTCAATATTAAAGTATGGGAGTTACGATCACCTTAGAGCTAAGATCGCTTTGTGAAACGGATCATCAAATCTCGCCCACACACAGTTAAACAATCTTCAGAGTTACTTTAAAGACGACAAACCCAGATTCACTGTTATTTTCTTTATTCATTACCTGAAGCATGAATATGCAATATGCAGTCCTCAAACAAAAGGCGGTACAGGCCAGCAGTAGACAGTTCCCCCACATGGTGCTATGTAAAACAGTACACGTTAACATTGACGGACATTACAAACTTCCAAACATCTGCCGTTTCATTTTAATCAATATATTCAGAGCCCAGCTTCCATGATAATTTTACAGAAAACAATTCCACTGCATACTTGCCATACCGTATTTGACGTAATAAGGGCCCCGCTCTAGGAAGCACCAACGGCGATATTTGCTAATATATTGGCTAGTGAACAATCCCAATTAGCGCCCTTCCGATTGATCAATGTACACAAGACCTATTTATTCGTGTATACTACGCACTCGTGTGTTATATGCACCCTTAATTACGGGCAATTAAATTCTGGAAATATATATCTGTTGTACCGGTATATAAACAGTTCAGGCCGTCAGCATAAACCATGAAATTTACGATCTTTCACCATATGTATATTCTAATGAGAGTCCTGTTTCTAATTTTGAAAGCGCACTTGGCGCTTATTACGTCAAATACGGTATTACCATTTCAACTCTCTTGACCATGCCCCATGTGCATGGCAAGCTGCCTCCCAAAGTTTCTTCTTATCAACCATCTGACATGCTGAGCACCGAAGACTGATTCAACGCAAAGTTTAAGGCGACATTTTTTTATTTCTTGGTTAACGGACATGGCACTCATTCAAAGTCCAAATGTTGGAAAAAAAACCCATAAAAATTCCTCCTTTTTCTATTACCACCGATCTTTACTTTTAAAAATGCATAAAAAGTTCAAACAATAAAAAATGTCGAGTGTAAAGCAAAAGGAAGTCACTCTGATATTACTCGTTGGGATCCTTCTCTAAAACCATCAAAGCTGGTCAACGCAAAGCACAATGGTGACCAGTCTAATTGTTGCCAAAATGGCAGCATCTTTCATGCATTTCACCATGACATGAATATTATATTGTCATTTGTGCACAAGCTGTGTGTCAGGGATTTAATAAAATGTGTAGTAATAATAATAAAAATTGTCTTTTACTTTTGTTACTCCAGGATATATTTTTTTATACCTACCTAACTTTTTAGGACAAAAATCAAGTAAAAAAATCCGAGGGTTTTTTCTTCTCCTTTTTTTCTAATTTGCCTACCTCACTTTTGAAATGAGTTTGAAATCCATAAACCCGGAAATAAAAAAAATGCCGCCTAAAGATAATTCTAAGATATTCTCAAAGTGGGGAAATAAGATAGGGCTGATGAAAACATTTGATTTCATACAAACAATTTCATGAGCGTGCAGGGCAGAAAACACATTGAATAGTGTCAATCATTTCATGGTAACTAAACAAGATGCAATCGCACAAATATTTCATAAATGTTGGACATAATGTAAGTTCCACTGTATCACTGATTAACCAAAGCTGAATCAGAGTGACAATGTTGGCATGGCAACAGGATCACATGTATGAGAAATACACAAGGACTACTTACGGATCCACAGGAACTGCACACACAGTTTGATAAATCTCACTATATGTCATCCCTGTTGTCATGAGTACTGCCCCTTCTCCCAATTTTCAAAATCCTGACTTTGCAGCTTGACTCATGACAGGCAATCTCATTAAAATCAGATCTTAGTTCTTGCTACTGCTAAACAAAGATCTGAGGACTACCTATTACTTCCCATTCCCTTGTGTGAACTTTGCTGACTGACTGAGTATGGTTTTACGCCGCTTTTAGCAATATTCCAGCAATATCACGGCGGGGGACACCAGAAATGGGCTTCACACATTGTACCCATGTCAGGAATCGAACCCGGGTCTTCAGCGTGACGAGCGAACGCTTTAACCACTAGGCTACCCGACTGCCCCTATGGAACTTTGACCGACCTTGCACGAACTTTGACCGACCAATGGAATGGCTGACAAGAAGTCGACATAAGCCAATCAGAAGGCAGCTTTCTCGTACTTTACGGCACTAGTTTTAAATTGGCGACTACACTTCGAAACATATTTTGACAAATTCTCGATTAAAAATTTGAAAACTGATCAAAAGAGCATTCTGGAATGGGTAACAAAGATGGCCTAGATTGTATGGATTCAGCCGTTAAGCCCTTAACTATCGTTTGGAATACTCATTCTCAATTTTTCGAGGTTGCATGATGAGAAAACACATTCTGGATCTGGTAAGCGACGCTCTGATTGGTCGGATGAAAGGTAATTCTGATGTGACCCCTGATTGGATGACCTCAGATCTTTGATTAGCGGTAGTGACATCTAAGATCGGATTTGAATGAGACTGCATGACGGGTGACTGAAGAACCAGATTGTCATTATTTGAGTCGCCATAATTAATACTGTACCAGAGCATTTTAAAGCAAATTAACTACAATTTCATCGTCCACGATTCATTTCGCAGTACCGTTTTCCTGTGAGCAAGTTGAGCTCTGAACAATGCAAGAGATTCACCTATCCGCGGACCTATATGACTGAGATTTATCCTGGATGCCAACCACACGAGAGATACAAAGTTAACATCCTGCCTTTAAGTGTAGGACAAACAACTACACTGATATGCATGTACTTGCGAAAGACAGCGAGCGCTGGGATAAATGAGAATTGTGAATACTGACTAGTACTTAAATGCATTGTAATATTTTTGTTCATTTTTTTGAAAAAAGAACTACAAAACTTTTTGCCATATACTCTGTTCTCAACATTGACTCCATATCCCTGTGTGGCCAGGACATTGCCTCCGAAACCTTCTATCAACAAGAGCATCTTATCTGCATAATAATAATCATAATAATAATAATAATAATAAGCCTCCAATCAAACTACACCCATGATGATGGATGGGAGTTATTTGAAACCACTGTTCCTGTTCCTGGCTCAGCACAAAGAATGTTCTTGATCCCCCGATAATAAACAATATCAAATTGTAAACATGATTAACAAATAATGTACATATTTTAAGCTCTGTAAGCGACTATTCTAGGAAATTATTTACATAGCAGAAAATTGGAGTTAATGGAAAAATAAGTTAGAGTATAAAAACATTAACTGCGATCGCTAGCAAGAAGCTTTAATGAATAATAAACTTGTCTGTCTGATATCAGAGGACAATGCTTCAAAATAAAATTAAATGAGAAACTTGTCTGAAAGAAAAAAGCAATATATTTTGGGTGCTGTAAAGAACAAATATATTGAAGGATCTTTTATGATATAAAAGTACAGAATTCATTTCAAGAAAACGTGAAAAATATGAATTTTCGGAATCCATTTCAACAAAGGTTTTGATAATTGTCGGCTTGATTCCTAACTTGGAAATCTGAAAGTTTTGTCGCACAGCAAAAGGTGTATGCAAAAACTAGCATACATAAATGTACAATGTAAAGTTCTTAGCACGGTTGGATCTACCTATGACTGGCTTCAACTACATACTAAAATATATATACACATGTTCACTAAGCCCATCGACGCCACTAGACAAAATGTCAAACAGTAGTCACTAGAACTTGGGTCAGATTGGCACACACCATTTCAAGGTTCACTACGAAGGAAAACCTAAACTATAGGTACGTCAGACATGAAAATGGATCATTTCCAAAGCTACAGATCAGATCTGTCCACGATGGCCAGAAACCTCCAATAAATGACAAACACAGCGTACATAGTTTTACTTATATCAAGCAGATCTTCAATTCTGTTTCAAATAAGGTTATCAAGTCTGTATTATCAACATTCAATGTCCTCATTCTAACGAGAGAGAATATTTCCCCATTTTTAACTGACACTATGGAATTTCAGTTACAGAACGTAAATGCGCCGTCATCATATTCTTATTAAATTTCTATGGCTATGTGAGCATTTGATTGTAACAGAGTCCAGGTAACGATCGGTACTGCATGACTGTATTCAGGCTAAACATAGGTTGGAATTTGTTCAATGACACTGCAGGCACAAATTATCGAATAACATAAACATATGCCTAAAAATGTTAACCATTTAAATGTTAATCACAGGGGTAGATTTAACTGCTGGCTTGTTGGCCTGCGGCCAATTTAAATTATGAAAGGCTTGCTGAAACATAAAGTGGATGACCCGTCTGGCAAGTCAAAATTTCACCCCATCTCTGTGTCCGTTTAATTTTTATTAATTGGACACTACTTGTGAATTGTGTATTTTTATGAGAAAATATTAGACTGACACAACCGACGGACATTTTGTAATGTTCTGTACAACAATATCGTCTTTATTTGCTTATAAAATTGGAAAATGAAGGAAAATGGAAGCCAAGATTTAATCTCAGAGTGCAGGAAATGACATTTTAGATGTGAGGGGCTCTATAATTTACTCAGTAAATTGAATTCCGTCGTGGTCTCAAACATTTAATTCTGGGCCAGTTAGTTTGGAGAATGCCAGTAACTTTTAAAAGGAGCAAGCCCTGCTGGCTACATGGACATTTTTTTTGTTAAATCTACTACTGCAATCACATTTTGTACAAATCTAGAACAGATTATTATTATTAGAGGGATGTATGAAGACACAGCAACCTGTTCTTTCCAAGTGTGTCAGAACCTAACAGCACCAGATCGATACCTTCACAGGGAGACTTGCCACAATGGAAGCCAACCTTCAGACATAATCCATTTCTATGTATGTAACTTCAGCATTGCACAGGATTCACAACCTTGGACAGAAATAATCTAGGAAATCACAACCTCACAACACAGGTCCCCATCCACAATAGTGCTCGACTAACATACATAGCAGGGTACTAGCTATTCAGCAGATTGCATTAGATCTGGAAAATGTAACACACCCAATGATGTATTGACCTAATGATCAATGCTGTGTCATTACTAAGCTAGTGTATTACATACAGCTAGCGTGTAGAGTGCTCGCTGATCTCACACTGGTGTTTGTTCTCAATGGTCAACAAGAACCTTTCGTTTCACAGCAAACCAAACATATATTAGAAGGGGTTTATTTGTTCACACAATGACTGCAGATGTGCCATCGTCAGTACTTCGCGGTTTGTACCCACTACGTAACCCAATCACATGATAATACAAGAGGCCATTTGGTCGTCGGTATGTTTAGCCAGTGAATCTGGCCACTGCTGGTTCCAGTGAGAAGGAACCAGCAGTGTTCTGACCAATGAGTGTTCAGATTATATTGGCAACATTTGATGGCAATAGTTCATGGCAAGATAATAATAATAGACTTTTTATATTGTGCATATTTCACTCCACTGAGGGGCATGTTCAAAGCGCTATTATTACCCCGGTCACTGGATCAATGTGCATTGAAGTATCATTCTCAGCTCCCTGGGGAGTATACAACCCAAGCTGCCTGTTAGGCGTTAGAAGGTTAACAGCCACATTGCCATCTCATCCTACCGGGTACCCACTCACTTGCCCAAGGAGACGCCACGTGTTACACATGCTTCAGTGTGGGGCAGGATCAAGGGCCCCAGAAACTCTCAGGAGCCAAAATGCCGAAACGTGACCGATGTTGCTTAACTTCACCTGCTTGGTGACCTGTGCCCCTGTGCACAGGATCACAGGCCAAGGCCTTGCAGATTCTACTGTATCAGGCAATGGTAGGGTTCGGACAAAGTTCTGCATGAAGACAAGCTCATTTGACTTCAGTGGCTTCATTTCATCACCAGACTTAAAACAGACACACATCTTAAATGCACTGTACAGTGGCCTTATTCAGGTGATGGGAGAAAGCAGTGTATAGAAACCTGTGAGGTACCGACGATGCAGTTGTACTAATGAAAGACGAAAATGTGACAGTAATGGCATGAAGAATGATACAGGTCTCGTCTCCAATCACTCATCACAGAATACATGAAATAACACAGACAACCTCGCCAGGAAGCCCATTGTGCGGACTGGCACACAGAACGGCACAAAATGATCTTACAAAAAATAACTTGAACCCTTGCAGCTAAATGTTTTAGTAAATCATAAGATTGTAAAACCTCATAGAAAAAATAATCTCATAGAATAATTTCTTAATTTCTGATATACTGAATGAAATTGGTTTCTTCCAAGTAATATACTTCGCAATAAATATTCATCTTCCCGAGGCAAGGGAGTTTACTGACTATAAAAATCCAGTTCCACCCTTGCCAAAATTGGCTGGAATTCCTGGGCTCGATAGTCGCACCACCTGTGGCTATTATGAGTTATGTCCCTTCCATGCCTCTCCTATGGACCAATCAGATTCCACCTCTCATATCACTTGCATTTGGTTCAAACAAAATGACGACGCCCAATCTAGACGATCTGATCGATAATCAAGATCTATATTGTGATAAAACATCTTACATCCCTAAGTGCATCACATCATGCGAGCACCCTGATTAAAAACATATAAAGATTTAGAAAATATCTGTTGACAACAAGTTGGTGGTGCACATGCTTTGCAAATCCTGCAATTGACCAGAATCTGCATGACAATTTATGAACCAAATTTCGATTTTCGTTGCCAATTTTGATTGGACTATGCATAGACTCATTAGTCCAGCCAAAATGTAACTCCATAATACCAGCCTAGTTCGGCAAGGGTGGAAACTGGACTTTTAAAGTCAGTTAACTCTCTTGCCTCGGAAGATGTAAATGCTTGTCTGTGTCCCTACTGCATAAATCAATAGTATTGTGTGCGGGAACATATGTATCTGATGCATCTATACATACCCTTTCGCAATGGAAAATACGGTAATAGCTTTCTGCATACAAGGATATTATGAACTTAATTCAGTGACTCACCTGGTGCTGGTGAAGTGAATTACTCAGACACACCCTCATGCGCCCTCTACTGGTGGATGCGGACAGCTTCATATATACCGTAAATAGTGAGATAAATACACTCTGCTGATCTAGTGTTACGTTTTGATTACCAATATTTGAAAAACTGGCTATGATACCATGAGTTGTGTGTATGTACATATGACAATAATGGATACGTATGAGTTGATGGATGTATGAACAGGTTGTTAGATGATGTATTGATGACAATTCCATTGCATAGGGATGCCAACATTGAATCTATCCACCATCGCCTATAGCCCCGGATTCCATCAGTAGGAACTTATGACCGGACCCCTTCACTAGAACCGTGTCCCAGGACCCCATCAGTAGGACCTTAAGACTGGATCCAATCAGTAGGACCTTAAGCCTGGATCCAGTCAGTAAGGACTGTGTCCCAGGACCCTTTCAGTAGGACCTTAAGACTGGATCCAATCAGTAGGACCTTAACCCTGGATCCAATCAGTAGGACCGTGTCCCAGGACCCCTTCAGTAGGACTGTGTCCCAGGACCCCATCAGTAGGACCGTGTCCCAGGTCCCCATCAGTAGGACCTTAAGCCTGAATCCAGTCAGTAGGACTGTGTCCCAGGACCCCATCAGTAGGACCGTGTCCCAGGACCCCATCAGTAGGACCTGAAGCCTGGATCCAATCAGTAGGACTGTGTACCAGGACCCCATCAGTAGGACCGTGTCCCAGGACCCCATCAGTAGGACCTGAAGCCTGGATCCATCAGTAGGACTGTATCCCAGGACCCCATCAGTAGGACCGTGTCCCAGGACCCCATCAGTAGGACCTGAAGCCTGGATCCAATCAGTAGGACTGTGTCCCAGGACCCCATCAGTAGGACCGTGTCCCAGGACCCCATCAGTAGGACTGTATCCCAGGACCCCATCAGTAGGACCATGTCCCAGAACCCCATCAGTAGGTCCGTGTCCCAGAACCCCATCAGTAGGACCTCATGCCTGGACCCATCCAGTAGGACCTTATCCCAGGACCCCATCAGTAGGACCTTAAGCCTGGCTCTAATCAGTAGGACTGTATCCCAGAATAACAGGATCTAGACTCCCAGGATCCACTCTAACAGGGTCCACAGTCACAGGGTTGCAGACTAGAAGGGTTCCACTGTATGTCAGACCATGTATTGTATCGCAACCTCAGTATGATCATACAAAATGTGTTATATAGCCCCAGCTGACGGCAGCCCCAGACACACATGTAATACTTCGACCAGTTAATAAATTGTATGACACATTATGAGCAGTGAATGCATAATCTGGGAAACATACTACCTGTTGTCTCTGAACACACTATTCTTCAAACATCTGCAAATTAACTTTGGACAAATAAACAAATTTGACATGAGTAAATTACGTAACAACCTTTCAGAAGATGCAAATGAATTCAACAATCGTTAAAAGTCAACATAATTAAAAATATCTTAACTCTCTTAGTTGATATCGGAAAACGCAATCCATAAACAACTTGTTAAAATATCCTAGTGGTGTACAACATATATAGAAATCTGAGCAAAAGTAATATATCCATTACATAACACTGACTAAAGCTTTCATGGTTTGTAAAATTGAAAATGACAATTTGTGATACTAAAACATCACAAGCATTTGCTTTGAGCTATGGAATGCTGGGATGGTGGTCTTTGTAACCGTGGAATGTTGCTATGGTTGATCAACGGTTGCTATGGCTACTCTTGGCTGTCAAGATATTCCATGATGAGCTGGTAGCAGAACTGGTATTGTTCCTGTGAAAGAAGCAATGAAACTCAGCAACATGCTGTTTGTATAAGCAACAATGTAACTATAATAAAAAAATGTCTCTTCCTGTTGCATTTGTTTTTTTGTTTTGTTTGTTGTTTAACGCCGCACTCAGCAAAATTCCAGCTATATGACAGCAGTCTGTAAAAAATCGCGTCTGGACCAGACAATCCAGTGATTGACATCATGGGCATCGATCCAGGCTATTGGGATACGATGACATGCATCAACCAAGTCAGCCAGCCTGACCACCCGATTTCGTTAGTCGCCTTTTACGGCAAGCATGGGTTTCTGAAGACCATTCCACCCCCGATCTTCACGGGTCCACTAGCACTGTGGCTTGTAAATACGTTTTGACTAGCCACCTCACTGTGTGGCTGAAAGCATGAGAAACAAGCCCACCAATGCTGTAGGATGTCACATTAATAGCCCGGAGTCAGGCCTGGCTACCTGATCCAATTTAGTTTCCAATAATGACCAACAAAGGGGTGTTCGGGACCCATTTCTGTCCTGTGACATGAATGGTTGGTTTCACAGCACATATGACAATGGTATGGCAATAGTATGGCAATATTATGGCAAAAGTACAGCACTATCACACCCAGGGACACTAAGAATGTGATTCGCACACTGTACCTAAAGTGGGGAATTGAAACCATGTTCTAAATGTGAAAGGTAAGCACTTCAACCACCAGGCTTCCTCAACAACTCTGTCTTGTCAAAATATCCAACCATTTTCTTTTCACTATTTATTAATGTTATCCCATGATTATGAGAGGGAGGTTTCGGTAATATTACAACAACATGATGGGTGCCTCAAGACTCCACCAATGTGGATCTTTTGTGTTGATGGTCGACATATCGACCAATCATAATCAGAACGACATGGTTCTAAATGCTGTTGCCTCCTCGCAGTGACGGAGACAAAGCAGTCTCTGTCTGCAATGCCGACTTACATAGTTCTCAATGAACTGTGGTCTGTTGATGCGGATCTGTTTGACGGTCTGGTAGACGTCCAACTCCTGGTCTAGACTCAGTCTCTCCAGCACCAGACTTATGGCAGCAAACATCCCGCTCTTGCTGGCACCATTCCTGGACAATCAAAAACAAATTGTTTGCTTGTATCTTATGCAATATTCTCGCCCTATCAGGGAGTCCTGTTATAGGGCTGAGACAGTTTACACAGGTACTAGGGTCGGGTGGGTACTGAGTAGAACCAAGGTACCCACAGGGCTATCTGGACCCGTGGTTAGTCATGTGATATATTGTTTAATGATAAAAATTATCTAAAACTCTGTGGTAACACTACAAGTCACTAATGTTCACATTTCTTTCTGACTATGCTGGGGCATGGGTGACCCAGTCGTCTGAGGCGCCGCGATTCGCTGTGTAGAGTTGCATCCCTGGGGCACGCCAGAAACCTATGATTCTGGGTTTGAATCTTGGTTCGCCCAGATTATCTTTCTACCATGCCCGTGCCCGTGCCCGTGCCCGTGCCCGTGCCCGTGCCCGTGTGTTTCACCGAAGTGCATCACTTTGGGCTTTCTTCCCACATTAAGTTCAGTCAACTTCAGTGTATGCATGACCAGATCGTTTAATGCATATACTGCATACATTTTGCCAGGGCTCCGATAAAACTATTCCCAACCAGACATTTTGTACCTATCTCTTGAGACCTCTAGCAGGGTACCCGGGTGGGGTAGGGTAATAGCAGGGTGGTACCCGGGTGGGGTCGGGGAATAGCGGGGTGGTACCCCGGTCGGGTCGGGTAATAGCGGGATGGTACCCCGGTGGGGTCGGGTAATAGCGGGTTGGTACCCGGGTGGGGTCTGGTAATAGCAGGGTGGTACCCGGGTGGGGTCGGGTAATAGTGGGGTTGTACCCCGGTCGGGTCGGGTAATAGCGGGGTGGTACCCCGGTGGGGTCGGGTAATAGCGGGGAGGCAGGCAGGGCCAAGTTGTCAATTTGGTAATATATCCAGGGCCCACTTGGACAAAGTGTTCAAAGCACTAAGATGATCGTAACACCCATACTTTAACATAGGCTTACGATAGTCTTAGCGCTAAGATAGCTTTGTGCAAGTGGGCCCTGAACACTAACATCAAACCAACAATCCTCTCAAATCATCGAAAACCATATAGTGGGCCAAAATCTTATCATCTAATAGACGTTTGCACAACAAATAACTAGTGAAAGGAGAACACCAATGATCTACATGAGTGAGTGAGTGTTTGGTTTGACACCACTTTGTAAAGATTTCTGTAAGATGATGGCGAGTCACTTTGACGTGGGAGGTCTAAGATGTTTACCACTTTGCTGAAACCCATGAGGACTGGCATGGTTCTGACCAGGAAACATTACCATGGTGAACTGTGATTTGGAGCCATGATCATGGGTTTGCGCAGTGACAGGTGCTTACTCACATGCAGTGTATTGTGACTGGGCCCTTGCCGTTCTGCTTGAGCCAGTCTGTGGTGAGTTTGTGCAGCCTGAGTAGAGCTGTCCGTGAGTTGGGCACTGTCTGGTAGTCCGGCCATGATTTGAACATGAACTGTTTCACTGCTCTCTCCTCACCCTGCAGCAGAACATGACGGTGAAACAATACAGCATGATGGTCAGAGAACAGTATGATGGTCAGAGAACAGCATGATGGTCAGGGAACAGTATGATGGTCAGGGAACAGTATGGTGGTCAGGGAACAGTATGATGGTCAGAGAACAGTATGGTGGTCAGGGAACAGTATGATGGTCAGAGAACAGTATGATGGTCAGAGAACAGCATGATGGTCAGGGAACAGTATGATGGTCAGAGAACAGCATGATGGTCAGAGAACAGTATGATGGTCAGGGAACAGTATGGTGGTCAGGGAACAGTATGATGGTCAGAGAACAGTATGGTGGTCAGGGAACAGTATGATGGTCAGAGAACAGTATGATGGTCAGAGAACAGTATGATTCAGAACATGAATGGTGACACAACATGAATTGTGACAGAACATGAATGGTGACACAACATGAATGGTGACAGAACATGAACTGTGACAGAACATGAACTGTGACAGAACATGAAAGGTGACACAACATGAATGGTGACACAACATGAACTGTGACAGAACATGAATGGTGACACAACATGAACTGTGACAGAACATGAACTGTGACAGAACATGAATGGTGACAGAACATGAATGGTGACAGAGCATGAATGGTGACACAACATAAATGGTGACAGAACATGAAAGGTGACACAACATGAACTGTGACAGAACATGAATGGTGACACAACATGAACTGTGACAGAGCATGAACTGTGACACAACATGAACTGTGACAGAACATGAATGGTGACACAACATGAATAGTGACACAACATGAAAGGTGACACAACATGAATGGTGACACAACATGAAAGGTGACACAACATGAATGGTGACACAACATGAACTGTGACAGAACATGAATGGTGACAGAACATGAATGGTGACACAACATGAACAGTGACAGAACATGAACTGTGACAGAACATGAAAGGTGACACAACATGAATGGTGACACAACATGAATGGTGACACAACATGAAGGGTGACACAGCATGAATGGTGACACAACATGAATGGTGACACAACATGAACAGTGACAGAACATGAACTGTGACACAACATGAAAGGTGACACAACATGAATGGTGACACAACATGAATGGTGACACAACATGAAGGGTGACACAACATGAATGGTGACACAACATGAATGGTGACACAACATGAATTGTGACAGAACATGAATGGTGACAGAACATGAATGGTGACAGAACATGAATGGTGACACAACATGAAGGGTGACACAACATGAATGGTGACAGAACATGAAAGGTGACACAACATGAACTGTGACAGAATGACATAGTAACAGAATAGCTATACAACTAATGACACAATACATTATTGTGATGTATCAGGAAAATTAAGCAGAGAGGACAAAATAACTGATTATGCACATAACAGATGCTACCTTGACAAGATGGCTGAGTTTAAAGATGCGGATGGTGACGTCAGGGTCAGCTTCAGATGACGACAGCAGCTCCACATTGAGAGGGCCGTACTCTTCTGTGTAGCCATACTCCTCCGGCCAGTACAAGGCACACGACTGGTAAACAAAAACAGATAATCGAAACATGTTAATGTAATAGCTCAGAACATCTCACCGTTATGCCAAACCCTAAGTAGTGATGGGAAGGGTGGGCTAGAGGTCTGTAAAGACACATACTTGTTGTTATAGAATAGAGGTGAGGTGAAATGTGGTTTAACAGAACAGCATGATTAGATTATTGCACTTATAGCAAGGTGTGTGTGTGTGTGTGTGTGTGTGTCTGTGTGTGTGTGTCTGTGTGCTATGTCATGGCCTTAACATGAACGGTGAGGTGAGGTGAAATGGGGTTTAACGTCGCGTCCAAGATTATTGCACTTATATAGCGACGTGCATGTATGTGTGTGTGTTTGTGTGGCTGCTTGTACTAGTCCGGACTGATGCCGATTTATAGTGCTAGCTCACTGAGATACCATGCCGCAGTTTAACATGAATACCCCACTCAGACACAGTATACTGACTCCGAGCCGACCAGTCCTTGTTTTAGCCCCTTAATGCAGAGCGCCAAACAGGGTAACAACAAGTACCATCTTTTAACGTCTTTTGGTATGACGCGGCCGGGGATCGAACCCCGGACCTTCCGCTCTCCGGGCGGACGCTCTACCACAAGACCACGGAGGCGGTCCCTTAACATTAACACCAAGGTTGGACACAGTATACTGACTTCGAGCTGACCAGTCCTTGTTTTATCCCCTTAATGCCGAGCACCAGGCAGGGTAACAACAAGTACAATCTTTTAACGTCTTTTTGGTATGAGGCTGCCGAGGATTGAACCACCTTCCACTACACTAGACCATGGAGGTGGCCCTACTTGAAGTGAGCAAGTGAGAAAAGTGAGGATGTTATGCCACTTGGAACACTGTTTCAGTTCTATCTATCACAGCATGTCAAGTCAATGTGGGAGGAAAGCCAAAAGTGATGCGGGTCTTAGACACAGCCAAGAGTATGGTGCTGGCACCAAGAATCCATGTCAGGGTGAATGTGGGATCTGTCACTCTAAAGGGACGTAACTCGGCACAGCTACTTGTGGCGTATTAGACAACTTTGTTTGTTTGTTGTTTAACCCAGGACTCGGCAATATTTGGCGGTCTGTAAATAATCAAGTCTGGACCAGACAATCCAGTGATTGACATCATCAACATCGATCCTGGCAATGGGATACATCATGCATCAACCAAGTCAGCGAGTCTGACCACCTGATCCCGTTAGTCACCTCTTATGACACGCATAGTCACCTTTTATTGCAAGCATGGGTTGCTGAAGACCTATTCTACCCCAGTTCTTCACAGGTCTATTACACAACTAGGCCACCTGTACTCCTACCTTGTAGAGGTGATCGGGTAGTCTAGTGGTTAAAGCAATCACTTGTCAGACCGAAAACCCGGGTTCGATTCCCGACAAGGGTACAATGTGGTAAGCCCATTTCTGGTGTCCCCCGCCGTGATAATGCTGGAATATTGCTGAAAGCGGCGTGAATTCAAACTGTCCCACACACTCCGACCTTGTATAAGGATTACGTAAGCCTAGACTACCTACCTTGTCGTTCCTATCAAACTCATTGAGCATGATGATGGTATCGGAGGTATAGTCGTACAACATGCGCCAGAAGTCGGCTACAGTGTTGGGAAGCGGCATCTGAGTGACAATGAACCGGTCCTTCTGCGTACACCCCTACAACACACCACGGACATTAAACTAGGGCTCTCAAGGCATCAAATTCAAAGCTTCATCAACATTAAAGTACATTCTTCCTAGTTAACATGTTCCGTTCAACATAAACCTTGACAAGAGTAAAATGGACACAGTGTTTAGGAAACAAAGATGATTAAACTACTGATACTGTAAACACTTGATTCACAGGCATTGTCTTTTGAAAACTGTTGCAGGCAAAATGTACAGATTTAAATTTAAAACCAATGGATGATAGCAGCCTGTATTCCTGAAGGAGGTGAGGTGAAATGGGGTTTAACATCGCGTCCAAGATTATTGCACTTATATAGCGACGTGCATGTATGTGTGTGTGTTTGTGTGGCTGCTTGTACTCGTCCGGACTGATGCCAATTTATAGTGCTAGCTCACTGAGATACCATGCCGCAGTTTAACATGAATACCCCACTCAGACACAGTATACTGACTCCGAGCCGACCAGTTCTTGTTTTAGCCCCTTAATGCCGAGCGCCAAACAGGGTAACAACAAGTACCATCTTTTAAAGTCTTTTGGTATGACGCGGCCGGGGATCGAACCCCGGACCTTCCGTATTTCTGAAGGAATAGTACTCATCCTAATCTATGCCATCTAATCAAACTAAAGCAATTACTTTCTCCAGGTACCAAAGTATTCTTTTCTGAGTTCATAGATCCTATTCCACATTTGGTCCAAAATGTCTGGCATTGATCATTTTGTTTGTTTGTTGTTTAACGCCGCACTAAGCAATATTCCAGCTATGTGATGGCGGTCTATAAATAATTGAGTCTGGACCAGACAATCCAGTGACTGACATCATGAGCATCGATCCATGCAATTGGGATAGATGACATGCATCAACAAAGTCAGCTGGCATATCATAAATACTAAGACATTATCCAAAATTGGAAATTAAAATATTGCCAGAACCAACTCATCAAGTCAAAGATTGAGGATCATTTGTCCTCTGTTCCAAGAAGTTGACTATGTGATCACAAGATTTTCAAGTTTCAAGTTTCAAAGATGTGGAAGGATTGAAGGAATGACGATTACAAAGCTGAACTGTCTTTGACAAGTTAAGATGGTAGCATGTGGAATGTTTTGGCTGAATAGGCAATGAACACACAATGCCATTATAAAGTGGTCAAATGTAACAAATGTCATATTTGGGATAACACTTTCTAAGTAAAGTACAGATTCTCGTACTTTTTGGGGGTGAGTCCCGTCCAGGATTCGAACCCACACTGCTAAAGTGAGGCACCTAATCGCCAGCACACAAAGTCAGCGATCCAACCCACTCAGAGATTGAGGCTTCCACAAAATGAAAGTCCGACAACTGGTAGTTTAGATCACATACTTTGCAAACCACACTGACGAGTGTAAATTGGCATGGTTCCCATGGCCGAAAGTAATGAACACACAATGCCATTCAGCCCAAAAAAGTATGAGAATCTGTACATCACTAAGAAAGTGTTATCCCAAGTATAACATTTGTTACGTTAATTGGCAATGACTGAGAATCAAGAAAATATTTGCTCGTTTTGAAAATTCAGACAAGTAACAATTTACAGAGTCGATATAAGAACAGGAAGGTAGAATTTCACATTTGACATGACCTTTCAAAAAGTATTTTTGGTTTGGTTTGTTGTTTTACGCCGCACTCAGCAATATTCCAGCTATATGACGGCGGTCTGTAAATAATCTAATAGGACAATCCAGTGATTGACATCATAAGCATCGATCCACGCAATTTGGATCGATGACATGCTTTAACCAAGTCAGCGAGCCTGACCACCCGATCCAGTTAGTCGCCTCTTACGACAAGCATAGTCACGAAGGATGGGTTGCTGAAGACCTATTCTACCCCGGATCTTCACGGGCCCTTTCAAAAAGTAATTAACAACAGATAAACAGTCACTTAAATAACTATGGACACAGGATATAAATGGTCCTCAATGACATCAGATAGTGAAACAATGGCTTTAGAAGAGTGCTGTTAACTGGCAAAGTGACATTCAACAGAATGTTAGTAATGTTGAGATGATTGCAAACTGTATTATTCAGCAGCACGTTGCATGAGATTAGACATTCTGCAGAATAGTGGAAAGTGCTAGGTGTCAGCTGTTCAGTGAGTCAATGAGTATCACTGTGAAGTAAAGCTTAGATTCAAAGCAGCTATAGGATATCTTCAGTGATTCAATGATGGAACACCAGCTTACAGCTGTCGCAGTTCAACGTTTGTTTGTTTGTTTGTTGTTAAACACCGCACTCAGCAATATACCAGCTATATGACGGCGGTCTGTAAAATAATCGAGTCTAGGCCAGACAATCCAGTGATTGACATCATGAGCATCGATCCACCCAATTGGGATTGATGACATGTATCAACCAAGTCAGCAAGCCTGACCACCCGATCCCGTTAGTCGCCTTTTACGACAAGCATAGTCGCCTTTTACGGCAAATATGGGTAGCTGAAGACCTATTCTACCCCGGAATCTTCACGGGTCTGCAGTTCAACGATGTAACACCATCTAATTGGTTGTCGCAGTTCAATGATGTAACACCATCTAACTGGTGTAGCAGTTCAATGATGTAACACCAGCTAACTGGTGTCGCAGTTCAGTGATGTAACACTAGCTAACTGGTGTCGCAGTTCGTGTGTTGAAGACAATGTTCATCGCAGTAATGTTAAGAACGGTGGCCTGCGATGCTGATGAGAATGTTAACCTGCAGTAATGGTGAGAATGGTGGCCTGCGATGTTGATGAGAATGTTAACCTGCAGTAATGTTAAGAACGGTGGCCTGCGATGTTGATGAGAATGTTATCCTGCAGTAATGGTGAGAATGTTAACCTGCAGTAAAGTTGAGAACAGTGGCCTGCGATGGTGATGAGAATGTTATCCTGGAGTAATGGTGAGAATGTTAACCTGCAGTAATGTTGAGAATGGTGGCCTGCGATGTTGATGAGAATGTTATCCTGCAGTAATGGTGAGAATGTTAACCTGCAGTAAAGTTGAGAACAGTGGCCTGCGATGGTGATGAGAATGTTATCCTGGAGTAATGGTGAGAAAGTTAACCTGCAGTAATGTTGAGAACGGTGGCCTGCGATGGTGATGAGAATGTTAACCTGCAGTAATGTTGAGAACAGTGGCCTGCGATGTTGATGAGAATGTTAACCTGCAGTAATGTTGAGAACGGTGGCCTGCGATGTTGATGAGAATGTTTACCTGCAGTAATGGTGAGAATGGTGGCCTAAGATGGTGATGAGAATGTTATCCTGCAGAAATGTTGAGACCGGTGGCCTGCGATGGTGATGAGAATGTTTACCTGCAGTAATGTTGAGAACGGTGGCCTGCGATGTTGATGAGAATGTTTACCTGCAGTAATGGTGAGAATGGTGGCCTGCGATGGTGATGAGAATGTTATCCTGCAGTAATGTTGAGAACGGTGGCCTGCGATGTTGATGAGAATGTTTACCTGCAGTAATGGTGAGAATGGTGGCCTGCGATGGTGATGAGAATGTTATCCTGGAGTAATGGTAAGAATGTTAACCTGCAGTGATGTTGAGAATGGTAGCCTGCGATGGTGATGAGAATGTTAACCTGCAGTAATGTTGAGACCGGTGGCCTGCGATGGTGATGAGAATGTTATCCTGGAGTAATGGTAAGAATGTTAACCTGCAGTAATGTTGAGAAAGGTAGCCTGCGATGGTGATGAGAATGTTAACCTGCAGTAATGTTGAGAACGGTGGCCTGTGATGGTGATGAGAATGTTAACTTGCAATTATTGTGAGAATGTTAACCTGCAGTAATATTGAGAACGGTGGCCTGTGATGGTAATGAGAATGTTTACCTGCAGTAATGGTGAGAACGGTGGCCTTTGATGGTGATGAGAATGTTACCCTGCAGTAATGTTGAGACCCGTGGCCTGTGATGGTAATGAAAATGTTATCCTGGAGTAATGTTGAGAACGGTGGCCTGCGATGTTGATGAGAATGTTAACCTGCAGCAATGTTGAGAATGGTGGCCTGCAATGGTGATGAGAATGTTAACCTGCAGTAATGGTGAGAACGGTGGCCTTTGATGGTGATGAGAATGTTACCCTGCAGTAATGTTGAGACCGGTGGCCTGTGATGGTAATGAAAATGTTATCCTGGAGTAATGTTGAGAACGGTGGCCTGCGATGTTGATGAGAATGTAAACCTGCAGCAATGTTGAGAATGGTGGCCTGCGATGGTGATGAGAATGTTAACCTGCAGTAATGGTGAGAACGGTGGCCTGCGATGTTGATGAGTATGTTAACCTGCAGTTATGTTGAGAATGTTAACCTGCAGTAATGTTGAGAACAGTGGCCTGCGATGTTGATGAGAATGTCAACCTGCACTGATGATGAGAACGGTGGCCTGCGATGGTGATGAGAATGTTAACCTGCAGTAATGTTGAGAACGGTGGCCTGCGATGTTATCCTGGAGTAATGTTAACCTGCAGTAATGTTGAGAATGTCAACCTGCAGTAATGTTGAGAACGGTGGCCTGCGATGTTGATGAGAATGTTAACCTGCAGTAATGTTGAGAACAGTGGCCTGCGATGTTGATGAGAATGTTAACCTGCTGTAATGGTGAGAACGGTGGCCTGCGATGTTGATGAGAATGTTAACCTGGAGTAATGATGAGAACGGTGGCCTGCGATGGTGATGAGAATGTTAACCTGCAGTAATGTTGAGAACAGTGGCCTGCGATGTTGATGAGAATGTTAACCTGCAGTAATGTTGAGAATGTCAACCTGCAGTAATGTTGTGAACAGTGGCCTGCGATGTTGATGAGAATGTTAACCTGGAGTAATGGTGAGAACGGTGGCCTGCGATGTTGATGAGAATGTTAACCTGCAGTAATGTTGAGAACGGTGGCCTGCGATGTTGATGAGAATGTTAACCTGCACTGATGATGAGGACGGTGGCCTGCGATGTTGATGAGAATGTTAACCTGCACTGATGATGAGAACGGTGGCCTGCGATGTTGATGAGAATGTTAACCTGCACTGATGATGAGAACGGTGGCCTGCGATGTTGATGAGAATGTTAACCTGCAGTAATGATGAGAAAGTTACTATGTGCTTCTTACTCACACACAGAACTGACACGAGCCACTAACTGCCCCACGATGCAGCAAGACGAGTGGGCGGGGCGGGGGTACTTACAGGGAGGAACACAGCATTGATGTAGTCAGTACAGTTGTCAACAGGCGTGTACAGGAAAGGGCGACACCGATTGGCTAAAAAAAGAGGCACTCAGGGTGAAGGGCAAGCAAGTCACACCATTCCAAAGTGGTAAGTATTAAACGGGGGAGGTGAAAATATTAATAGGAATTTTAGTAAATCACAATTCCATTCAATAAGTTCAATTCAAGCGACAGTAGGGGTGTCATCGTATATCGTGATATTGATGTATTAGAAAATGTTTAATGTTGATACTGTACAAATTTCTGAATATTGACACATAAGTAATAATTCAGTGCCACAGAAATTATTATATTTATTAAGATTACTACTGTTTAGACAGACATTGAATGAGTGAGTGAGTGAGTGAGTATGGTTTTACGCCGCATTTAGCAATATTCCAGCAATATCACGGCAGGGGACACCGGAAAATGGGCTTCACACATTGTACCCATTGAGCCCGGGTCTTCGGCATTCAAAGCCAATACTTTAACCACTAGGCTACCCCATTGCCCCTAGACAGACATTGAAACATTGCAGGTCCATGTAGGTAACTTTTATCAATGCACAGCCAGAATAATTACTCTTATTATTAATCAATATATACTTCTGAGATGTATCGACACTAAAATTTCAAATCAATGACACCCCTAAGCGACAGAAGCCTTTCTTCAGGAATGACAGCACACTAGTCTTGATTCTCTTTAAATATTTCTTATCGAAAATTATCTTGGTTGACATTAAAAATATTCATTCCAATCAATTACATGTCAATTATTTCCTTATTTTTCATTTAACTTTACAGCTATCGAAGAAACTCATTAACAAAAACGTCATTAAATATGAGAGTAAATGATTATAACTTTTATGAATCCTGTTTGCTGAACGACTGTGAAAGCCACACAGCTGGATATGCTGAAGCACAATGCTGTGGCAGACAAGAGACTGTGACTCAAGCATCAAGCCATCACTTGTGCCAATACAAGCATGGCCTCATTCATTCACAACTTACATTGAGAAAAACAGACGGAGCATGGCGAATGACTGAGAAAGTGAAGAATTCAAGGTCAAGAGGTTTAATGACATGCTCAGATTAAAGAACACCCTGAAAACAAACTGTCAAGTTTCAAGTTTTCAAATTGACATTATTCTTGAAGGATAATTGTTTGAATCAATACCTCCAAAATACATGCAACTATTTCATCAAAATCCCCCATGCAAACTGAAAATCAAGATGAGCTTCTTACAATAGCTGTTCAAATGTCATGCGGTGGGACTGAAGTGATATTTTCACCTGAAGCTAATCTGAAGTTGTTGATAAAGACTGACAATCTGTAAATAACTGAAGAATACCTATAACACTACTCGGAACATATTGTAGTACGTTAGTGAGTGGAGCTATTGCCACTTTGAACACTATCTCTGTCACGGCACGGCACGGCACGGCACGGCACGGCACGGCACGGCACCCAGAGTGGCCTAAAGCGCGAGGAAAGCCTCGCATGACACATTTTGAATACAGTGATCACTTCACAGACCACCATCTTCATGGGTGTGCTGCTCACTGTTTGAGGATCAAACCTGGGGCAAATCTGCCAAAGAGACACCTCCGCCCAGCACAGAATAGTATGGCACAACTCGGCTACTACATCTCAACATCAAAGCAGTAACACAGTAACACAAGGAAGCTGAAGAAGTCAATCTGCTCTTGACTAACCTGGCAAGATGTTCTTGAATCGGTTCTTGTTCATGTTATCCTCGGCAAAGGCAGCAGAGCACTCACTTCTTTCCACTGTGGGAGACAGTGTCTGTAGCACCTGCAGGTAGAGAGGGGTCAGTCACGTAATACAGGGGTGTCAGTCATGTGACATAGGGGGTCAGTCATGTAACATAGGGGGTCAGTCACACAACACAGGGGGGCAGTCACACAACACAGGGGGGTTAGTCATGTAACACAGGGGGTCAGTCATGTAACATTGGGGGTCAGTCATGCAACACAGGGGGTCAGTCACACAACACAGGGGGGTCAGTCATGTAACACAGGGGGTCAGTCATGTAACATAGCGGTCAGTCATGTAACATTGGGGGTCAGTCATGCAACACGGGGTCAGTCACACAACACAGGGGGTCAGTCACACAACACAGGGGGGTCAGTAACACAACACAGGGGGGTCAGTCACACAACACGGGGGTCAGTCACACAACACAGGGGGGTAGGTCACACAACACAGGGGGTCAGTCACACAACACAGGGGGTCAGTCACACAACACAGGGGTCAGTCACACAACACAGGGGGTCAGTCACACAACACAGGGGGAGGGTCAGTCACACAACACAAGGGGGTCAGTCACACAACACAGGGGGTCAGTCACACAACACAGGGGGTCAGTCACACAACACAGGGGGTCAGTCACACAACACAGGGGGTCAGTCACACAACACAGAGGGGGTCAGTCACACAACACAGGGGGGATCAGTCACACAACACAGGGGGGGGCAGTCACACAACACAAGGGGGTCAGTCACACAACACAGGGGGGGTGTCAGTCACACAACACAGGGGGGGTGTCAGTCACACAACACAGGGCGGGGGGGTGTCAGTCACACAACACAGGGGGGTCAGTCACACAACACAGGGGGTCAGTCACACAACACAGGGGGGTCAGTCACACAACACTAGGGGAGGGTCAGTCACACAACACAGGGGGTCAGTCACACAACACAGGGGGTCAGTCACACAACACAGGGGGTCAGTCACACAACACAGAGGGGGTCAGTCACACAACACAGGGGGGATCAGTCACACAACACAGGGGGGGGCAGTCACACAACACAAGGGGGTCAGTCACACAACACAGGGGGGGTGTCAGTCACACAACACAGGGCGGGGGGGTGTCAGTCACACAACACAGGGGGGTCAGTCACACAACACAGGGGGTCAGTCACACAACACAGGGGGGTCAGTCACACAACACTAGGGGAGGGTCAGTCACACAACACAAGGGGATCAGTCACACAACACAGGGGGTCAGTCACACAACACGGGGTCAGTCACACAACACAGGGGGGGCAGTCACACAACACTAGGGGAGGGTCAGTCACACAACACAAGGGGATCAGTCACACAACACTAGGGGGTAAGTCACACAACACAGGGGGTCAGTCACACAACACAGGGGGGGCAGTCACACAACACTAGGGGAGGGTCAGTCACACAACACAGGGGGTCAGTCACACAACACAAGGGGATCAGTCACACAACACAGGGGGTAGTGAATATCCTGAAAGTAACCAAGTCATGACATCTGTTATGTTCTCGGAATGAACAGAGTCCACACAATCTGGAATCACGTTCAATGAAGGCCTCAACTGTGCAGACAGGCTTCACTGGACTTACTATTTTAGCAAGTCAAAGGTGTCTTGTCTGTGACTGATGGCCTGTCATTAAACCCCTGAATATCCCCTTTCCCTACTCTGAACATTCAAACTCATATCATATTGTAATACATTTATCAATTACTGTAATAAGTTTTACCTTAACATTATTTCTCAACCTTCACAAAGGCAACACTAAGTATCAAGCTGGCCCACACTTAGTGAATTGACTTGTGATAAATCGTTTGGGTATTGATACAGTATTGGGATAAACATTCCAGATTTCTATTTCAGAAGAAGACCCTTACTAATTATAAAACCTGACAAGACTATTTCCGGTAACTTGTATCCAGCTTACCTGGTACTGTTCCTCAAGTTTGTTGGGGTCCCCCTCGTTGGCTGCGCTCAGCATATTTTGGTAGGTAGATCGGAATGCAGACTTGGCTATAGTTGTCTCCCCTGATTTGACAGCCTCAAGAACAGCGTCGTAAACAAAGGCATATTGTTCCTGGAATAGAGAGTAGGACAAGGGTATGAAACTCCCAAAAATTTCAGCCAGACCACAGGACTGGCTAGCTGAAATACTTGCCAGCCCTGACCAAAACCTGCCTGCCCACTATAATCAAATGTTTCTCAGGATAAGCTAACGGGATTTCTTTTTGGTTACATTTTATCATTCATCTTTACATGTGAATTAATGATAATCATCGGGAAATATTTAGAATATTGTCACATATGAAATATAACCCGACCGTAGGGCAGGGGGATTTGAAAATCTGGCAGCCCGAGTTGAAATCAACCCGTCTCGGACGGTCGGGCAGGCAGGTATTTCGAACACTGGTAGGACACAGTCAATGTTATGTCATCATTCTGTCCTTACCAATAACCGCAAAGTTTGTTTGTTTGTTTGTTTGTTTGTTGTGTAACGCTGCACTCAGCAATATTCCAGCTATATGATGGTGGTCTGTAAATAATCGAGTCTGGACCAGACAATCCAGGGACTGACATCATGAGCATTGATCCACGCAATTGGGATACAATGACTGCATCAACCTGGTCAGCAAACCTGATCACCCGATCCAGTTAGTCGCTTCTTACAACAAGCATAGTTTCCTTATATGGCAAGTATGGGTTGCTGAAGACCTATTCTACCCCGGATCTTCACTGGTTCAATAACCATAACAGAAAGAACAGTAAACATATTTACGTCATGATTTTAAAAAAATGATTACTTGATCAAGACTTTCCATGTCAGTGAGAATATAAACATATACTACATCGCCAATTATTTTTTTAGTCAGATTAACTTCATTCACTGCCTCCTGTGGGGATTCAAGGCAGACAGGAAAAGGCCAGTAAGGGCCAGTAAGGGCCAGTAGGAATGAGCTTCACACAATGAATGCAGCTGTGAACTCAACCAAGGATGTTGGCTTGACAATTGGGTTGAATCCCAGTACCTTGGAATAATTATAATGATTGATTATTATGGTTTGTATGTTTGCTTCTTGTTATTTAAGGGGGCACGGGTGGCCCAGTCGTCTAAGGCGCCGCGATTCGATGTGCAGAGTTGCGTCCCTTGGGCACACCAGAAACCTATGATTGTGGGTTCGAATCCCAGTTCACTCCGTTTATGTTTCTAGGTTTGTCAGCACCATACCTGTGCTCGTGGGTTTCGCCAAAGTGGTAAACATCTGAGACCTGCATCAATTGGGGCTTTCCTCCCATATTAAGCTGACATGCCGTGAGATAACTGGAATACTGTTAAAAGCGGCGTTAACCCCAACTCAGTCACTCTTGTTATTTAATACCAGACTCAGCAAAATTCCGGCTATATGACAATGGTCTTTAAATAATTGAGTGTGGATAAGACAATCCAGGGATCGATATTGTGTTGGTGTTGTTGGTATGTTGTTTAACGCCGCACTCAGCAATATTCCAGCCATATGAGGGCGGTCTGTAAATAATCGAAGTCTGGAACAGACATTCCAGTGATTAATATCATGAGCATTGATAGATATTGTGAGTAACGCCATCGGGGACATGGTATCAACAAAGTCACCAAGTCTGACCACCCGATCCATTTGGTCATCTCTTACGTTGCTGATATAAATGGCTGCAGCAAGGCCTTGAGACATTGGTTATATCATTGGTTGTAGCAAGGCCTGGAGACATTGGTTATATCATTGGTTGTAGCAAGGCCTGGAGACATTGGTTATATCATTGGTTGTAGCAAAGCCTAGAGACATTGGTTATATCATTGGTTGTAGCAAGGCCTGGAGACATTGGTTATATCATTGGTTGTAGCAAGGCCTGGAGACATTGGTTGGTTATATCATTGGTTGTAGCAAGGCCTGGAGTGAGGCTGTAGTTACCCATGTTTGAATCATGTTGACACGGTTGGTCCTCATCAGCTGGGCGATACACAGGACGTCCACCTGGTCCTCTTTCTGGGCCTGCTCCAGCAGGTAGTCAAGAGCTATGTACGTCCCAGTACGGCCGATCCCAGCACTGAAACACAGCAGATCAGTTCAGGTTTTATATACTACCAGCACTGTATACAGTAGTTCAATTCAGGTTTTATATACACCTAGCACTGCAATGCAGCAGATCAATTCAGGTTTTATATACACCCAGAACTTAAATACAGTTTATCAATTCAAGTTTTATATTCACCCAGCAATGTATGCAGTATATCAATTCAGGTTTTATATAAACCCAGCACCGCAATGGAGCAGATCAATTGAGGTTTTATATACACCCAGCACTGAAATACAGCAGATCAATTCAGGTTTTATATACACCCAGCACTGAAATACAGCAGATCAATTCAGGTTTTATATACACCCAGCACTGAAATACAGTATATCAAATCAGGTTTTATATACACCCAGCACTGAAATACAACAGATCAATTCAGGTTTTATATACACCTAGCACTGAAATACAGCAGATCAATTCAGGTTTTGTATACACCTAGCACTGAAATACAGCAGATCAATTCAGGTTTTATATACACCCAGCACTGAAATACAGCAGATCAATTCAGGTTTTATATACACCCAGCAGTGAAATACAGCAGATCAAGTCAAGTTTGATAAGCACTTTTTTACTATATATCTACATCAAAACACGCAATTCGTCATCAATCCAGCAACAGTTTGAAGGAAACAGCAACCTGCAAAGTCATGTTACGATCAATGATTGACTGGATCATAATGCTGAAAACCAATAAGAATGCTTCCTGCTGAGTGTGCCTGCTAGTACCTGCAGTGACAGAGGATGGGAGCGGAGGACTCGGGGTTGTACATCTGCACCTTGCGTCGGAAGGCGAGGAGGGTCGTGGGGTAGGTGGGTGCACCATGGTCTGACCACGTCGTGAAGTGGAACTGCTTGACTATCCGGGATATCTCAAGCTGAAACAGTTTAGTGAATTACCAAGGTAAATACAAACTTCCAGAGTGGCAGTTACAAAGGCATAACACCTCAAGTCCTGGTTATCATAGTTTGGGTTGATACAGTGTAACAGATTCTACAAAAGGATCTAAATCACACTTACCCTCAAATCTAAGATATAGAGTGAGTGAGTGAGTGAGTGGGTGGGTGGGTGGGTGAGTGAGTGAGTGAGTGAGTGAGTGAGTGAGTGAGTGAGTGAGTGAGTGAGTGAGTGAGTGAGTGAGTGAGTGAGTGAGTGAGTGAGTGAGTGAGTGAGTGTGAGTGAGTGAGTGAGTGAGTGAGTGAGTGAGTGAGCGAGCGAGCGAGCGAGGTTTTAGGCCTTTTTTAGCAATGTTCCAGCAATATCACGGCAAGGGACACCAGAATTGGGCTTCACACATTGTACTCATGTCAGGAATCAGGGTCTTCAGCGTGAACAGCGAACGCTTTAAATACTAGGCTACCCGACCGTCCCTCCGAGACGTGGAAATATCCCTCAAATAACAAACAAAAACTATAAACAAGAATAAGAAAACAAAAATTTATGGATCACATCTTCGGTTTATTGCATTAAGTGACATTTCAGTGTAGATTCTTACACCGTCACTCCAGCTTTATAACGATGTAAGACTCAAAATCAAAACATCACTAAATGCAATTAACCAGAAGTTATCATTTTCTTTTTACTCCCCAACTTCTATTAAAACGATTCAGTTAAAACATGTTACTCAGAATTCAAGCATCCTCTACATCTTCAGCCTCGCATTTCGGTAAACCTACACCAACCGGGGATCCATCCCTGTGGTTCTCGTAATCTCAAGTTACCCGCCCTTGATTTCCATATGCCAATTTGATTGGCTACTCTACTAGGTCTAATGTACCAATCAGAATGCGAGTTACAAAACAAGCCTCAATGTTGGTTTGGCTAGTCCCATTGATTATGATCAAGTTAGGGAGAAATTCAACATTGAAAAACTGACTGACACGCAAATAAAAGCCCTCAGAAATCTTTTGATGGTAAGGATGTCTCATGTCCAATAAAACTGGTGGTGGCTTTGGTTTCAAGGTAATAAGAGTGGCCTCCCTTACCCTTTTTCCTTATCTTGACGTTTGATTTGGCAGTAAAATGCTAATGAATATCAAGGGCGGGTAATTTGAGATTGCGAGACCCACGGGAATGGATCCAGAGTTACGGAAATGCTAGCTAGCCCTGGAGATGAAGAGGATGGACTCCAAGAGACACATCTTTGACACTGAGAGTGCCAGGTATTGGCTGACCTGTGATATTTCGAATGTTCTGATGGTGTAGTCTGTATACTTGGCCGTGTCCACTATCCTGACCGTCACCTCCCCGTACTTGATGCCTCCCTCCTCCGGCCAATACTGCTCACATTTTTTCTGCACAAAATAAACAAAAACAAAATAACAACTTGTAGATCAATGCTCATGATGTCGATCACTGCACTGTCTGGTCCAGACTCGATTATTTACAGTCCACTGTCATACAGCTTAAATATTGGTGAGTGCGGCGTCAAACAACAAACAAACAAACAACATGCTCACCTTACAAGCCTCCACTAGGTTGGTCAGCATGACCACCTTACATACTCTCTGCTGCCACACCATCCGCCAGAAGTCTCGGATCATGGCCTTGTTTGGTCCTTGGGATGCAATGTATTGATGCTGTTTGCTGTAGCCCTGAAACACACAACACACACACTTGAGAAATGGAGTTTTCTACAACACAAACGATTTAATGAAATATGACTCAAGTTTAGCAAGCTTTGCACAATAAGTTCAACGAGTTATAAATAATTTTGTACTGACATCTCATTTCTTGCATTTATGTTGTATCATTTTTCAATTTTCAGAGACAGCTTTTTGAGATATCTTTGTATTGTATTTTTACATCACTGTTAGTAACATTTCAGTGGTACAACACCAAGAATGGGCATTTTGTAGCCATGTGAAAAAAGAAATTGTGTCCTTGTGCAAACTTCTGAACAAGGAGCCTATACCACCACTAGGGCTGGGACGAGTCCAAATATACTACCCGGGTACCCTCCACCCTATTACCCGACCCTACCCGGGTAACCGTTGTAGTTTATATTTAGAGATAGGTACAAACTGTCCGATTTGGAAAAGTTTGACCGTAGCCCTGGCAAAATGTATTTAGAAACATGTGTAAAACGATCTGGTCATGCATACACTGACGTTTACTGCATGCAGTTTTATCTTTATTCGAACATATAAAAGTCAGAAGGAATGGGCGCATTGTCAGAAAGAAATGGGAACATTAGTGACTTGTAGTGTAACCATAGAGTTTTAGATAATTTTTGTCATTAAACAATATATCACGTGACTAACCATGGGTCCGGGTAGTCCCGTGGGTACCTGAGTCCTACTCAGGACCCTCCCGACCCGAGTACCCGAGTTACCCGTCCCAGCCCTAACCACCACCTTGTCAATAGTCATAATATCTGAGAAATTTATTGTCAACATTAAACTTCGCACTCATCAGTTCATCCACATCATTCATTTCATCTACCCACAACTGCAGCAACACAAGTACTGTGTGTCTATATGTCAAGTTGCATACTTACATCCATGAAGTTCGCATTGACGTAATCCGAGTTGGCTTCACTGGTCATGGGGTCTAAAGTAACCCTGGAATGGTCATCTGGAACACACAGACATGAAGTCACATCGGTAGTCTCAGTACATACCAAGAGACGTACATGCTCACATCGATAGTGTCAGTACATACCCAGAGACGTACATGCTCACATCGATAGTGTCAGTACATACCCAGAGACGTACATGCTCCCATCGGTAGTCTCAGTACATACCCAGAGACGTACATGCTCACATCGATAGTCTCAGTACATACCCAGAGACATACATGCTCACATCGGTAGTCTCAGTACATACCCAGAGACATACATGCTTCAGTACATTGCTGTTAGGATTTGTTCAAGCATCATCAGGATAAGGAACTGCAACATCTGGATCATCTTCCTGAGGCAAGGGAGTTAACTGACTATAGAAAGTCCAATTTCCACCCTTGCCAAACTTTGCTGGAATTTCTGGACTTAATTGCAGCGCCACTGGTGGCTATTATGAGTTTTGTCCCTTGTATGTCCCTCCTACTGATCAGATATCCACCTCCCATATCACTTGCATTGGCATCAAACAAATTGGCGCAGCCCTGTCAAGACACTCTGATCGATAATCAAAGTCTATATTGTGATAAAACCTCTCTTAATTCGCGAAGTGCATCAAATCAGGTAAGTACCATCATTAAAAATATGAATAGATTTGGGAAATATCTGTTGACGTGGATGTTGCAATCGATCCAAATCTGCACAGCAGTTTTCGTATCCGGATGTTGATTTCTTAACACGATTTTGATTGGACTATGCATAGACTTGTTAGTCAAGCCAAAATATAACTCCGTAATTCTAGCCTAGCTCGGCAAGGGTGGAACCTGGACTTTTATAGTCAGTTAACTCACCTGCCTCGGAAAGATGTATCTGGATTGGGGATAGCAACATCGGGATAGGGGACAGCAATATCAGGAGAGTGAGTGAGTGAGTGAGTTTGGTTTTATGCCACTTTTAGCAATATTCAAGCAATATCACGGCGGGGGACACCAGAAATAGGCTTCACACATTGTACCCATGTCGGGAATCGAACCCGGGTCTTCGGCATATCAGGAGAGGGCCAGCAATATCAGGATAGAGGGAAGCAAAATCGGGATGGGGACAGCCATATCAGGATAGAGGGAAGCAAAATTGGGATAGGGGACAGCCATATCAGGATAGAGGGAAGCAAAATCAGGATAGAGGACGGTAATATCAGGATAGGGGACAGCAATATCAGGATAGAGGGAAGCAAAATCAGGATAGGGAACAGCAATATCAGGATAGGGGACAGCAATATCAGGATAGAGGGAAGCAAAATCAGGATAGGGAACAGCAATATCAGGATAGGGGACGGTAGTATCAGGATAGGGGACAGCAATATCAGGATAGAGGGAAGCAAAATCAGGATAGGGAACAGCAATATCAGGATAGGGGACGGTAGTATCAGGATAGGGGACAGCAATATCAGGATAGAGGGAAGCAAATCAGGATGGGGACAGCCATATCAGGATAGAGGGAAGCAAAATTGGGATAGGGAACGGTAATATCGGGATAGGGGACAGAGGTTCCACTACCACAGCCTTAGGGATATTGACCGATACTTAACCCCATCAGCAGGCTTACAATGTAAGGATGTCATCTTTGAGACTACATACATACGCTGTAAACTAATGACAAACTATTACCTATCTCTCTTTGTGTAATTCTTACATGATAGTTGATAAAGTTGCCAAACTTTGTCTTGTTGTCAACTTACAAGCAACAATGTTTCCGTATCTATTCTTGGCCTTGTTGTCAGCTCGCCTGGCCACCTCACACAGAGCCAGCAGACCCATGGGCAGCTCCTGAAACAGGAGCAGTCTTCAGTAAGGATGGGTACTGGAGCTTTAAAGGGTATCACAATATTTAACTTTTATGACCAAGACGGCCAATAATAATAAATTTGGTGTTAAAAGTGATTCCTGTATATTCAATACTGGGTATTTGTGACTGGATGTGAATGTCAGTAATTTAGCACTACAACATTACATGATTTACGTCACTGACACACTATTGGAAAAGGCTGATTCAGTGTCTCTTTAAAGAGAATAAATAAGATTGAGACAACATTGATATTGACAGTCATAAACATAACTGTAAATGATCCTTAATAATTTTAATTGGAGGATTACAAATACCACTTTTGAACCGGTTAAGATTTCTGATCAAATCGTAACCAGTTATCCGAGTAATCATGACTGTCAATCATGACAAGTACTTTGAATCCATAGTAATGGACCAATGGAATGACCTAATGGAGTGTCACAATAAGGCCTAAAAGAGAGTCACTATATGACCTAATGAAGAGTCAATATAAGGCATAATGGAGTTTGGACATAAGACCTGAAGGAGAGTTGATATAAGACCTAATGGAGTGTCATAAGACCTAATGGAGAGTCAACATAAGACCTAATGGAGAGTGAACAAAGACCTAATGGTGTGTCGACATAAGACCTCATGAAGTGTAGATGTAAGACCTCATGGGGAGTCGACATAAGACCTAATGGTGTGTCAACATAAGACCTCATGGAGAGTCCACATAAGACCTCATGGAGAGTTGACATAAGACCTAATGGAGAGTCCACATAAGACCTAATGGAGTGTCGACATAAGACCTAACGGGGAGTCGACATAAGACCTAATGGAGAGTTGACATAAGACCTAATGGTGTGTCGACATAAGACCTCATGAAGTGTAGATATAAGACCTCATGGAGAGTCCACATAAGACCTAATGGAGAGTGGCCATAAGACCTAACGGGGAGTCGATATAAGACCTCATGGAGAGTTGACATAAGACCTAATGGAGAGTTGACATAAGACCTAATGGAGTGTCGACATAAGACCTAACGGAGAGTCCACATAAGACCTAATGGAGAGTCCACATAAGACCTAACGGGGAGTCGACATAAGACCTAATGGAGAGTTGACATAAGACCTAATGGAGTGTTGACATAAGGCCTAATGGAGTGTCAACATAAGACCTAATGGAGAGTCGACATAAGACTTAATGGAGAGTCGACATAAGGCCTAATGGAGAGTCGACATAAGACCTAATGGAGAGTCGACATAAGGCCTAATGGAGAGTCTACATAAGACCTAATGGAGTGTCGACATAAGGCCTAATGGAGAGTCGACATAAGACCTAATGGAGTGTCGACATAAGGCCAAATGGAGAGTCGACATAAGACCTCATGGAGAGTTGACATAAGACCTAATGGGGTGTTGACATAAGACCTAATGGAGTGTCGACATAAGGCCTAATGGAGAGTCTACATAAACCTAATGGAGCGTCGACATAAGGCCTAATGGAGAGTCGACATAAGACCCAATGGAGTGTCGACATAAGGCCTAATGGAGAGTCGACATAAGACAAGTTCTAGTGAACAATAAATTTTCAAGCAGCAGCAGCAGCATTAAAAACCAACACAACCGTGAGTTACAAGGAGTGCTGTGACATTCTTCTCCTACAACACATGGACTAAAGCCAAGGCACATACCTCAAATTCCTGTTTAAATCCCAGACAGTTATTCTCCCTGTGCTTCTTGATGTAATCGGCAAGGTCCACCAGTTTGACAGGGCTTGTCTGCTTCTTACTGTTGATGTTCACGTATATCGGCTCATTGATCTCTTCGCTTCCGCCATTTTCATCCTGATCCAGTCGTGTCACGTCTCCAACCCGCGAGTCACTCAACAAGCGAGCACTCTCGCTGTGGCCATTGTTCTCCGCCTCCCGCGGGTCCAAGGGCAGAGGATTGCTCACATCCATACGCTTATGGCGCCGCTTCCTGAAAGATACATCACAGTGAAAACACATCATACGAAAAAAGCATCTTACAGCTGTCGAAACCCATGCTAGTCAGCAAACCCTCGACAACTAAATTGTGCTGAGGGCAAGTAAAAAGCCATTGATTGTAGTCCTCATAGTAGAAACATAACATTTCAGGGCTACGATTCTTAACCAGTTCCAAAAGTTTCCATTAGCTACAATAAAACTGACAGAGAATGTAAACATAGTTAACATGTCCATCTTATTCAAGCAGGACTAACAAAAAAACACTTTTAAAACTATTAATGTTTTGCATTTCTATGCTTTTTAGACAGACTGGTTCAACACTATTTTTAAGAAATATAGAAACAACACAAAAAAAAGCCCATAAAAATACTTCCTAAAATGGTATGATTTAATCATTCAAAATAAACTTGTCAGTGTCGAAAAAGAGAATAAACATCTTCTACATCAGAATAAATCATGTCTCAAACTCATTCCTTTTCCAGCCACTGAAATAGCTGCCCGGACAACACCATCACAGATGACTCTTTCAAACAGCTGATTCAATACCCTTCCATTTGTTTGTTAGATTGTTTGTTGTTTAAAGTTGCACTTGGCAATATCAAGCTCCATGACGCCAGTCTTTAAATTATCGAGGCAATCCAGTGATTGATATCGTGAGCAACATACTAGCCTGTCGGGGTATGAAATCATGCTATCAACACAGCCACAGTGCCTGACAAACAGATCAATCAAGTTGCCTCTCAAGACCAGAATAAGTTGCTAGGCACTGTTCTAAACAGTGTTAAACTCACTAAATAAACTGAGGGCCTTAAGGACCAGCACATTTCAAAAACTGTAGGCCCAGTGGAAAAGCTGTAGGCCCAGTGGAAAAACTGTAGGCCCAGTGGAAAAGTGAGTGAGTGAGTTGGGCTTAACGCCGCTTTTAACAGTATTCCAGTTATATCACGGCGTGTCAGCTTAATGTGGGAGGAGAGCCCGAAGTGATGCAAGCCTCAGACGTTTACCTAGAAACCTAGAAACATAATTGGGGCAAACCGGGATTCGAACCCACAATCATAGGTTTCAGGCATGCCAAGGGACGCAACTCTGCACAGCGAATCGCGGCGCCTTAGACGACTGGGCCACCCGTGCCCCCGATAGGTAACTCTGGTATTTCTGTTTGAACAAGATTTACTCACTCACTCATTATACATATTCATTGCAATCATTTTAGCAACTTGGTCACATTTATTACCTCTTAACAAAACCATGGCTGCAGACCTGGGCCCTGTTCCACAAAGCTATCTTTGCGCTAAGGTGGACGTAACTCTTATACTTAAACATGGGCTTACAATAGCCCTGGCGCTAAGATTGCTTTATGGAATAGGGCCCTGTTGTGTTGTCCTTATGTGTGGTCCAAGTGACAGTTTAATCCCTACCTGTAGAGCACAAATGCCAGGATGAGGATGATGACAATGATGACGATGACGACAGCTGCGACGATCCCACCAGTTATCTTCCCTTCCTCTAGTGCTTCGACAGCTACAACAAAGTTACATAAGTTATTTTGTATGAAATATATGAATAATAATCATTTCAGATGCTCTTAAGCATTTTTGATATTTGTGTGTGTACACTAACGATTTTTCAGAATTTGGAGAATAATTGAGGAATACAAGATCAGCCCATCACTATACCCCTCTATACACAGACAACTACTCTCACCTTCAGCACCCAGGAACCCATCACTACACCCCTCTATACACAGACAACTAATCTTACCTTCAGCACACCTGTATCCCAGGAACCCATCACTACACCCCTCTATACACAGACAACTAATCTTACCTTCAGCACACCTGTAGCCCAGGAACCCATCACTACACCCCTCTATACACAGACAACTAATCTCACCTTCAGCACACCTGTATCCTAGGTACCCATCACTACACCCCTCTATACACAGACAACTAATCTCACCTTCAGCACACCTGTAGCCCAGGAATCCATCACTACACCCCTCTATACACAGACAACTAATCTCACCTTCAGCACACCTGTATCCTAGGTACCCATCACTACACCCCTCTATACACAGACAACTAATCTCACCTTCAGCACACCTGTAGCCCAGGAATCCATCACTACACCCCTCTATACACAGACAACTAATCTCACCTTCAGCACACCTGTATCCTAGGTACCCATCACTACACCCCTCTATACACAGACAACTAATCTTACCTTCAGCATACCTGTAGCCCAGGAACCCATCACTACACCCCTCTATACACAGACAACTAATCTCACCTTCAGCACACCTGTATCCCAGGAACCCATCACTACACCCCTCTATACACAGACAACTAATCTTACCTTCAACACACCTGTATCCTAGGTACCCATCACTACATCCCTCTATACACAGACAACTAATCTCACTTTCAGCACACCTGTATCCCAGGTACCCATCTCTACACCCCTCTATACACAGACAACTAATCTTACCTTCAGCACACCTGTATCCCAGGAACCCATCACTACACCCCTCTATACACAGACAACTAATCTCACCTTCAGCACACTGGTATCCCAGGAACCCATCTCTACTCCCCTCTATACACAGACAACTAATCGTACCTTCAGCATACCTGTATCCCAGGAACCCATCTCTACACCCCTCTATACACAGACAACTATTCTTACCTTCAGCACACCTGTATCCCAGGAACCCATCTCTACACCCCTCTATACACAGACAACTAATCTCACCTTCAGCACACTGGTATCCCAGGAACCCATCACTACACCCGTCCATGCACTGGCCTGTTTTTGCAAGACATGGTTTGCCAAATTTGCAGCTTCCACAAGCAAAAGAACAGTTTTCTCCATAATGTCCATCTTCACAGTCTGAAAATCAGAACAAATATGCTTGAGTTCATGCCCACCTGAAGAAGTTCCCTTATAATTTTCAGGAAAAAGAGACAAGATATGGGAGTCTCTCCATGCCATAAATTCCTGATTGTTTGTATTCTAAAAGAAAATTATTAACTTATATCAACTGATCATGTTGCCATCACAAAAATTCCATAATCAGGGTATAATGGGTGTTTTTATATTCTTCTGCATTACAATTGTCCATTGCTCCTACTGCCGAAGTCCAAATCCAAATGGAATGACGATGCATCAGCATCTTCAGTAATTCTTTTGCCAAACATGACCTCCATGACCCTCTTGACATCTGGTCATTATTGTCTTCCAACGTCCCTCAGGGCTGATGGTACAGTGGGGAGGAAGACGGGAGTCACAGGAAGGCCCCTCGGTAATGGAGGATAAGTATATAAAATAAACATAATACTCTGATAATGGAATATTTTTAACTTATCTTGCAAATACATATATAGAGGTTATCACGCGAGTGTGTTTGGGGATGGTAAATATCCTGCATTAGGAATAAACATTGTATTTAGCGAGCCTGTGCTGCTAATATTGATACAAATACTAAAAATCTGGTGCCATGAAATTCCTGCAAGTGGCTAACAATAGCCTTAACTGCCTGTGTAAAGTTTTGCGATAGCCTGTTAAGATTACCAGAGATCAAAGCTACTATTTCAGGTGTAATATTTGTAATATTTCATAAGTAGGAAGTGGTGTGATGAAAGGGTAACTCAGTGATTTTTAAACGTTTGTTTGTTTGTTGTTTAATGAAGCAATCAGAAATATTCCAGCTATAAGACAGCGGTCTGCAAATAATCGAGTCTGGACCAGACAATCCAGTGACTGACATCATGAGCATCGATACGCCATTGGGAAAAAAAGACATGCATCAACCAGGTCAGCTGCCTGACCACCTGATCCCATTAGTCACCTCTTACAACAAGCATAGTCGCCTTTTACGGCAAGCATGGCTTGTTGAAGACCTATTCTACCCCGGATCTTCACGGGTCGATTCTTGAACTATAGATGCATGTGTGGCATTTGACAAGGGAGGTTGGAGTAGCGTGTTTTTCTTACAAAAAAGCCTGGTCTGGACTATTCAGTGTTATGTCAACAACTTGACAAGATGTGGTGAGTGGACCTGATTTAGTTATTAGACTACTGACACTAAATAATAATGTGTAATTAGGGAAAAACAGGATGTGAGGGATTCGCTGGTTTGACAACGTGTGGAAGTGAACACAAGAAATGTGCCTTCTTACGTCTTTTGTTTGTTTTTGGTCTGCAAAAGTAACTGCATCATGAAAATGTTGCGAGTGTGTGTCACCAGGGATTGACTTAAGCCGTGATTACGTGATATTCTCACATAGTTGTTGTAGATTTCACATCAACAATCAATCAGCACGGATGAAAATCGCGTAGATCTTTCAATAGTTTTATCTGCTTTAATACTCTCATTTTCACCTACAAAAATCGAAAATGTCGTATTGCTTGAATAAATTTATCTACGGTACCTAAAAATGTCAACAAAAACCTAACACGAAAGTTTATTCAATCGTCAAAAGTTGCCACTCGAAACAGTGCTTTGCATACTCGCAACACTGCATGCTATCTCTTACTATGCAAAACCAATTCCTATATCTCTGCATGGAGCTTTGCATCAGCTGACAATGCTGGAGTGTGCAACATTATTTTTTTATCCCCGATTGGCAGCACGAGTGTTTGTTTTCACAAACTAACACTTTGGTAGCGCACAAAAATCTTATTCCGTGATCTACAACTCCAAGTCATTAAACATATTTTAAGACTTAAATCCTAGCAGAAATCAAAGACGCTATCTACATGTATGTGCGTCCGTGCAGAAATCAAAGGAAATAAAGGCAATCAGGGGTAAGTTGCAAGAATTGCCACAGTGCGTGAATTACAAATTTTGAACTACACACGTATTTCTAGTGGCCAAACAGCAAGTTGGATTTAGATTTTTAGACTATGCTACAATATGTTTGCTTCCAATTTTTTCCTGTGACTTAATCTTCAAATGTAACTCTTAAACAGCATGAATGTCAACAGTCTTTCCCACTGCCGGTTACTTGTAAACATTTTCTGGCTGCTGCACATGGCAAACACGCTGCCTTCGGCATGAAATAAATGACTTCATTGTTGCTAATTGAACAAAAGGGTGAACCTGGAGCAATAGTCATTGTATGATGAACTGTCACTTCTAATTAATTGACAAGACCATATTGATAAGATTTCATTTGGTACAATCAGAGACACGGCCTCTGATATAGTACACTGAAATAAGATGGCGAAATTGACAAAAGCACTGGAATTTGAATAACATATTTTTTGCCAACAAACTGTTATACAATTTATAACAGTCGCTATTTCATGTCATCACTCAAAATATATTGAATTACGATCTTAACACACATTGTCGACATTTGATAACTGCAGATTGTTGTCCCCTGCATGCAAATGAAATGAACAGCTGATGGTGGTAAACATGCCTACTAAACGATCTATAATTGTCCTCGAGAATAACTCCCCATCAAATCGACAATGAACAGAAATATTAATGTCATTTCTCCTAAAGTAGACAATGAACAGAAATATGAGTCAAATGTAATTTTTGGTTAATACTAATGCTAATTTATTTAAATACATGTATGTATTCGCAGTGGAATAATTAGTGTTAGAAAATAGGATATCGGAGAATATTTATCTATATAATGTAGTAACATTAATTGCAACATTATTCGAGTCACAAGTACCAAAAATCAAAAACAGTTTTCCCAATGTGTAAAAGTCAGCAAAATCTCATCACACGCCAAAAAATCTCATTCCTCTTGGACCAGGGGAGATTTTCTCTCATAGGTAAAGATTTCCAGGATATCGCAGTACTTTCCTGCTTGCAAAAAACGTTCCAGATTTACAGTCCTTATTTGTAACCTACCAGTGGTACAGTTGTCTCCCATTTTTCCAGCTTGACATCCACTGAGACATGTGCCTGTCACGTGATCACACGTGCTGCCAAACTTGCAGTAGCCACAGTTCAGCTTACAGCTCTTGCCATACAGTCCCGGGGGACATTCTGAAATGAAAGACGATTGTCACTGTGAATCACTTACTGAGACAACTGATTATGTCTGTGTGGATCACTTACTGAGACAACTGATTGTGTCACTGTGGATCACTTACTGAAACAACTAATTATATCTGTGTGAATCACTTACTGAGACAACTGATTATGTCTGCGTGGATCATTTACTGAGACAACTGATTACGTCTGTGTGGATCACTTACTGAGACAACTGATTATGTCTGTGTGGATCACTTACTGAGACGACTGATTATGTCTGTGTGGATCACTTACTGAGACAACTGATTATGTCTGTGTGGATCACTTACTGAGACAACTGATTATGTCTGTGTGAATCAATTACTGAGACAACTGATTATGTCTGTGTGAATCAATTACTGAGACAACTGATTATGTCTGTGTGGATCACTTACTGAGACAACTGATTATGTCTGTGTGGATCACTTACTGAGACAACTGATTATGTCTGTGTGGATCACTTACTGAGACGACTGATTATGTCTGTGTGGATCACTTACTGAGACAACTGATTATGTCTGTGTGGATCACTTACTGAGACAACTGATTATGTCTGTGTGAATCAATTACTGAGACAACTGATTATGTCTGTGTGAATCAATTACTGAGACAACTGATTATGTCTGTGTGGATCACTTACTGAGACAACTGATTACGTCTGCGTGGATCACTTACTGAGACAACTGATTATGTCTGCGTGGATCACTTACTGAGACAACTGATTGTGTCTGCGTGGATCACTTACTGAGATAACTGATTACGTCTGTGTGGATCACTTACTGAGACAACTGATTACGTCTGTGTGGATCACTTACTGAGACAACTGATCATGTCTGCGTGGATCACTTACTGAGACAACTGATTATGTCTGCGTGGATCACTTACTGAGATAACTGATTACGTCTGTGTGGATCACTTACTGAGACAACTGATTATGTCTGTGTGGATCACTTACTGAGACAACTGATTATGTCTGTGTGGACCACTTACTGAGACAAGTGATTATGTCTGTGTGGATCACTTACTGAGACAACTGATTATGTCTGTGTGGATCAATTACTGAGACAACTGATTATGTCTGCGTGGTTCACTTACTGAGACAAGTGATTGTGTCTGTGTGGATAACTTCCCGAGACAACTGACTATGTCTGTGTGGATCACTTACTGAGACAACTGATTATATCTGTGTGTATAACTTCCCGAGACAACTGATTATATCTGTGTGAATCACTTACTGAGACAACTGATTATATCTGTGTGGATAACTTCCCGAGACAACTGATTATATCTGTGTGAATCACTTACTGAGACAACTGATTATGTCTGTGTGGATAACTTCCCGAGACAACTGATTATATCTGTGTGGATCACTTACTGAGACAACTGATTATGTCTGTGTGGATAACTTCCCGAGACAACTGATCATATCTGTGTGAATCACTTACTGAGACAACTGATTATGCCTGTGTGGATCACTTACTGAGACACACTGATTATGTCTGTGTGGATCACTTACTGAGACAACTGATTATGTCTGTGTGGATAACTTCCCGAGACAACTGATTATGTCTGCGTGGATCACTTACTGAGATAACTGATTACGTCTGTGTGGATCACTTACTGAGACAACTGATTACGTCTGTGTGGATCACTTACTGAGACAACTGATCATGTCTGCGTGGATCACTTACTGAGACAACTGATTATGTCTGCGTGGATCACTTACTGAGATAACTGATTACGTCTGTGTGGATCACTTACTGAGACAACTGATTATGTCTGTGTGGATCACTTACTGAGACAACTGATTATGTCTGTGTGGACCACTTACTGAGACAAGTGATTATGTCTGTGTGGATCACTTACTGAGACAACTGATTATGTCTGTGTGGATCACTTACTGAGACAACTGATTATGTCTGCGTGGTTCACTTACTGAGACAAGTGATTGTGTCTGTGTGGATAACTTCCCGAGACAACTGACTATGTCTGTGTGGATCACTTACTGAGACAACTGATTATATCTGTGTGTATAACTTCCCGAGACAACTGATTATATCTGTGTGAATCACTTACTGAGACAACTGATTATATCTGTGTGGATAACTTCCCGAGACAACTGATTATATCTGTGTGAATCACTTACTGAGACAACTGATTATGTCTGTGTGTATAACTTCCCGAGACAACTGATTATATCTGTGTGAATCACTTACTGAGACAACTGATTATGCCTGTGTGGATCACTTACTGAGACACACTGATTATGTCTGTGTGGATCACTTACTGAGACAACTGATTATGTCTGTGTGGATAACTTCCCGAGACAACTGATTATGTCTGCGTGGATCACTTACTGAGACAACTGATTATGTCTGTGTGGATCACTTACTGAGACAACTGATTATGTCTGTGTGGATCACTTACTGAGACAACTGATTATGTCTGTGTGGATCACTTACTGAGACAACTGATTATGTCACTGTGGATCACTTACTGAGACAACTGATTATGCCTGTGTGGATCACTTACTGAGACAACTGATTATATCTGTGTGAATCACTTACTGAGACAACTGATTATGCCTGTGTGGATCACTTACTGAGACACACTGATTATGTCTGTGTGGATCACTTACTGAGACAACTGATTATGTCTGTGTGGATAACTTCCCGAGACAACTGATTATGTCTGCGTGGATCACTTACTGAGATAACTGATTACGTCTGTGTGGATCACTTACTGAGACAACTGATTACGTCTGTGTGGATCACTTACTGAGACAACTGATCATGTCTGCGTGGATCACTTACTGAGACAACTGATTATGTCTGCGTGGATCACTTACTGAGATAACTGATTACGTCTGTGTGGATCACTTACTGAGACAACTGATTATGTCTGTGTGGATCACTTACTGAGACAACTGATTATGTCTGTGTGGACCACTTACTGAGACAAGTGATTATGTCTGTGTGGATCACTTACTGAGACAACTGATTATGTCTGTGTGGATCACTTACTGAGACAACTGATTATGTCTGCGTGGTTCACTTACTGAGACAAGTGATTGTGTCTGTGTGGATAACTTCCCGAGACAACTGACTATGTCTGTGTGGATCACTTACTGAGACAACTGATTATATCTGTGTGTATAACTTCCCGAGACAACTGATTATATCTGTGTGAATCACTTACTGAGACAACTGATTATATCTGTGTGGATAACTTCCCGAGACAACTGATTATATCTGTGTGAATCACTTACTGAGACAACTGATTATGTCTGTGTGTATAACTTCCCGAGACAACTGATTATATCTGTGTGAATCACTTACTGAGACAACTGATTATGCCTGTGTGGATCACTTACTGAGACACACTGATTATGTCTGTGTGGATCACTTACTGAGACAACTGATTATGTCTGTGTGGATAACTTCCCGAGACAACTGATTATGTCTGCGTGGATCACTTACTGAGACAACTGATTATGTCTGTGTGGATCACTTACTGAGACAACTGATTATGTCTGTGTGGATCACTTACTGAGACAACTGATTATGTCTGTGTGGATCACTTACTGAGACAACTGATTATGTCACTGTGGATCACTTACTGAGACAACTGATTATGCCTGTGTGGATCACTTACTGAGACAACTGATTATATCTGTGTGAATCACTTACTGAGACAACTGATTATGTCTGTGTGGATCACTTACTGAGACAACTGATTATGTCTGTGTGGATCACTTACTGAGACAACTGATTGTGTCTGTAAGGATCACTTACTGAGACAAGTGATTATGTCTGTGTGGATCACTTACTGAGACAACTGATTATGTCTGTGTGGATCACTTACTGAGACAACTGATTATGTCTGTGTGGATCACTTACTGAGACAACTGATTATGCCTGTGTGGATCACTTACTGAGACACACTGATTATGTCTGCATGGATCACTTACTGAGACAACTGATTATGTCTGTGTGGATCAATTACTGAGACAACTGATTATGTCTGCATGGATCACTTACTGAGACAACTGATTATGTCTGTGTGGATCACTTACTGAGACAACTGATTATGTCTGTGTGGATCACCTACTGAGACAACTGATGATGTCTCGAGAATCACTTACTGAGACACACTGATTATGTATGTGTGGATCACTTACTGAGACAACTGATTATGTCTGTGTGGATCACTTACTGAGACAACTGATTATGTCTGTGTGGATCACTTACTGAGACAACTGATGATGTCTGTGTGAATCACTTCCCGAGACAACTGATTATATCTGTGTGGATCACTTACTGAGACAACTGATTATGTCTGTGTGGATAACTTCCCGAGACAACTGATTATATCTGTGTGAATCACTTACTGAGACAACTGATTATGCCTGTGTGGATCACTTACTGAGACACACTGATTATGTCTGTGTGGATCACTTACTGAGACAACTGATTATGTCTGTGTGGATAACTTCCCGAGACAACTGATTATGTCTGCGTGGATCACTTACTGAGACAACTGATTATGTCTGTGTGGATCACTTACTGAGACAACTGATTATGTCTGTGTGGATCACTTACTGAGACAACTGATTATGTCTGTGTGGATCACTTACTGAGACAACTGATTATGTCACTGTGGATCACTTACTGAGACAACTGATTATGCCTGTGTGGATCACTTACTGAGACAACTGATTATATCTGTGTGAATCACTTACTGAGACAACTGATTATGTCTGTGTGGATCACTTACTGAGACAACTGATTATATCTGTGTGAATCACTTACTGAGACAACTGATTATGTCTGTGTGGATCACTTACTGAGACAACTGATTGTGTCTGTAAGGATCACTTACTGAGACAACTGATTATGTCTGTGTGGATCACTTACTGAGACAACTGATTATGTCTGTGTGGATCACTTACTGAGACAACTGATTATGCCTGTGTGGATCACTTACTGAGACACACTGATTATGTCTGCATGGATCACTTACTGAGACAACTGATTATGTCTGTGTGGATCAATTACTGAGACAACTGATTATGTCTGCATGGATCACTTACTGAGACAACTGATTATGTCTGTGTGGATCACTTACTGAGACAACTGATTATGTCTGTGTGGATCACCTACTGAGACAACTGATGATGTCTGCGTGAATCACTTACTGAGACACACTGATTATGTATGTGTGGATCACTTACTGAGACAACTGATTATGTCTGTGTGGATCACTTACTGAGACAACTGATTATGTCTGTGTGGATCACTTACTGAGACAACTGATGATGTCTGTGTGAATCACTTACTGAGACAACTGATTATGTCTGTGTGGATCACTTACTGAGACAACTGATTATGTCTGTGTGAATCACTTACTGAGACAACTGATTATGTCACTGTGGATCACTTACTGAGACAACTGATCATGCCTGTGTGGATCACTTACTGAGACAACTGATTATATCTGTGTGAATCACTTACTGAGACAACTGATTATATCTGTGTGAATCACTTACTGAGACACACTGATTATGTCTGTGTGGATCACTTACTGAGACAACTGATTGTGTCTGTGTGGATCACTTACTGAGACAACTGATTATGTCTGTGTGGATCACTTACTGAGACAACTGATTATGTCTGTGTGGATCACTTACTGAGACAACTGATTATGTCTGTGTGGATCACTTACTGAGACAACTGATTATGTCTGTGTGGATCACTTACTGAGACAACTGATTACGTCTGCGTGGATCACTTACTGAGACAACTGATTATGTCTGCGTGGATCACTTACTGAGACAACTGATTGTGTCTGTGTGAATCACTTACTGAGACAACTGATTATGTCACTGTGGATCACTTACTGAGACAACTGATCATGCCTGTGTGGATCACTTACTGAGACAACTGATTATGTCTGTGTGGATAACTTCCCGAGACAACTGATTATGTCTGCGTGGTTCACTTACTGAGACAAGTGATTATGTCTGTGTGGATAACTTACTGAGACAACTGATCATGTCTGTGTGGATCACCTGCTGTCTACTCTATTTGTAGGCAACATTTACTCAGACAGATTGATCACATCGGTATGGACCACCTACTTTCATCACACTTGTATCCTTTGTATCCATTACTGCAGCCTCGAAAACAGAATCCAGTGTTCTTATTACAGGGCTCTCCATCTTTACATTTGCCACACTCTCCTTCACAGTTGCGTCCGTAGCGTGAATTGGGACATTCTGAAACACATGAAACTAGTAGTCACCGAGGCTAGAAAAATGATGTTGCCAACACTCCAACACATCACCGAGATACTCACTATCTGTACAGTCTTACACATTACCGAGATACTCACTATCTGTACAGTCTTACACATTACTGATATACTCACTATCTGTACAGTCTTACACATTACTGATATACTCACTATCTGTACAGTCTTACACATTACTGATATACTCACTATTTGTACAGTCTTACACATTACTGATATACTCACTATCTGTACAGTCTTACACATTACTGATATACTCACTATCTGTACAGTCCTACACATTACTGATATACTCACTATCTGTACAGTCCTACACATTACTGATATACTCACTATCTGTACAGTCCTACACATTACCGAGATACTCACTATCTGTACAGTCCAACACATTACCGAGATACTCACTATCTGTACAGTCCTACACATTACTGATATACTCACTATCTGCATGATCTGTACAGTCCTACACATCACTTATATACTCACTATCTGTACAGTCCTACACATTACTGATATACTCACTATCTGTACAGTCCTACACATCACTGATATACTCACTATCTGCATGATCTGTACAGTCCTACACATCACTTATATGCTCACTCTGTACAGTCCCACACATTACTGATATACTCACTATCTGTACAGTCCTACACATTACTGATATACTCACTATCTGCATGATCTGTACAGTCCTACACATTACTGATATACTCACTATCTGTACAGTCCTACACATTACTGATATACTCACTATCTGCATGATCTGTACAGTCCCACACATTACTGATATACTCACTGTCTGTACAGTCCTACACATTACTGATATACTCACTCTGTACAGTCCTACACATTACTGATATACTCACTATCTGCATGATCTGTACAGTCCTACACATTACTGATATACTCACTATCTGTACAGTCCTACACATTACTGATATACTCACTATCTGCATGATCTGTACAGTCCTACACATCACTTATATGCTCACTGTCTGTACAGTCCCACACATTACTGATATACTCACTATCTGTACAGTCCTACACATTACTGATATACTCACTGTCTGTACAGTACAGTCCACTGTACCCTTCCTCACAGTTTTTCTGACACTCCCCATACTCTGGGTCACACGACTTCTGGTAACAGTGGCCACATGTCTGAGCACAGTCCTGGCCGTACTTGCCCTCCGGACACGCTGGAAGAGTACATAGGTGTTCATGTTCCAGTTCATACACAAATATTATCATATGCATCTCATTGGCAGATCACAGGAAGGAGACGGGTGGAGAGAGTGACAATGTTCCCCCTCACCCTTACGTGTCAACCTATCTCAGTCCCTCTATCATGTTTTGCAGTTTTATTCACTTTCAGATTTAAACATTCAACTTTATATCCTACATTTCTCCACAGAACTGATGATGACAGCATGTGACTCACTTCTCTGACAGTTGAGACCAGTCCATCCCGCTGCGCAGCCCGAGGTGCAGCTTCCGAACAACTTGTTACACACCTCATCTACAGTCCGACAGTGACAAACAGATTGGCAGCCAGCCCCAAACAGACCATCTGGACATGCTGAAGTACAAAAAGGAAACAAGTATTTATCTATAAGGATTATTTATCGAACAATGTTAACAATGGGAGGGTTGGGGAACTGAACTCCAAAGGTGAACTGCTCCGTATCATCAATGGGAAGTGAGTGAGTGAGTGAGTGAGTGAGTGAGTGAGTGAGTGAGTGAGTGAGTGAGTGAGTGAGTGAGTGAGTGAGTGAGTGAGTGAGTGAGTGAGTGAGTGAGTGAGTGAGTGAGTGAGTGAGTATGGTTTTACGCCGCTTTTAGCAATATTCCAGCAATATCACGGCGGTGGACACCAGAAATGGGCTTCACACATTGTACCCATGTCAGGAATTGAACCCGGGTCTTCGGCGTGACGAGCGAACGCTTTAACCACTAGGCTACCCGACCGCCCCCATCAATGGGAAGAATAAACGTCCTCCTAAAACGTAACCAGGCTGACTCATTTCAAGCTCACAACAAAACAGTTTAGAACTGTTCTTGCCCATTAGCCCCATGCCTGATTATGTCACACTAAGCACTGGACCCAATATCTCAGGAAATGACCAAGACCAGATGACTTGTGATTTTCCTTGGACCTAGTACCTCACAAATACCCAACATACAGTACCTCAAAGTAGGTCTGCAGTTTGATTGGTATTACAATATCTTGCCATCAATTTCTAAGAGTTGTGTAGCTGGAAGACACAAACAAGGGAGATACTGTTGGCTGCAAAGATGTGCAACAGTAACAACATTTTGGGTGCCGTTACTGGAGATGATAGTCCAGTACAATCAAGTAATATTGGGTGGTGCCATCACACGTGTGTCGTAGGCTGCTTGCTCCTCCTGCATATTACACCATCTTGTTACAGCAATGACATACTTACCAAACTGCCTTTCATTACATAACATGTTAAAGACCCAACTTGTGCTATACACAGAAATAGTTATTAAGGTATTAGCTCAATATACATTATATACATACATATATAGAATGTATTGCAATATGTATTCATAATTGTCGAAGGTTTGTATCACAGTTTACCAGGAATGCTATGTAATCGTTGTACCTCATATGCCTGCCCTGGACCCGGTGATAACAAGTTATGAGTGACCTGTCCTTGACCCAGTAATGAGTGACCTGCCCTTGACCCAGTATCATATGGCATGCCCTTGACCCAGTAATGAGTGACCTGCACTTGACCCAGTATCTTATGGCATGCCCTTGACCTAGTAATGAGTGACCTGCACTTGACCCAGTATCTTATGGCATGCCCTTGACCCAGTAATGAGTGACCTGGCCTTGACCCAGTATCTTATGACATGCCCTTGACCCAGTAATGAGTGACCTGCCCTTGACCCAGGAATGAGTGACCTGCCCTGGACCCAGTATCATATGGCATGCCCTTGACCCAGTAATGAGTGACCCGCACTTGACCCAGTATCTTATGGCATGCCCTTGACCCAGTAATGAGTGACCTGGCCTTGACCCAGTATCTTACGACATGCCCTTGACCCAGTAATGAGTGACCTGCACTTGACCCAGTATCTTATGGCATGCCCTTGACCCAGTAATGAGTGACCTGCACTTGACCCAGTATCTTATGGCATGCCCTTGACCCAGTAATGAGTGACCTGGCCTTGACCCAGTATCTTATGACATGCCCTTGACCCAGTAATGAGTGACCTGCCCTTGACCGAAAATGAGTGACCTGCCCTGGACCCAGTATCATATGGCATGCCCTTGACCTAGTAATGAGTGACCCGCACTTGACCCAGTATCTTATGGCATGCCCTTGACCCAGTAATGAGTGACCTGGCCTTGACCTAGTATCTTATGGCATGCCCTTTACCGAGTAAAGCGTGACATGCCCTTGACCCAGTAATGAGTGACTTGCCCTTGACCCAGTACCTCATTATTTTCCAAATTCTTCATGAAATGCCCTGGACCCAGCACCTCACAAACACTTTGTGACATGCCCTGAATATCTTTTCTACCATAATAGAAATCAATTTTCAAATTAAATATATGCACTTACAACATGGCTTCAGCTCCCCACATGTCACGAAATTCTTCTTCAGGAGAGTGGAGAAGAAACACCATGGCTTGACTCCATATTTTCCGTAGTTGTTTTTAGGATTACGACAGTAGTTCTTGGGATTGTCACCAGGGGGAAATTTGTCGAGTGTATATCCTTCCCCTTGCACAAAAGGATCTGACCAGCTGATGCACTTCTTTCCTTCATTACCGACACCCAGTGTCCCAGTGTAGTTCACACCTTGGCTGTCGTACAAGCACTCGTTCACTGAAAAAATATGTATGAATGTGCTTAAAACTGCAAAGAAATTATCGAAAAGCATGATTGTATATCATAGTATTATTACTCATTACTTTATTATGTAGAACATTATCATTAATACATTAAAATATGACTGTTCACCATGTTAACTGTAGGCAGTAGAATACGACTGATCACTGTAGACAGTAGAATACAACTGATTACTGTAGACTGTCTACTGTGATCAGATGTATTCTACAGTCTACAGTAATCAGTTGTATTCTACAGTGATCAGTCGTATTCTACTGCCTACAGTAGAATACAACTGATTACTGTAGACTGTAGAATACATCTGATCACAGTAGACAGTAGAATACAACTGATCACAGTAGACAGTAGAATACGACTGATCACTGTATACAGTAGAAAACGACTGATCACAGTAGACATTAGAATACATCTGATCACTGTAGACAGCAGAATACGGCTTATCACTGTAGACAGTAGAATACATCTGATCACTGTAGACATTAGAATACATCTGATCACTGTAGACATTAGAATACATCTGATCACTGTAGACATTAGAATACATCTGATCACAGTAGACATTAGAATACATCTGATCACATCTGAGTAGCAACAAACTCCTGCCTCTACTCACAGAGCTGACAGCCGACACCATATTTCCCCTCCTGACACCCGGACTCGCACCACCCGGTGTTCTTGTCACATGGCCCTCGACGACACGCACACTGGAACTTACATTTCCACCCGAAGTTACCTGGCGAACACCCTGGAATGGAAGAACAGTGCTATCACAATCATGACATCAACTAAATTGTGAGACTGGCCTGTTTACAACCCTTGCCTCCAGAAAACAGGGGGTCAGCAACAGCTTTGCAGCATTATCATCATATCTATAGAACTCCCTCCCATGTAATACATATTTCATAAAACTTATGAATAGTTCATGTATATGAAAAGTGAAAGCGAGTCAGATACCAAAACTATTCACCAGTTTGCGAGTTATATAAAATTTATTAAATTAGGATTACACCATGTACACTGGAGCAAATTTAGTATCATATTTATCACTTGCCGTTATTAACTTAAAAAAAAAAATTCACTGCCGTGTGTGAATAGGCAGACATCTATGCAATCCACAGCATAATCCAATTGAGTTTAGAATGATACTTCAAACAAGTCACCGTATATGACCGCGGATAAGCCGACCCCGTAGATAAGCCGAGGTGTTAATTTGACCATTGAAATACGAAAGAAAATGATATGACCCGCAGATAAGCCGAATCAGGAATTGAAAGACAAAAAACACTGCGAAGTCGGACTGGAGTGCCGGTACTCGCAGATATTAAAAAATATAAGATGAAAAACGTTGTAATTATATTGAAAAAGTCATTATTATTTCGAATAAAGATTTAACAAACCAGTCATCCACTTTCATAATGTGGGAAGCTGTTTCTCGTGGTTTTTTTTAATCTCATAATGATCGTTATATGTTGCCATCAACAACCAAGCGCCATTTTGTGAGTCGGTGTATATAGAATTATGAACCCATGAGAAAATATATCAGCTGGAGCGAAGACTCGCAGTTTGAATTCAGCATCGTAAGCATGGCGTTTTCCGTTTAAAACTCATGATGAAAACGTCAGTCAGTAAAAATATACCAACTTTTATAACCCCCTTTACACCACTATTGTATGTTAATCCAATTAAATTAAATAAACTATCATACTATGAACACATTGAATGACCATCACTTACTCACAGGCTTTTCCAGTTTATTAAACTAATCTCTCGAAAACAAAGGAATTAAGCCCCTACTCCCAACACGATCGCTAAGCACCCACAACTTGAAAATGTTTGTGTAAACAACCTGACAATACCAATCGGCCCGTTATTATCAATGCTCATTTCCTTGTGTACCGTGTTGCTTTAAACAACAGGAAGCAATCACCATGATCACAGTGGTCACCGTTTGTGACGTCACAGGAAACAGCTGATCACATGTTTTTGCAAATGGCGAACGGAATAACTCGCCGATACAGTTATTTATTTGCCTCTTTCAATAAAGGTAGACACTTGTTCACTATCAATTTATGAACTTTGCAAAACGTACGTAATAGCTATTGGCGATTTTATCTGGGGATTATATATTATAGCTGTGAATTACATATATTGTTACATGTAAAGATTGTGGAGTTTACGAAGAACAATAAAATTTGAACATTCAATTGAAAACTTATTATCGGAAGTAGTAACATGCATAACATTTTTTTAATAATGACAACATTGGTGTATAATAATAACTTTATTGATAATTTATAACAATAATGGCTCTAGTCGTGGCAACTTCCAAACTTTCGGGAAGTTGTAATCTATCGGACCGTCATTCAGGCGATGTTTCTGACAGATCACGATCTGAAAAATACTATCATGAAAGTGTATCCCGTGGATAAGCCGACCCCTTTCTACAGAATCTTTTTTCTGGTCCTCAAAATTCGGCTTATACGCGGTCATATACGGTATATCCATTTAATATCATACAACGGCCCACCTTTAGAATTCTGAGGAGTCCAATCCACAAAGATATCATAGCACTAAGGTTATTGAAACTCCCATACTTTTACATTGACTTATGACTGTCTTCACACTATGGACCAGGCCTGCACCACATAGTTTACAATCCTGTCACAATACCCTATGACATGATTTGTGAAATTTTGTTGCAAGACACACCGGAAGATGGGATACGATGACATGCATCAACCAAGTCAGTGAGCCGGACCCCCCGATCCCTTTCGTCGCCTCTTGCGACAAGCATAGTCGCCTTTTACGGTGAGCATGGGTTGCTGAAGACCTATTCTACCCCGGATCTTCACGGGCCTCGTCCATCTAAATCATGGCAATTGACATAAAGTGAAGAAACAAATTGACGCTATATAATTTGGTTAAACATTCTTGCAAAGCATTAATTGAACTTGTCATGTTTTTCAGTGCTTTCTGTTATTTGCATCCACGAGATAAAAGTTATTTTCTGTGGTGAGTCAGTGATGAATTTTCTGCATAATTTATTTGCTGCAGTGTGTGAATGGGCATAGAACTCTGTCCCTACATGATCCACCCTACAGATCAAAGTCACCTATTCAACCGTGAGCTAACAACTTGTCTGAACATGCTGTATGAACAGGAGTTTTGTCAAACCCAGTGATAGAAATTGATAATGTAGGAAGAAATTATGTAACGTCACTTCTGTTTGAACGAATCTTTTGCACAGCCACTCCACTCTCACAACCCTCTACGGTGTTTCTCACACCAAGTCAACCACCACTTGGAACAGCCTCCCTAATCATTGATACTGACTCACATAGCTTCACACACATCCCATACATGTCACATGCAATTAAACCTAACCGGTCAGTAGCCACTGACAACAGTCAATTTCACATCCATGGCTACTTTCAAACTGTACTAAGAAGTGCAATTCCTGTAGGGCTGGGACGGGTACCTCGGGTACTCGGGTCAGGTGGGTCCTGAGTAGGACCCGGGTACCCACAGGACTACACGAACCCGTGGTTAGTCATGTGATATATTGTTTAATGACAAAAACTAATTGTAGTTCAGTGGTTACACTATAAGGCACTAATGTTTGCATTTCTTTCTGACGATGCACACATTCCTTTTGACTTGTATTTGTTTGAGTAAAGATAAAGCTTCAGTCAACTTCTGTGTACGCATGATCTGATTGTTTGATACATGTATCTAATTTCTAAATAGTTTTAGCCAGGGCTCTGGTAAAACAATTACCAATCAGACATTTTGTTCCCTGCTCTTGCATGCTTGAGACTTGCAGTGGGTACCCGGGTAGGGTCAGGTAATAGGGGGTCGGGTACCCGGGTAGTAGATTTGGACTCGTCCCAGCCCTAAATTCCTGCAATTCTGCCGGACACAAATCCAGCTCATTTGACACTGTTTAATCTGCTCCAATCAATATCCCATTTTCAACAATATTTATCTAACTATCAGCAACAGCAACCCATATTGATCCTTCCCTTGATACTCCACACTACAAACACACCATGTATCAGATTCATCATACAATTAGTGATTCTCCCACACAGATGTGAAACCCTATGTCCCATTGTTACCATCCCTTCTTCTGCCAGGCCCACAAATCCCCTGCTTCACCACAAAGTCACAACCCCATTCAACATGGAGTGCATGTTCCCGCCTTCTCAAACTCAATCAGGGTAATGTGTGTCCCTGCATCCCTGACCATGCTGCATCCCCCTTCTCCTGCATCACTCCATGTGTCAATTACAGACTGCATGCAGGCACAGTACGCCAGTCAGCATGACTAATGCACATGCACATGCATTGAGAGCATTCAACAGCTGGCCGTGGGCTTCATGAAATCCATGCTGCCCTAACTCTTTCTCTCACTGTCCACTCCACTGTGTTCCTCTGTTGTAATTACTGGAGAGCAGGGTTCATAAGCGTAATCCCAAAATGATTAGGATTATCCTTTAATCTATTCCAGTCTGACAAGTGATGCTAGATTATATAGAGCTATAGGCAAGAGATAGGGATTATCTCATAAAAAAGTATAGATGGGTGAGGTGAAATAGGGTTTAATGTTGCATTCCAAGATTATTGAACTTATATTGAAATGTGCATTCACACATGCTTATGTGTGTGTGTGTGTGTGTGCTGTGAGAGAGAGAGAGAGAGAGCTCAGACTAATGCCAGTTTTTTAGTGCTAGCCCACTGAGATACCATGATCTCACCCCACTCAGACACAGTAATTTTTTTTCAGGGTTAGAAACTAACAGTTTTTGTCCACTAGTCCTTATAATGATAACATATAGCAAAACCCTTAAAAATGGGCGAATTCCTACTTGTCCTTAGGATACCTTTACTATTGGGCAGTTTGGTAAGGACTACAGGACTAGTGCCAATTTCTAACGCTGAGTATACTGACTCCGAGCCCACAAATTCGTGTCTTATCCCCTCATTCACGAGCGCCGGGCAGGATAACCACAAGTACCATCTTTGGCATCTTATGGCATGACGAGGCCGGAGATAGAACCGCTGAGCTTCTGCTCTCTGTGAAGATGCTCTATCCACTACACCACAGAGGCAGTCCAAGAACCAGGTGAGCTTCTGCTCTCTGTGAAGATGCTCTATCCACTACACCACAGAGGCAGTCCAAAAACCAGGTATAAAAACATTATCCAACACTAATTGCTTATATAAACAGGGTTCATCACAGCAGGGTTCCATGTTCAGCAACGTTAATTAAGTTATAATGATGACATATAGCAAAACTCTTAAAAAGGGCAATTTTCCACTTGTCCTTATGATAGTGTTTCTGCTGGCTTTTGAAACTGCCAGTCCTTGTGGACTGCCAACTCTAAAAATTACCAGTCCCCCCTAATTTTTGCAATCCCAATTTTCAACAAATGAAAAACGTATGAAAATTATTTGGTTTTAATTCTTTCAATATCGTGTTCAGCATGTTCAGTGCAAAAATGTCATCTCTGAAGTAACTTAGTTAGATCTACATGATCTATACGTCATTCACACAAATTATTTGGTTTTAATTCTTTCAACATCGTGTTCAGTGCAAAAATGTCATCTCTGAAGTAACTTAGTTAGATCTATACGTCATTCACACAAACTTCAGTCACAATTTTCTCTTCTTTTTTTTTAATATTTCGAGACGCTACAAATGGATATTTAACCTAGAAATAGACAAGGAGAAACCCTGATGGT